AGCTGTAGTATACTATTAGACTTGTTTAAATCCTTAGACACAAGCGATATATTAGATAAGGATCTCTTAAGCCTAGAGTCCCTATCCTTGCCTTTACTCTTTCCCTTAAGTTCCTTTAGAGTCCGTAGAGCAGGTATGTAGCTAGAGGTAGAGCAGCTAGAGTACTAAATCCTAAAAGTACAGTTAGTATAGGTATTCTAAAAGTAATCCTCTCTAGCAGTATTCTAGATAGGAACCTTATAATAAGCTCTAAATAGCCGAGCTCTAGCTATTAGAGGCTAGCACTTACTGTAGGAACTAGTACCCTAAGCTATAATAGTATTTAATACCTCAGCTAGAATACAAGGAAGGTAGTAAGTACTCCTATCTAAGTTAAAAGTAGAGTAACTACGGAAGAGAGGAGTCTAAGTAATCTAAATAGGATTTAGGTTTATAGCGTTAAGGAATGCTATCTACTTAATACTAGGCTTATTACGAGCTAAAGAGAAGTCTAGATTCCGGTTCTAGGCCTCTAGTATCTACTTATACTAGGCCTAATTATACTAAACAGAGTTAAAGTTTAGACTATAGGTATTATTAACTACGGCCTAAAGCTGTCTATTACTTATCTGCTAAGCAGCTATAACTAAGCTTAAGTTAGTATTTAACTTACAGTTATAAGCTACTAATCTATACCTTAGCTCTTAAAAGAGAGAAGTTCTAAAAGTGTCTAAAGTATTATAAAAGAAGTAGAATAGTATTTAAATAGTATAAAGAGTGTAGAATAGGTATATACAAGAGAGAGAGTTTAAAGAAGAAGAAGAACTCTTTTATAGGCAGAACTTAAGATTAGGTAATTACTAGCTTAATACACTAAAGGTTTAAGAGATTACGTAGCAATTTATATAATACCTAACCTACTTATAAGTATTCTGAAAAGTTATTTGTTTTGTAATATAGTCACTAATAAGGTTATAAGGTCATATAAATAGCTCAGACACGTATAACAGTAATCAGACAGCTTAAGAAAGAACTGTCTGTATACTGAGGGGGAGTGTTATGCCTAGGGATCACGTGAGTGCTAAGAAGGCCACATCTTCTGAATTCATAGTCCTTGTAGATACCTGCTCCCGTAATCAATCATCTATGAAGGCCTAATAACCGCTGCACAACACATGTTCCTTGGCAGGGCGCGTCAATGGGACATCTCCTTCGTTACCTGTACCTATTTAGATACCCTCTTCGGTCCGGTTCAGGTAAAACGTATAGAGCTGCTATCTCCCCGACTTTTTACAAGCGACTACGCTGCCAGTTGCACCCCAAGCTGCTTAGTTAGCTTTACAGTAATGGGGATGAAATATTCCACGTCGAGCCGAACTCCAAGGGTAGTCGTTTGGTGTAAAGTCAAAAGGAGCAACGGATATACTGGATTCCCTCAGCAAGATGAGCATAACGGATCCTTTGTATAGATTTGATTCGTTTGAGATCTATGAACTCCAAAGCATCTACCCAGAACGCCACCAACAATGCTCCCAACAACTCCACCCACCATCAACAAAAGAACATGAACCTTTCAAGAGCTCGCCTCTAGCCTGGCCAAAACCGCCGTCCTGATGTTATTCGCTAGATCGAGCAGCGAAGTGCTCTGCAAAATGATAAACACACTGATATCCGCCGCCGTCTGCTTCCGGATCCAGTTCCGCACCTCCATCGCCACCAGCGAGTCCACGCCCAGAGCCTCCGGAGGCTGATCAAGGTGCATGGAATCTTCGTCCTTGACGAGGATATGGCTGAGGGCTGATGCGAGACCCTTTGCAATGACCTGGTTCGCCTCTGCGCCGTCGTTCTCGGAGAGGACGCTGGACTTCGCTTCAGCGGAGGACAGGAGGGCTTTCAGACCGTCTTCCTCGGCGGCGGAGGATGTGGAAGTTTCGGTTGCGCCGTTGATGTTGTGGTAGATGCTCATGCGGACGTCGCGCTTCCACGCCACGCGGTTCGTGGGCGAGGAGATGGGGACGACGGTCTCGAAGCCCGTGAGGATCTGGCTGGATTGGAGGTAGCCTCCGTCAGCAGTTTTGGTGTCGTGAGGGGTGGAGCGGAGGATGGCCAAGGCCATGGCGTTAAGGAGGTTGTTCTCCGTCAGCAGGCGCATGCCGGTCTTGTGGAACTTGGTCATGATGTCCTGGTTCTGCGAGACGAATCCGACTTCGCCCATGGCGCCGATGTCGATGACAGAGGCGGATTGACCGAGGCCGTGGCGGTGTTGGACGAAGGCGTCCAGGAAAGTGTTGGCTGCGCTGTAGTTTGCCTGGCCCCATTGGCCTGCGATACCGCTGTAGGAGGAGAACAGGATGAAGAAGTCGAGCTCGCTTGGGAGGTACTTGTGGAGGTTCCATGTGCCGTTGACCTTGGGCTCGACGCAGGTCTTCCAGTCAGGGTAGGTCAGTTCGGGGAGAGCGATATCCTGATATAAGAGTTAGCGGTCGTGGATCTGGGTTTCAAATTCTGGCGGAGTGCTTACCCTCAGAACCATGGACATGTTGATGGCACCCGCAATAGGAGCTGCCGCAATGTTGACAGCCTGCTCCACATCTGCGGCGTTGACAACACTTCCTTGGACAAACTGCACCTGACAGCCTTGTGCAGCAAGCTCGTCCTCGAAAGCCGCAGTGAGCGACTTATCTCCAGCCGAACGAGACATGAAGATGAGATGACGAGCACCACGCTCGACCATCCACGTCGCAACAGCACGTCCCAGACCGCCCAAACCACCAACAAGGAGGTAGCTACGATCACCCCGAAGGTTAATCTCGGGCAGAGCCTGGGAAGACTGCAGCTCCTCGACGTCTTCAGGCATGGTGACGACAATCTTGCCAATGTGCTGACCGCCCTGCATGAAGCGGAAGGCATCACGGATGGCAGTGGCGGAGAAGGTGTCGGCAATGGTCATGGGCTTGATTGACCCGTTGCGGATCCATTCGACACAGCGATCGAGAAGCCTATTCAATGTTAGTACTATACAGCTGGTTGGGGACGTTTCGAACATACTCAGCGGCCTGCTTCGGCTGCTTGAAGGCCACTTGGAACAGATCGAGCCCGACGAACGTTCGGTTAGCCTCGAAAGCCTCCATAGCCAACTTCGCACGTCGACGGAAGTCTCGCTTGCCAATCTCGATCATAGTACCAAACTCAGCAACGCACTTCCACGAAGCCTCGAGGAGTTCGCCGGAAAGCGAGTTGAGAACAACATCGACTCCGCGACCCTTCGTGGCGGCCATGACATCTGGCAGGAAGGACGAGTCGCGCGAGTTGAAGATGTGCGAGCGCTCGATGCCGTAGTTGTCCATCAGGTACTGGATTTTTCGCTCGCTTCCGACGGTGCAGTAGATGTTCGCCCCGAGGTGACCGGCGATCTCGAGCGCTGCGAGACCGACACCACCGCAGGCGGAGTGGATGAGGAGGGTCTAGTAGCAATGTCAGTAGTTGTCCGACCTTTAATCGTGTTACTGGGACTTACCTGTCCAGGCTGGATTCTGGCCTTGTCGACCAGTGCCATGGCAGCAGTGGCATAAACACAAGGCATGCCAGCAGCCTGCTCAAAGCTCATGCTATCATCGATACGAACGCAAGCGCTAGCAGGGACGATCTTCTGAGTGGAGAAGCATCCGCTGGACATGAACATGACGCGGTCGCCAGCACGAATGTTGCCAACTTTGCTGCCGACGGTGTGGACAACACCAGCGCCTTCGAGACCGAGCTCGCGAGTGCTGTTTTCCAGAACACCGAGGGCGATCAGGACATCGCGGAAGTTCAGACCGGTGGCCTTGATGTCCACAAGGACTTCATCGTTGCCAACCTTGAGATTGCCCTCTTCGACCCACTCCATAGTCTGAAGCAGGCCGGGAGTGCGAATGTTCAGAGTCTTAGAGCTTGACTCTGTCTCTGGGACAGCCTTCGTGAGAGCATCACTCATATCCTGCCAGTGGATACGGGGAACGAGGATCTCATCTTTGACGAGGGCATACTCCCAGTCTGGATCTGTCGCATCGCCGTGGATGTTCAGCGTGTTGATCCTCCAGAGGATACGACCCACAGCATCGGTCATGAACGGCGTGGCACAAGCGTCATCAACCTCAACTGTGAAAAGCTTGAGCGACATCTCATTGCGCGCAGTACGGGCCAGGCCAAGGATCATAGCGTTTCTGGGGTCCTGGCAGTTGACTTGCGCCGAGCGCGTGAGCCAGATCATCTTGGTCTTTAGGGTCTTGAGGTGGTCGAACAGCTGCTGGAACGAGTGGCTGTCGAGATCGTGCACAAGCGGTGCCTGCAGGTCGAGTAGCGAGACGACGTCTTGACCTTCCGGAAGAGCCTCCCCAAAGCGGCAGATATCGACCTCAACGCCCTGCGACTGGAAGTAAGCGCTCAGCTCCTTGACAAAGGGACTGTCTTCTGCGTAGCTGAGCAGAGTGACTCGAGTAGAGCGCTCGCTCCGTAGTGCCGCAGAGGCCAGGATACCAGCGCTGCTCTGGTATGGGACTGGACGATCCATGACGATCGCTTCTGGAGCTTGGAAACCAGCAGCGGCCAATTCAGCGGACCAGCGGGTGGTGCTGATGTAAGGCTGCTCTGGGCGACCATCTTCATCACCGAGCCACCAGCCTGACAAGAAGCCCATAACATAGTTGGTGAACTTGGCATCTGGGCAAAGCTCCTGCAACAGAAGTCGACCCTGCGGGTTCAGGAGGCTGCGCAGATTCTGAAGCGACTCCTTGATCGACGGCGTAGCATGGACCACGTTATACGCAACGATCAAGTCATATGAGCCAAGCTCCAAGCCCTGCTGGACCGGATCCTTGGTGATGTCGAATACAGTGTATTCCATGTTCTCATACTCCGCGAACCGCTCCTTGGCAGCCGGGAAGAAGCCTCCAGAGATGTCGGTGTATGTGTAAGTGCCATACATCCGCTCACCGTTGGAAGACTTGCAAGCGTCCAAGACCTGGATGGTAGTGCCACCAGTACCAGCACCGACTTCGAGGATGCGAAGCTGTGGGTTCGTGTGCGCCAGGGTCTTGATCAGGCCGGAGTAGTCGAGGAAGTCACCCACGGCGTAGAAGTTGGTGAGGACGTCGTCTTCCATGAGGATGTGGAGAGGGTGGACCTCGCCTTTGAAGATCTCAGCGGCCTTTTCGTACAGTCTGTGGATTGCGATGGCGAAGACGGCGTATGGAGACCAGGCGATCGCGCTCATGATCTCGCTGATGCGAGCCTCGCGCTGGGCGTTGTCGAGGGTGTCCAGCTTCAGACTGTTGGGCACGAAGACGTTGCTGCCGGCGGTGTACTCCTGCACCTGAGTGTTGGCCCAGACCAGGAACTTGGCGAGATAGACTGGCGTGTCGTCCTCGATGGTGAGGTTCTGAGCGTGGCCCAATGCAGCAAGCACCACGAGCTCTTCGATCAACGACCACTCTTCAGGACGGTCCCCTCGAGCCTTGATGGCTTTAGAGAGGTCGGCGAGATCCGCGTGTTGGCGCCATTCAATCGACGAGACCTTCGCCTCATCGACCTCAGCGTCGTCGCCGCTTGTGACCGCCGAAGCTTTGAAGCCCTTCAGAGAGAAGACTTGGTGGGTACCATTCTGGGCGGTAAGGTCTCCAACAAACGAGCCCCGCTCGGCTGAAACAATCTTAGCCGAGACGTCGAGGTCCTCAGTCGTGTTGGAGAGGACGACTTCCTCGATGAAGGTTGGCACGGCAATCTGCGTGCAGTCACGACCGATACCACGGTATCCCGCAACGGTGAATAGTTGGAAGCATCGGTCGATCAGAGCTGGGTGGACTGGGTAATGGAATCTGATGTTCTCAGGAACAGTGTTGGCAACACGTGCGATGGCCTGGGGATTACCAGTCGGCGTAGTGGAGATGTGATCCATGCCCTGGAAGACTCCAGTGTAATCGAAGCCCTGGCGCTTCAGGACGTCGTACCAAGCGTCAGAGCCTACTTTTCGTGGCAGTGGCGGGAACACCTCTGCAGTGCCTAGCGAGCTCGCTTGAGGCACGCCGGCCCTGGCCTCACCAAAGCAGTTTCGCACCCAGCTGTGACCGTTGTACGAGCTGATGGTGAACGAGTACCACGACGATTGCTCGGAGGAGTCCACCATCTGTCGCTTAAGCGAGGTCGAGATCTCGACGACAGTCTCGGGCTTGAGGACAAGACCAGAGACGAGATGGACGTTCCGGAGCGTGTAGCTTGTGGAGACTTCAAGCTGCCTCAAAGCCTCAGTGATCATGGCGATGTATCCAGCACCTGGGAAGACGATCTGCTGGTTGACTTGATGGCCCTCAATGAAAGGAACATCTTCCAAGGCAAGGTTATTGCGCCAGCAAGGCTCGCTACCCGCTTCCAGCACCCTCGAGCCTAGAAGCTCATGGGGTGGATGCTCACGCATTCTCCACTGGTTCGCAATACGTGGTTCAAGCCAGTGCTTCGTCTCTCGCTTCCAGGCATAGCGTGGCAGATCCGAGACGACGTGGCCTTGAGGGCAGAAAGCGAGATACTCAAGCGGCACACCCTGCTGGAAGAGCTTACCCGCCAAGTGCAGGAGACTCTCATGGTCGCTCTTTCCGCGCTGGAGAGTTGCCAGATGGGTGTCCTGAGAGCGGCCGAGGTCACGCAGGATCTGTCCGATGGGACCCTTGAGAGCTGGGTGTGGACCGATCTCGATCAGGATTGAACCATCCGGCAGGTCTTCAAGGGCAGAGCGGAGGGACGAGTTGAAGAGCACGGGGTTCTCCATGTTCTGGCGCCAGTACGACGCGCCCAAGCAGCCGGAGCCGGTAAGTCTCTGACCTGTCACACTGGAGAAGAATGGCACTCTTGGGTTGCTGCTGTGAACGAAAGGCTGGATGTGTTGCTCGTACGAAGGGCCGAGTTCCCACATGTGGTCTGTGATGGTATGTTAGCATGGATAATGCCGTCAAGGTAGGCTGACCTACGAGAATGGAAAGCCTTCTCGACCTTGAGAGGCCTTGCCAGGACACCAGGCTGCTCTGCCTTGATCTTCTCCACGACCTTGGTAACCTGCTCCTTGTCACCGGAGATAGTCACGCTAGACTGGCTATTCTCGCAAGCAACAACGACACCGGGCTCCATGTACCGCAGCACACCTTCCTTGCCCAGGCCGATCGCTGCCATGGAGCCTTCGAGGTGGCCTTCGTTGTGGCTGCTGCCACGGAAGGTTGCAGCTGCCATGGCGCCTTCGGCTGTAATGGAGCCGCTGGCGTATGCTGCGGCCATCTCTCCAGATGAGTGTCCCAACACGAGGGTTGGCTCGATGCCCCAGGAACGGATGACATCAATCAGGGCGATTTGCACTGCGATGGACAAGGGGTGACCCATCTCGGCCTTGTGCACCAAGCTCGACTCTCCAGTCTTGCGCAATTCATCTGAGATTCCGGTCAGTACTGGGAACAAGACATCTCACGAACTGTGGCTTACTCTCAACTGTCCACGGAGGTGGAGTAGGCAGTGACTGCAAGAAACCGTCCAGCCTCTTGATGGTGTTGCGGAAGGACGTGTTAGAGTCGATGAGATCGACACCCATCTGCGGCCATTGCGCTCCCTGGCCGGTGAAGACAAACACAATCGGTGGTGCTGATGCAGACACCTTTCCAATAGCAGAGGTCTCCAGCGAGGCAGCACTCTTACCGATGGCGTAGGCGCGTTGCTGCTTATGTTCTCGTCGGTTGGCAAGAGTAAATGCAACATCTGGGAGTGAGCAAGGCGTAGCCTCTAGCCATTGCTTGTGGTTGTCAATGTTCTCCTCGAGCGAGGAAGTACCATTGGCAGAGAACAGGAAGAGTTGAGCCTTGTCGGTAGCTTCAGCGGCGAAACCGCCGTCGATGGTGGGTGTGCTGAGTCCATATTGCCATGGAGATTCGATGATTGCATGGGCATTTACACCTCCGATACCGAAGGAGTTGACACTGACTCGCTCTGCCCGTCCTTGAGGCCAAGGCTCGACCTCAGTAGGGACATGGAGCTTCCACTGATCGAATGGAACTTTCCGAAAGATTAGTCAAGATCGACAACTGATGAACTGCACAGCGGCTTACTCTTAGGGTTTGGAGTCGAGAAATTGATGTTTGGTGGCACCATGCGGTGCTCCAAGGCGAGGATGCCCTTGATCAAACTTGTCAATCCGGCGGCACCTTCTGAGTGACCGACGTTTGGCTTGACCTGGAAATCATGTGAGTCGCTGTCTGTTGTTTGCATTTCTCAGGTAATACGTACGGATGTGATGGTGATACCCCTGTGTCCGAAACACCTGCCAACTGCAGAGACCTCAATTGGGTCACCAATGGAGGTACCTGTACCATGGCACTCGAACAAAGCAGTCTCAGCCAGGTTCTTGATGCCGGCAGATTCATAAGCGCGGCGAATGAGTGCCTCTTGGGACGTCGAGCTCGGAGTGATCATCCCCTGAGTACGTCCATCACAGTTGGTGCTGGTGCCACGAATAACGGCACGGATGGGGTCACCGTCGGTGAGAGCCTGGCTGAGACGCTTGACGTACAGCATGTTGACGGCCTCACCTCGAGCGTACCCGTCGGCTGCTGCGTCGAAGGTTTTGCATGTTCCGGTTGGTGAGAGGACACCCTGCTCACTGAGAGCCAGTGTCATAGTTGGAGAGAAGATGAGGTTAACGCCTCCAACGAGAGCGCCATCGCAGTCGCCGTTGCGGATGGCTTGGCAGGCGAGGTCGAGGCCGACGAGGGCCGACGAGCAGCCCGTTTTGATGGTCATACTAACGATGTGTCAGCTTGCACTATAAGTGAACCGATCTAGGGAAAGACAGTACCTTGGACCATGAAGATCAAGATCATAAGAAATTCTATTGGCCAGCGCGAAGTCGCCATAGCCAGTAACACGGTATCCTCCACGATGCTGGGTATCCTTTGCGTTCAAGTCGAGCCAATCCTCGCCGAAAACGCCAATGTAGCAGCCGATTTTCTGGCCTCTGAATGTAGTCGCACCGCTATCTTCGAAGCACTCGTGTGCGACCTCGAGCAGATGTCTCTGTTCTGGGTCAAGTCTCTCGACTTCCTTTCTTGAAATTGGGAACGATGAAGTATCAAATTGCTGGACGTCGACGTCGTCGAGGAAGTACCCTTGCTTGGTACGAACGGTTCCAGGCTTTCCGGTAGGGTCATAGAACCCATCTATGTTGTAACGATCTGCCGGAACGTCGCAGAGTCCGCTTCGCTTTTCGGTGAGGAGTTTCCAGAAGTCAGCCGCTGTGTGCACTCGTCCCGGTAGCCGCATTGCCATGCCCACGATGGCGACGGGTTCGGACTGCTTGTGATCGTCATATTGGGCAAAGACATTGGAGGAGCGTTGGAGGATCTCCTTGTCTACGGTGAGGAGCTTCATGGTGGCGATGATAGAGTGATGAGGATGACGATAGCGACGGTGGACCAGACGACTGAACTTCCTTGTAGTTGAGGTAGGGTGTCCTGGTTTGAGGTGTCAGGATGTAGGAACTTATGTACTTGAGGTTGGAACCCTGCCGACGACGGACGTTGTTGAATGGCCACGTCTAGGATTGTGCCCGAGGAGCCTCAGGACGGCGATGAAGACAACTCTTTCGGCCATCATTGCATAGTGTGAAGGCCATTCATTGCGAGGTCTTCCCAAGCACCGAGCAGGACCTGGGCCCGTGGCCAGCTGCGCCGAGCTGCTGATCGTAACAGGCCGACCCGGGAACACCTCCAGCACGTGTCTTCCTGTGGGCCTGAATCCTTCCAACCTACAACAAAGATGATTTTGTGTTAGTGTCCGAACGGAACTTATACGGAAATTCTGTCGTTCACGATTCCGGGACGCCTAGATCGTTTCCTTCTGTCGCACGCCGATTTGACATTCTTGCATTCTTGAGTACAAGTCCCTGGATCTTTAAAGGTGACAGCTGTCGGCGTCTGCAGTACACAAGGGAGATCTCGTCCAAGTCGTTCGTGCTGCAAAGATGGCGACTCTCTTTGCTTTGCCGTCGTCTCTACAGTCGACTTTAGTCAAGTCTCTTCTGATTTCTGGAGGGCTTCTTACGCTCGCTTTTCTTGCGGTATGTGGCTCAAATCCTACCTATGTATGCCTCTATTCTCTGACGTACGCCTCTGCTTCAGTTCGTAGCCAGATGCGTTTATCTAGTCTACTTCCACGCCTTGTCCATGTATGATGGGCCCTTCCTCGCCAAGTTTACAACGCTTTACTCGGCGTACCATGCATGGAAGGGCGACATCCATACGGACATTTACCGCTGCCATCAAAAATACGGTGAGAGCATGACAAGCTTGGCCAAGACTCATGAGTTTGACTGATTGGCATGAGGCGACTATGTCCGCTATGCGCCGAACCGTCTCGCGATCAACACCGCACAAGGCTTGCAAGGTACGTCGATTCGTCTCTGAGATGCGTTAGTATCTGATCAAGCGAAGAGATCTATGGCCATGGCAACAAAGTTACCAAATGCTCAACCTACAAATTTCTCGCACAGCAGGCGCCAAACACTCTCACCTTCACAGACAAAGCTCAGCATGGCAGTCGGCGGCGAGTCCTGAGCCAGGGATTCTCCGAGAGCAGCCTGCGTCTTTTCGAGCCCAAAATTCACATCAAGCTTCAAAAGCTCGTGTCGGTCATTAAAGGCCAGCAGCATGATGGCGAATGGACCGTCCCGATAGATATGGCTGCAACATGTCAGTATCAGGATGAAGATCAGGATCATGGCCCAGTGCTAATGCATGACAGTCTCCAACTTCGCTTTCGACATGATGACAGACATCATCTTCAGCGCCGACTACAACACCATGTGTGATGCGAATTTCCGCTACGCAATGTCAGCAGTCGAGGAATCCAACATCCGTCTTGGTGTGCTCCTGCAGTCGGAGAGCCTTGCCACCGGCGGTATCGACCGCAGGCTCTTTCCCACGTCCGTCGCAGCTGGCCGTCGGTTTGTGAAATTTCTAAGGATTCTTCTGAAGCATCGATTGCAGGCCGACAAGTCCACAGTCGAACCTCATTCGCCCGACTTTTTCTCCTTCCTCGAGAAATGCCGCGATCCCAATACTGGCAAAGGCCTCAGCACTGCCGAAGTGAGCACAGAGACGGCCACATTCGTGGTGGCAGGCTCAGATACCACATCAACTACTCTGGCCGGCCTTGCCCATTACCTGACGGGTTCTTCCAAATGGTACCGCAACGTGGCGGCCGAGATTCGATCGACGTTCACTTGCCTGGATGACATCAAACTGGGCCCTAAGTTGAATTCATGCGTTGCCCTACGCGCCTGCATGGATGAATCCCTTCGCCTTTCGCCTCCAGGGGGTAGCGCCCTGTGGCGTGAGGTTGAGACCGGCGGAGCTCGGATCGATGGTCAGTTCATCCCAGAGGGATGTGACGTTGGTGTTGGCATATACTCAATCCATCATGACCCACGGTACTGGACAGATGCCCTCGAATTCCGACCAGAGCGATGGCTCGAAAGCGACAAGAAGGGTAAACAGCCGTACATGCCGTTCTCGATCGGCCCTCGCAGCTGTGTCGGAAAGCCGTTAGCTATTGCGCAAGTGATGGTGACTTTCGCGCGGTTGCTCTTCGAGTTTGACATTCGGCGCGCCGACAGTGCTCCGTCATGGTCGGAGGATGGGGTTGAGACTATGCCCGCCGAGTATGCTTTGGAGGATCACGTATCGGCGAGAAAAGAAGGCCCGGTGCTGTGCTTCAGGTCTCGGAGAACCAACAGCGAGGTTTGAGAGTTCAGCTAATGGAGCCTACTAGTATTATGATCCAGTACCTAGGTAGTCTTGAAAAATGATGAGATCTTCACGAAATTTGATGGTATAAGAGCCGCGTTGGGTGGCAAAGGGACGCGTTGTTGTTCGTCGGCCCCATCGGACTTTAAAGTGGGAGGACCGAAACCGCGCTAAGCGTTGCCAAGAATCAGCCATTTGATGCCTGAGGCCGACACTTGCGACAGCCTTGCCGACCTACGGCTATGACGACCGGATTTACGATGATTGAGAGGCTGTAAACGCCATTTTCGCCGATTGGCAAGAGGTGGCCCCAAAATTAGACAGTAGAAACGAGCTTGTACTTAGACGTCGAATAGACCACTTGTGTCTCCTGGCGCAGACGAAGATCGTGGGATATAGCCCTTGTTACACGCAAAGAACAACACTTGATTTGAGATAGACCCCAGGTCGGCTGCGGAGATATTTACATACGTTTGAATGGTAGACCAAGCTGCTGATCTGACGATTCGGTACGGTTGACTATCCCCAGGCTTCAAGTGACGGTCGTGCCGCTGTGCGAAGTAGTGATCAGCTTGTCGAGCTTTTGGGGATAGAGATGGGAAGATGTTGGCAGGCTTCGAGCTCCACAAGCAAATCTCTCTGCAAGTTTTCTTTCTAGCATCCAACCTCGATCTCTTATAATTGACCCAAATACCACAGGAATCATTCATCGATGGCTAAGCTAAAGTCTAAGCTCGCTCCCGCTTCTGCAACATGAACTCCAAAGCGAACCGATCGATGTATTCCGTCTTATCATCCTTGAAGCACTTCTCGAAAGTACTGTAGTCACTGCATGTAACCTTGTACCTATCGAAGAGGTGAAACACCACAGCACGAAGTTGCTTGTCTGCGAAGAACTGACCCAAGCATTTCCGAGCTCCAAACCCAAACATGCTCAGATTCCGCTGGAGCTCCACTGTGGTCACGGAAGCGAACCTAGCAGGTCGGAAGGACGTTGAATCGGCGCCCCAAAACTCCGGATTCGTGTTGAGGGCGAATGAGGATGTGACGACGCTGGTCTGTGTTGTCGGGGTCAGTCTAGTCTGTAGCGAGACTAATGCGTCTGGAGTCTGAGAACATACCCCTTTTGGAATCTTGAAGCCGCTGAGCTCTTTATCGACAGACGCAGCTTCAGGAAGTGTGAAAGCTAGAGGCATATTGTCAGCAGCTGTGGTTGCTATTGCCAATCACGACAAGACTGGAAGACATACGAAGCACAGGCTGGACACGCATAGCTTCCAAAAATGCGTAATGGAGTAACGTATCCTTGCGCCCAATGTATCTAGGAATGTCGTCTCGATTGCTGTCGAATTCCGCCACCAGCTCCTCCTGAAATTTGGGATCGTCGGCAACCATCAGTGTCGTCATGAGCAGAGCATGAGAAGTGGGCTCAAGGTTGAACACAGTTGACTCCGTGAGTGTCTGCAGGAGCTAAAAGTGCGATAGCGATACAGTCAGCTTGGTCCTTGTGCTAGGCACGGAGAAAGTCATAAGTTTCGGAGCAGACTTGCCTCATCTTTGCTCAGATTCCCCTTCTCAACCTCCTGCCAGAGCTTCGTGATTGGCAGGTCAGTCTGCCCCTTTCTGCTCTCGGAAGCAGTTTCTACCCATTTCTTCCAGGTCTTCAAGTACTCCTTGGCTGATTGGAATTCCTCGCGCGAGTGCATCCAGTAGCCGAATCCCCAGCGAAACGGTCCCTTGAGCAGAGTGTTCTCCACAACGGCCATGAAAGACGTGCACAAGCCCCAAAGCTGCATCTTTTCCACATCGCTCATCTCACCAAAGAAGATGCTCGTTGTCTCATTGAGTGTGAAAGGAAGGAAAGTATTGGCCGCTTTGACGACCAAAGTCTTGTCATCGCTACCACCATCGACGCGGGTCAACGGAAGCGATGAGATGAAGCTGGACGCGGCATCGTTGATCCGGGCAATGTGCTTCACGGCAACGTTGTTAGCAAGCAGTGCATCCATGGCTTTCCTGTTCCGTTTCCAGTCGTGGCCGTTTGCAAAGCCTACACAAACTCCAAGAAGGCTGTTCACCACCCAGCCGGAGCGAACGGCGAGAGTCTTCTTGTGGGAGGCGCTGTCTGAGTAGAACGCCGCAACGTCTTGAGGAGTCGAGATGACCCTGGAAGTTCGATCAGTGTGAAGAAGTCTTCGGAAAGCGTAGATCAATCATACACCTCGCTGTAAAGTCCAGTCCAGATACGATAAATGTGGCCATACTCCTTCTTCCACTTGTAACTCAAAGCGCGAGACTCAGAGAACATGTGGCGAAAGTTGCCAAATGGGTAAACATATCGAGGTCCCCTAAGTGTCTTCTTGCCATCTAAAGAGCGAAAGCTGGCCGTAAGGGACAGGATAGGCTGGATTCAGGTCAGTTGCGGGGTCCAAAAGAGACGAAGAAGCAGTCTTACATCGACAACAGCGCTGAGAATGCTGTGTTTCTGCTCCGCTGTCATGAAGAGAACAAAGGCTAGAGCAATTGTGGTCAAGAGATACGCCGGGAAGCCCGACCTTCGAGTTTCGCTGATGTATGGAAGTGACTGATGCACCGATGATGTGTTGGCGACGGCATCGTAGTGGCTCAAGATGCTGTTGTTGGACAGCCATTCGGCCTCCATAGGGAATCTAATTGCTGACATGGCCATCCTGGGTCAACGGGATACAAAGGGTGCTCAACGACAGCGACGACAACAGGTGACAACTACATTTAGAGCCTGGGTATGTACAAATATATCGGCGAGCAGAAACAAAGGCGGCGTTGCTCATGACTGCTCGGCTTTTATGGCCAATATACGGTAGGAGCGAACAAGGTCGTGTTTTCCGAACGTCGCACGTAAGCATGTCAAAAGGAGCTAACGGGTTCATGCTTTCCGAATTCGTCGGCGTCGGTGTATTTTTTTACAGCCTTGGCATCATAGCCATAACTTGCAATAGCTTCCATCCTCAAGTGGAGGGTACGACTAGTCGTGTATATTATTTTCCAAATACCACCATCTGATTGCCAAGACCGTTCGTGAGACATCAGCATGCACTTCCCAACCAAAGCCCAATTTCCCCCACCTCCCAGAGAGGACCTGGGTTCGTTCGGTCGATATCTATGTGATTGGAGTGTCTCGCACGCTAATGAATATACCAGATTTGGCCAATCCGGCGTCGACTCCTGTCAATGGCCATGTTCAGTGCAAGTACTCACGGAAGACTGGCGAATGGACGAAGCCTGCCTTTGTCCAAGATCCATACCTTCGGTAGGAGAGACTGGGCCCGGAACACAGAGTCGCAATCGCTGACATCCAAAGCGTCCATGGTCTTGCACCGGTGTTCAACTACGGTTAGATATTCGTATGCAATGTCGAGACGTCGTGTGCTAACAATCTGCAGGCCAAGAAGTCTACGAGGGTTTGAAAGGTAATCCAGCTCTCGGTAGCTCCATGCCCGACCACGATACTAACACAAAGACCCCTTCTATAGCTTTCCGTGACCCGTCAGGGAACATCAACGTCTTCCGCCCATCTTTTCATGCCAACCGGATCAACCACTCCGCCAGCTTACTGTCAATCCCATCGCTGCCTGAGGCTCTCTTCCTTGAATCCGTAAACCTGGCCGTGGCCGAAAACGCCGAGTTCGTTCCATCCAACGCCTCAAATGGAATGCTGTACATTCGCCCGATCCTTTTCGGTTCCTCCCCAAGCATTCAACTTTCGCCACCAGATGAGTACACTTTCTGTGTGTACGTCACACACGCAGCCGCATACCATGGCATCAATCCTCTCGACGCCCTCATCCTGGAGGACTTCGATCGAGCTGCACCGAGAGGAACGGGCAGCGGCAAGGTCGGTGGCAATTATGCTCCGGTTATGCGATGGAGTGATGCGGCGAAGAAGGAAGGATTCGGGATCACCTTGCATCTCGACAGTGCCACACGGTCGGAGGTGGAGGAGTTCTCGACGGCAGGTTTTGTTGGGATCCGCAAGGTGGAGGACAGTGTGTCGGTTGTTGTTCCTGACAGCAAGAACATCGTCGATAGCGTTACAGTCAACAGCATAATGGCCGTTGCAGGGAAGCTCGGCTGGGGTGTGGAGAGAAGAGCTGTAAGTTGCAATCCTCTCAAGAGTACTTTTCATGGTTAGTATTGACGCTAATGATCCTGTTCGGCAGATCAAATACGACGAACTCTCTCTGTTCGACGAGATCCTGGCATGTGGCACAGCTGTGACTGTGATCCCGATCAAGACCATCACATGCAAGAGCCGCAACGACAAGATCACTTACGTCAGTGGCGATGACGCCAAACCTGGACTCTATGCAACAATTCTTGCGGGCCTCATAGGTGATGTTCAGAAGGGCAGGGTACAGGATGAGTTTGGTTGGCTCGCCAAGGTGGAAGGCTCGACTGTCTAGGCCTCTCGTTGCGTAGCTTGATAGACACTGTATCGACGAGTCGATGACATCAATTGTATGAATCCTTCGACAGATCCTTCATGACTTCAGATAATCGCCGGTTCGCTGAATCGTTTGATCGTCCCCACCAACAACACCAACGTTCGCTGCTGAAAGGACTTTGAAAACAACATGAGAACGGTGGCATCAAAATCGACCGATCGGTGACATCGATCGATACAAACGTCCAAACAAAATCCTCTGTGTTGGATGACTTCATTCATTCTACCCAACAAGACCAACAAGGTCAGCACTGAGGGAGACTTCCAACACCAGCTTCGACATGTTGGGGAAAGCCTCCACTCAGGCCGAAAAGCAGCTCGTTGTTGAATCAATTCCAACAAATGGATCTGGTGTGGTAATGAATAGGATCTCTTGGTCAAAATCCAGTCCCAGTATCGGCCTACCCTCGTCGTCCCGCTCAGTGTGGGATGTCTAGCACTGTTATGCCTCGGGTTTTCACAGCGAGCGAGCTCCTGATCGACTCGCGGAATGCTCTGACAGCTCGAGAGTATTAGAGATAGGCGCTTCACTTTGAGCGTAACAAGGAGAGTAGCGACAGAAAGTCGCATGGTCAACAGGAGTTTTGGTCATCGGCAGAAATTGGGATCTGTTTTCAGGGAGATATGCTGGTCTCATTTATCTCTATGAGTCGTAACTGAAGCAGATGCGGTACTGAAACAAGCCTCCTTTGAAAGAAAGTCCCAAGCTGAACTGCTGCACTCCTTGATTGACATTGCCCCTTTTCAAGACGAACGATCCCCACCCTTATCTCACAATGATGCTTTGTATGAACAATTTTTTTTGGATATGCCTCGAAAGTCGGCTCGAACCCCCGGAATCGATACCACTGCGTTGCCCCTTTTTCCTAATCAATACAGCCGCCACTCGATCTGCTGTAGCATAGTATCCAGCCTCATGGCCGCCATCCGCAGCTTCACGCTGTTCATTTTATCCGTGTTGCCTTTGAGCGCCTCTTCCAAATCCGCACCGGCGTTGCTGTTCCAATTCGTGCCCAACATAGACAGACGTCGTCGAGTCTCTTCCACAGCCTGCTGTGCTCGCTCGCGCACAAGCCCAAGCAGCGTCTGGCGCACTAATGAGAGTGATTCGGTCTCAGAGACTGTCTGACCACCCAGGTGTAACTGCATATCCCGGAACATGGCCTCGACGCCTGTGCCGTCGAACAGCAGACGCTGTAGGCCGCTGAGGGCGTTGTCGACAGTGAGAATGACCATTTCCGTCGTCTCATGGTCGGAGTGACAAGATACTATATTGCATCTCTGCACTTTTTGCAGGGTGCTTACAGCGTTGAGCGCTGCGAGGAAGGCGTTGTTCTGGTGTTGGCCCATGTTGGCGCTTGGGGTCCGGATGGCGCAGAGTGTGTCGAACAGCATTCTTAGGCAGTTGCATGATGTTTGGCTGTTACTTGGACTCGGACTACTCTTGGCTTTCGGCACGGCTTCAGAAGCAGGCGTGGGCAAAAGAGAGTCCAGTGGGGCGGCAGTGGTTTGATTCAGCGCAAGACAGTCGGAATTCAATGAAAATGGCCATTCGGACTGGAAGTCTTCTGTGGCGATTAGCGTTTGAGGAAGTATATCAGAGGGGCCTCTCAGAACTTACCAAACGACTGTGAGAGGAGCGTGGCGTCTGAACTGGGGAACTGGGGAACGTCAGCTGCTACGTTGTGCAGACCAGCAAGTTTTGAACCAAGCCAGGGACATACATCGTAGATTGCACCTTCAAAGTAGTCTTGCCCAAGCTCCTTGGGCCATTCCCAGCCAAATGCAGGAAATGTTGACGTGCTTGGGAGATGGTTCAGTGAGGTTGCGGCAGCACCCTGGTCCGCTCCAGGCAAAACGTCAAGGTCCATGGCCGATAGACCTGAGTTCTCAGCATTGTTGATGTCGTTCTCGATATCACGGGTTGGCGTCCGGGGTGACGATGGTTGTGGTAAGCTGTTTGCCGCACTGCCTTGTCTGGAGCTTTCTCCATTCTCAGTGCCCGACTTTGGCCTCTCGCGCTCGATTGTCTTCTTGTTGCGACTCCCAGGTGGCTTCCCAAGTTTTGCTACGAACGCATATACACACTCATTCCCAGTGTCTGCACATCGACTGCATGGTTGTCCACTTGCGCAGCGGAGTTTCATTCGATGACATAAGTTGCAAGCCTTGCGGAGGCGCTTGCCCTCTGCTGGAGACCTGGGGGCCGGGGGTGGGTTGGAAATATGGGCCTCCATTGGGACCAAAGCTAGAACAAACGCTGGAGTAAATTTCAACTGCTGTTGTGCGTCAGTGAAAGGGGTGGTAATCAGGGATTCAAACTTCTGTGCACTGACTGGTATTTATCCATGCCACCGATGGTCTCCGCGGATGGAGAGATCTGCCCAAAGAAGTAATGCAACGTTGCTCATGGCTGCTTGCGCCGAAGGATTGCGCAGTGAAGGCTTGCTTTGCACGACAAGCAAAAGACAAGCTTGTCCTACCTGAACCTACATGGAAGCAAGATCACGTCCCAAGAATGCTTGGGTAAGTGTCATTGGATCGGCCGATATAAAACCAACACTGGGAACATGAAGCTGTTGGTACTACAGTCAGGGTCAGCCAGTGATCCCGGAATCGCGAGGATCACCTTTTCGAGCAAAGCTGTTGGATGACTTCCAACCTTCGTGTTGCCTTTACGATACCGACCGACTATGCCTGACCATTCTCGTCGATCACAGCCGTAAGTAGTAAGCCATAGGCGGATCACAGACCCAACCGGGCTAGCAATGTAGTACAACCCGCCCTTGCCAGAGCTGTTTGACAAAGGAATCTCTCTCATTGCGCCTGAAAGCAGGATCCGGTGAAAGGTAAGTGGAGGCGAATGTCTGCCAGCTGAAGTCAAGCCGCACTGTGCCAGGGTTTGAGTTTGTTAGCTAATCAGTATGGCGTGCTTGATCAGGCTGCATGGGCGAACCTTCATGCCCGAGCAAGACGGTGTTGCGCGCGAATATGGAGCACGACCTACGTTGGATGTGGCTGCATTGGTCCTGGAAGAACATTGTACCGGCCACAATTCCCCGTTGCAGGTGGTAGAGCGCTGCCGCCCACGAAGCTGACAGCTCCGACGCGGGCATGTGGCGTGTTGGGGAGCTGATCTGACAACCAACAGATGTGGACACATCTACTGCTTTGCCTCCAGAATAGCTCATTGTACGCACCCCAAACGAGTGCAAAGCTCCAAATGTATCAGAGAGTCAAGTTCCGTAATGAAGCCCACTTGTGCGCCGAAACATAACCGCGTGTACTTCCGCATACTGAGAAGACTGCAAGTCTGACTTGACCTGAAAGAGATAGACGCCATTTGCTGGCCAGCCTAGCCGCATGGCCCCCCACTCGCCCCAACAAGTGCAGGAGCTGAACGAGTCCGCGTCGAGTTAAATAGCGAGCGTCGTTGGGGCTTGTAATGACACAAGCATTTGCCAATATTTCAGGGTTTAGCACATGCAAACCACTAATAGACAACGCTGCGACTGCCTCGTACCATTGCCGATTGTCCTTCCGGGGGATGGAACTTTAGCATGCAGGCGGCCTTACCAGCTGGCAGCCTAAGGCCACCCGCACGCATAGCCTCTGATGATGAAGCTGATCGCCTCATCAACCAGCCAACGTGGAGACCGAGAAACGCGAGCAAACGTGATCAACTTTCTTGCTCAACTAACACGAACAGGAAGCGAAGATACATGTACCATGACGGACCAACGCAAGGGCTGAACCGAGCATGTCCCGGCCCACGACGATATGCAGGGCTGAGGTACATTGATGGACAGGACCCGGCGACCGTGGTATGCTGGGGGACCACTCGGACCGAGCGTGGCAACCACGAGCCTTTGTGTGTACTGACTAGCGCGCGACTAATCCTTGCGGGCCTGTGTTGGTTATGACACTATCCAATGCAATCTGATTCTTTGATATCGGCGATTAAACCGGCCACTTCGGTTGACTGCCACATCGTCCGCGCTCTCGCACGTTAGGCCATGTGCGTTTGACGCTAATCCATGGCTACCATGTCAACGTTGGTGATCGCCGTGTTGGAACGTGGATGAGCACGCCTCGAACTGCATCCTCGGTCTCGTACGAGTGTCATCACTCATTTTAGTGATCAATCCTTACTTCCCACGTGAACCTCTCAGCCGCAACCCAGCGATCCCTTGCAGATTTATGAACATGTCATGTCATGATGTCCCGAACCAAGATATCTCGCTACATGATTGCAAAACGATAGGCAGTAACACCCCAGCACACCATGACGCTTGGCTATCACAAGCTCGGTAAAAGTGCTTCAGGGTCTCAAACTCAACAACCTTCCTATTTAAGCTTCGACCACATGGCCACTCCAGTAGTGCACTTTCTGTGTGGCCTGGACGAAACCTTAAGCCATTCCAGACGCCTCCGTGGACGCCTCGCCACGACACGATATGGCGTCAACGTATGTCGTGCCCGCTAACATGTTCCATGCGCGTGTAAGCGAAGCTCCCAAAACTCGGATTGCACCCCATGAGATTTTTCCAGATCTCGCAATCGTCAATGTATGCAGGGATGCATATTTGAATCGATGGCGCCAGGGTTCAACGTTGGTGTAGCGAGAACAAGACCCTATATGATTGCTTCCGTACTACAGCAGGGCAGTCTACAGAGCATGTAAGCGGTTCTTAGTTTGCATTCAGGCAAGTAACAAATCATCTCAAGTAACCCATGCCTGCTACCTAATGAAAAAGGGCGGAGGTCAGCATGTCTCAAACTTGAAAGATTGTTCTCGGAAAGAAGGCTCAGCTCGATGCAGCCAGCAATTTTGCTGAGAGTATAGACTGTCTCACATTGGGCGAGATCATTCCGTCCTTCGCTTTGACTCGTCTTGTTTCTCCGTGTAACTGGAATGCGGGTGGACGATCTAGAATTGTCATAGCTTGGGGGTTGGAATTAACGAGCGAAAGCTCATGCGCTCGCGACGTGAAATAGGGGTTCTCTTCCATGATGCCTTATCAATCCTTCATGAGTATGCAAAATCTATGTGGTAACATTGATGTACGCTAATATCGCTTGGGCCATGCAGCTTTCCCCAATGGAAAGACTTCACCGTTCGATTACGACTTCGTATCGTTCTCCCCCTTTTCACATTCGGCGTTGTCTCTCCTTTGAACATGCTTCCCCCACGAACCATGTGTCTCGGCACGACTAGTGCCCTCCTGCCTTGCTAGTGTTTTCCTTCAACTTCCATCCAATGACCTTGCCCCGAAGAACGATCAAGAACACCAGGCTGATGAATCCGCTGACAGCGGCAAAGATGAATGCATTGTCATAGGATCCATGGCTCTTCGCGGCGATTGCACCGGCGATGGGTGGAGCAGTCAGGGAAGCGACACCAGCAACTGCAAGTGCCGCACCCATTCGGAAGCCATACTCCTGTGGCGAGGGCGAAAGGTTCATGACCAAGACTGGAGCCAAGCCAATGCAGGCGCCGGAGCCAAAGCCGAAAAACGCTGCAAATACTATGATAGCGGCGTTGGATTTGCCCGGGAGCCAGAGGGCGAGCTCGATGATGGCTGTAAAGAGGAGCACAGCCATTGTGACGTTGTAGCGACCGTATTTGTCGGCCAATACATTCGGGATCGTACGGCCGAGGAAACTTGGGACTGTTAGCTTGACTCATCCAAGTTTTCGAGAAAAATCCTGCTGACCTTGCTGCATTCATAATGGGGATCAGGTTCAGTGCCATGGAAATGGACATTCCCCGGGTAATGGCTGACACTGAGAGGTAGTTCAGGGGGACGACGATAGCCCCTATCTCTGTCAGTGTCGTTCAAAATGCTAAACAGTCATTTTTCCACTACTCACAGTACAGAAAGAAGGCAAAGACGAACAAGATCAGGAAGTTCAGCTCCTTGAAAGGTTGAAGGAATCTCTGGAAGTCGAAATTCCGGTTCTTGCGCGGCATATTGGCGGATATGCAGCAAACGGTAATGGCCCAGAGACCCAGAATCAAGAAGGCACATGTCCGCATTGTCCAGCCGAATCCGATCTTGGGCAAAAGGTGGTTGACCATCAGTGGAAAGACCACCCCACCCACGGATGAGCCAGCAACGGTCAAACCACCGGCAAGCGCACGACCCTTGCGAAAATAGGTCATAGGCTAGCAATCGTCAGAACTGAGCAATCTATAGCAGTAGAACCTTGTTCTACGTACCGAAGTCACTGAAGGGTTAAAGATCAAAGAGGTGCCAATGCCTGACACAATAGACTGGCTGAGAAGGAATTGATAGTACTTGCTCGACAGACTGGCCATCATGAGACCAAAGACCTGCAGCAAGCCACCAATAAAGATGGGCACCCGGGGACCGTAGTTGTCGAAGAGATAGCCCGATACGGGGGAGAAGAACAGCATGAGGAAGACTGCAGAAACGTTAGCCACAATGGAAGCTGTATCGAAGTGGATATCTCGTACATTCAGTCGAAGTGATCCATGAGATCTCAGAACTCGAATAGGTCCTAAGCTGGTTCACCTCGTACTCTGCCTGGAAAATGGCAATGCAATTGAGCCAGCCAAAGGAGATGAAAAGACCGAAGAAGCCTCCAAGGAGGGCAAGGTAGGCTTTCGGCGTGCCCTCTTTGGCAGGTGCTTGAGGCTTCTCTACCTCCTTGACTGGCGGCGTCGAGGGTGTGGAGTCGTCACTGATGCGAGCGTCTTGCTCGACATCGTGGTCTTGTTTCTCGATTGATGCCATTGCTGCTGACTTGACTGAGGCGTCGACACAAGAGCGGGAGAACAGTTGCCAAGAATGTGTTGGGGAAACATGTTGCACATCGCGCGTGTTGATATATGGAAGCTGTCGAGTCGGCAAGTAAGTCTTTCCGGCTCTCTTGGTTCTCAGGCTTCGGAGCGGATTACTGCATTCGTGAGGCTGCAGGCTCGGGCGTGGGCTGCATATATGGTGCGCGAAATTCAATTCCCTTGACTTCTACGGAGGACTGAAAATACACCGCCCGTCTCTGCCCGAAGCCTTGCCCAGGCATCTGGTAGCTAGCTACAGTCCGCCGTAAATTTGGGGGGAAACATCGCGACCACCGTATTCTCTCGCGCCGACGCTAACGCGCATTAGGCAATGTCCTCCATCGCTCCTTCCGTGGGGACTTTCGTTCCTTTCGTCTTGCACGCACTCTCTCCCCCATCACAACACAACACCGCATCATCATGGAACGCAAAGGAGCCCGCGGTGTACCCGCGGACATGGTCCACCGCTGGTCCAAAGCACCACTATCCTGCCGCCTCTGTCGTGCCAAGAAGCTCCGCTGCGACCGTGCCCAGCCTTGCTCCAACTGCGCGCAGCGGAACGCCGACTGCGAATACACCGAGTCGTTACCCAGCACCGCCACCCGCTCCGATGCTGCACGCACGAAGACGACCAGCAAACGGGAGCAGCCTTTGCCGCCGAAAGAGCCCTTTCATCCTTCGTAAGTTCACTGACGACAGGATCTTGTAGCCTGGGGAGATTTCCGCCGAGTGCAGGCTAACTTGCGACGCTAGGAGCAAGGAGGCTGCGATGCTTGACAGATTGCAGCGTCTCGAGCAGATCGTCCTGCAACAGTCCAAGCAGGGACCGCAATCGTCCGCACAGCCAAGCGGGTCCCCCTCCGGCAATCACGTTACAGCTCCTGTGGCAGGCTCTGCAGACGGTCAGGAGCCGGCTTGGGTTTCAGGTGAGTCTCTCTGCTCCATAGCTGCTATTGAAATCTCGGTCTCTGACTGGCATCCTAGTCGGGGGCAGTGACGCATCAAGTCCGATGAACAGAGTCTCCAAGGCGACTAGCCTGGTCGACGAGATGGTACGTTGCTCTGCCGCTCGAAGGTCGGCTACTGACTGTCGTAGTCCTCAGGGCAGCTACAGCAAAGTGTGGTCGCATTTGGTTCTGGAATCCCGAGCGATGTTGAGCAGCTCATCAGTCCGGACCCCACAACCCCAGATGCTATTTTGCTCGCAAGATGTCTTCCTCCCCTCTCGCAGGCGATGGAGTTGTTCAATCACTTTATGCACGCGATCCACCCTACCTTTGGAGTTCTGCATGTTCCATCGACTCGGGCGCTTTTGCAGCAGATCTACCAGAACCTACTCGATGGAGATGAGCCAAATATGGCTGGTCTGGCCCTTATCTACTCCGTCTTTGCCGGTGCCGCTCTCGCTTGGTCGACTGAACTCCTCGGTGCTCTTCAAGCAACCCAGGAGAACGCCGAAATGTCATTTACGACTTACAGTCAATTGGCAGTCGCTATTCTTGACAATCGCCAGCACCCAGTGCCGAATTCCACAGTCGCATTGCAAGCGTTCAGTACGCTAGGGTACGTGCTGGCACATAGCGATGGCTTCTCACAGACTGTGCACCTGCTCAGGAGCAGAGAGATGCATATGTCACGAAGTCTCCAGATTCATCGATTGGACACTGCAAAGCGGCGAGAAGAACGACGTCTCAAAGGATTCAATATCATCGAGACGGAAGCCCAGCGTAGACTATGGTGGCACATGGTCTCCTCTGACTGGTCTGATATTCCAATGTTCATAATAAACGAAGCGCTCGCTGACCTCCTACTACAGGCTTCTTGCGCTATCTAGCGGCGCGAATGAAGGTGTCTATCTTCATCAACCACGGCATATGAACGTCAATTACCCGAGCAATATTGATGACGAGACCATTCCGGCCTCAGGTACGGACTTTGGTCTTCCCATATCCGTTCCCACCTCAACGTCCGCCTTCCTATGCCGGATTCGCCTTTCCGAATTTTGTCGCGAAGTTGTCGATACCCTGCCGCCTTTCGCTTTCCACGAGACGGACAGCAGCTCATCCCATGATTCAGAGATCGACTATGACCTGATCCTCGACCTGGACACTCGGTTGCAATATTACATCGATGCGCTACCCTTCTTTCTTAAGAATGACCAAGAAAGCCTACAACAGAGCGTCTTTGTCTGCCACGAACGGCCGTATATCGCTTGGCAACGAACGTTCCTGCACTTTGCAATCAACATGCGTATTTGCCGCCTCCACCGACCGTTCCATTTGGCCGGTTTCACGGACCCAAAATACGCATATTCGCGAGCGCGGTGTATTCGTGCGGCCGAGAACGTATTGGAACTGCGGCGTTCAATGGAGGACGTTGCGGCACTGATCAACCTCAACCCATCACGTTTTTGGCTCATCGTGCAGCATGTGTTCCAAGCCGCCATCATTCTTGCGATCGATGTGTCGTTGAAGCCCGACTCTCCAGAAGCCATACCGCGACGAACTGAGGTTCTCGCTGCATGCGAAATGCTTCAGCGGTCACAGCATGAATCCGCTACTTTGAAAAAGGCAATACAGAAGAACACACGAACTCTTTACAGGGTTCTCCAGAATCAGACTTCGCTGCCCAAAAGTCACCCGGCTTTGGGGAGTGGCATAGCGGCAAGCACATCTGGGTTCGAGTACAAAGACAACTTGATGAATGCAGATACGTTTTCAAATGGAGCGTCCCTTCAACACTTGGGAAATGGAGCCGATGCACTGCTTTACTCAGCACCTACCATGATGCCGGATCTGACGATGCCGCTTGTGCAGGATACAGCTACGTCCATGAATGGAGGAAACTGGCCTGACGCAACGCAGACTCAGCAGTTCGACGATGAAAGCTGGGGCAAGCTGTGGTCCGACGTTTTCAACAAAGGTCTGGATCTTGACCCCATGCAGTGGAGTTCTCTCATGGATGGCATGGGTTTCTCAGATATTAGCGGCGAGGAGCGATAGCATGTGGCCATTTCTTGACGCATATCTGGATGCTCGACGGCAACGGCGACAGCAAAACTGGGGCAATCCTTTTTAACGGTATTGTCACCGGCGGACAGAGAAGGCTTCGGCCAGGATGGCAACATTCGGTCATCGGGCCGGAAGTCGATGGGCACTATGTTTGGTAACAAAAGATCTCCCCTCCGTGAGGAATTTATCAGACGACTCTACGGGCCATTGGCACTTTTCCCCTAGGCTCGGTCGGGGACTAATGCGTTGAAGGATTCCACGTGTCAGCCCTTGGAACTGAATATCAGCACGTGATTGAGCTCTTAAGCGCCGACCACTAGTCCGACCTGAATGCCTTTCCGAAGGACAATATGTAGATCCTGACCTTACGCTCCAATACAGTATGGTCCATCTTCGACGTCCTCGCTCGCGCTGGCCACCAACTTCGAGCAAGGCGTAACCTCCAAACCCCGACCTGAGCCTACCTCCACCTCTCCTTCCATATGTAACGAAGATGTTGTTCTCATCGCCCAAAGAACCCCGCTCCGTCTGGGACTTGTTCGCGGACTGGGTCCAGAAACAACCAGACCATACCGCCATCGTCCAAGGAGATCACACAATAACGTACAGACAGCTTCACGACGCTGCCACAAGGATAGCAAGCCATCTTATCTCTAACTCAGTACAACATGGAGATGCAGTACCTGTTCTGGCGCGGCGCACTCCTGAGATGGTGGCATGCTTCCTTGCCGTCATTAAAGCAGGTGCTTGCTACGTTCCAGTCGACACAGAGTCATGGAGCGACGAACGAGCCAAATGGACGCTGAAGGAGGTCAATGCCAAGGTGATTCTCGATGCCGATGGCAGCGTAGGACATCTGGCGGCGAAGAACACTGAGTTGAAGACCATCAGCCACCAGGAGATTCAAGAGGCTTTTGCGGAATCAAACACCTACAAGTCAGACATGCCTGCTTTCGCCATGGTCAGCGAAGCGGCAGTGCAGCCCACGGACCTCGCATACATCATTTTCACATCTGGAACCACCTCTACTCCAAAAGGGGTGATGATACCGCACCGAGGATTGTTGAACTATGTTCAGCAAGGAAGCGAGGAGACGCCGTTCAATGGCGATCCTACGCCAGACGACACTTTACTGTTAATATTTTCACCTGGATTCGACGGTATGCATTTCCACTTCGCGTTCACTGATCTTAGCTGATCGTCGCCAACAGCCTGTACTGGAGTCTTGTTCTCAGCGATCTGCAACGGTGCACAGCTCCTCATCGCAACTCCCTCAGACTTCCTCGAATGCGCCACGCGATGCACGATCTTGCCAGCAACGCCTTCCGTTCTTCGCAGCATTTCAGATCCAGACTCATGTCCCCGAATCAGAACGATCATCATGGGTGGCGAAGCACCTACGCCAGCCCTTATTCAAGCTTGGGCACGACCTGGACGGCAAATATACAATGGCTATGGCCCAACAGAAACGACGTGCTCTTCGCTCATGGCGAAACTCACCCCGGACTCACCAATCACTCTCGGTCACCCGATGAGCAACAGTCGAGTCGTCTTGCTTGATGATAGCATGGTGGAATCAAATTATGGCGAGATTTGCATCTCTGGACCTGGCCTGGCAAAGGGATACTACTGCAACGAGGAGCTCACAGCGACAAAATTCATCATGTGGGATGGAGAGCGCTTCTATCGCACTGGAGATTTTGCCCGGCGGACCGAGCACGGTCTGGAGTTCGTCGGTCGAGTGGACAGCTTTGTGAAGAACAGAGGTTATTTGGTCAATCTGGAATCTCAAGTGATCCCACTTCTCTGCAAGTACCCTGCAGTCGAAGCTGCGACAGCATTCATGCATCAAGATCGTCTTGTAGCTTTCGTCACCCCTTCTCAGCCTGACGCCTTGGCCATGAGGCAATCACTGGCCGAGCAGTACGATAGCTTTCTCGTACCGGATCAAATCCGTGCGCTTGAGGATCTCCCCCTAACACCGAACGGCAAGGTTGACAATCGGGCATTGAAATTACTCCTCGATGGAGAAGCTTCCGAGCTTGATTCGGGGCGCGGCGCGGGCTCGACACTGGACATACTAAAGGTAGCTGTCGCTGCTGCCCTGTCCATCCCGGTTCACGACATCCAAGAGAGCCAGACTTTCTGGGGCCTGGGTGGCAACTCTCTGGCCGCTATCAAAGTCCTCTCCTTCTTGCAGAAGAACGGATTGAGCCTTCGTCTGGCAGCTCTTTTCGAGGCTGATTCCCTTGCCTCGGTATGTGCTTCGATCGAGTCAAGAGATTCCAGGGACGAGAAGACCGCGTTCGACCACTCGCCTGACGAGGGGCCAATGACCACCATGCAAACAAAGATGGTGCGCCGATCACTGCAGAGCCCTGGGAAGGGGTACATGCTCTTGAGAATGACCGTCCCACATTCCGGATATGCAGTGGATGACCAGAAGCTACAAAATGCATGGCTACAGGTGCTTCAACGTCACCCGATTCTCCGCACATCCTTCAGTCTCTCCAATGAAACACAGCATGTCTCGCCCCATGCTCAGCTTGATTGGCACAGCCAAGAAGCCAGTCTGGATGATATGGATGCACTCGTGCAAGCACATTCATCTGAACTTGGGCTGAAGGTGAACCATGTCGGACAGGACGATATATTTGCGCCTACTACAGCGTTCCGACTTCTGACTATACCCAACGAACAGTCGACACTGCTCATCCTCACTCACCACAGCCAGGCAGACGGCTGGTCTTTCGGTATCCTCTTGGATGAATTGCGGACTATACTCGACGGTGGGATACTTTCTGATCCCCCGACCTTCATGAACGTGGCACGTGAGCAGCGTCTGTTACAGGAGTCGGACAAAGGACGGCATTACTGGTCCGATCTATTGCAATCCCACCCTGAGCCACAAGGTCTTACTTTCCCGCCTCACGTGCAAGAGGAAAGACCTGCAGATTGGACGCCGAGCTGCAAACTGGACCTGGACCTCGAGCCTGATGTCCTCGCTGACTGTGCAAGAAGGCTGCACGTCACTCCACCAGCGATTCTTTACACAGCATGGGCCACGGTCCTCTCTTACTACACATCGTCTGACCAAGTCGCTTTTGGTGCTGTCTTCTCCGGACGCAACATGTCCCTTCCACAGGTTGACCGAGTCGTTGGACCTTTGCTCAACACATGCCCATTCTTCATTGATTTCGAATCACATGAATCCGTGGAGCGATGCGTATCCCGCACATTCTCTAGGCTCCTACAAATGCTGGAGCTTCAGTGGTCAGCAGACGTTGCGATGGCGGACATGCCGACCGATTACATCAAGAACGTATTGAGAACTGTTGTGGTCATGGAGTATGACTTGCCGACTTCTACGGCTCCTTGCGAAGCATATCCAGAGCCCTGGACCATCGAGCGCGAGGATCTGCTCGAGTTCGATATCTCACTACTCATTGAGACTGCGGATGGCTCCTTACAAGCACGGCTTCTCTACGACGATGCACGTTATGGTCGGACCATGATGCAGCGTATGCTCAATCATTTCAATCAAGTTCTGCATGGCATTCTGTCCGAGGATGTCAAGTCCATGCGTCAGGTCCAAGAGCGCATGCTGAGCGTCGAAGAACGACAATGGCTCCTCCAGTCTCCAGAGGCTGTTCCAAGTATCTATCCAGTCGCCGCCACGGTGAAAAATGCATTTGAGAGCGCTGCTGCACAATGGCCTGACCTCCTGGCTATTGAGTCAGCCCATGGATCAATGACTTACGCCGAGCTGGACGCAGCCGCCAATACCGTGGCACATACGTTGATCGAGACTGCAAACGCCGGGGAAGTAATTCCTATTCTTGCAGACGGGTCGCTGAACTGGGTCATATCCGTCATTGCCGTCTTCAAGACCGGATGTATCTGCTGCGTAGTGGACAAGAACCTGCCCAAGAGCCGAGTGGATGCTATCATCACGCAGACTGGCGCTACAACTCTACTTGCTGCCAACAAAGCCTGCGCTGAAATTGTACAGGGCGATCGTGCTGCTGGATGGGCGGTCCTTGTCTGCGATGAGCTTCTAGCAATGAACCCTCTACGAATGGATCCTTTGCCTACATTGTCAAAGCCACGAGATACTGCATATGTTGTGTTCACTTCAGGAAGCACGGGTGTGCCCAAGGGTAAGTCCTCGCCAGCCAGGGTTGGAGTATCTGCTGACAGACTCTTGCAGGCGTGCCTCTCCACAACTTGTCTATTCTGAACGTGATCAGACACGACTTCGTTCGCATAGGGTCAGCCCCTGGTCGACGGAATGCGCAACTGCTCTCGCTTGGTACACTTCTCCTTGCCTTTAGACAAGAAGAACATACATACTGATGCTAGCTCCATAGGTTTCGACGTCGTACTTGTAGAGCTCTTCGGATCTCTCTGTTACGGAGCAACTCTTGTCCTGAAGGATCCAACTGACCCCTTCGCGCATCTCAAGCGAGTCGATGCTACCCTCGCCACTCCTTCACTGCTGTCTGCTTGCCGCCCGGAAGCATATCCAAACCTCCAGACCATTGCTGTTGCCGGCGAGCCAGTTCCGCAGAGCCTGGCTGATACATGGGGGCATCGCAATCTCATGAACTTGTACGGACCTGCAGAGGTGAGAACGAACTCCATACATCGAAACATATATGACGTAGACTGACAGTCGCAGTGCGCCATGATCTCGACTGGCACCCGCCTTCTTCCTCAGGGTACCATAACCATTGGGAAACCATTGCCAGGGCTGAGTGCATACCTGTTCAACGACAAGCAACTTCCCGTCCCAGCCGGCGTCGTGGGAGAGCTTTACCTATCTGGAGAGCAGGTGACGCCAGGCTACTGGAACGTGAAGACCAACCCCAGATTCACGCCAAATCCCTTCTCCCCAGGACATACCATGTATCGAACTGGAGATCTTGCGTACTGGGACTCTTCACGGAATCTGGTATATCTTCGGCGAGTAGACAATCAGATTAAAGTGAGAGGATACCGTGTTGAGCTTGAGGAGATCGAGCGGGCGTTGCACAAGGCAGACAGCAACATTCGAAGCGCCGCAGCTATCGTCGCAGAAGGTGTTCGCATCGTTGCCTTCATCACACCGGCGACCATCGACATTCCGGCTCTGCGCCGTGAGCTTGCCAATTTGCTGCCGCGCTATACCCGTCCCACGGAGATCTTTGCTCTGTCTTCTCTGCCCACATCAGCGAATGCCAAAATCGATCGGAAAGCATTGTTGGAGCAAGCGCTGGCTTCGAAGGGACATGGCGAGCCACCTTCTACGCCTACGGAAGTCCTTATCGCGAAGATCTGGAGTGACCTGCTACCTTCGTACCGCGAGTCTGGCAATACCGTTCAGCGCGATGATGACTTCTTGGGCATCGGCGGCAACTCTCTGCTATCGATCGTGGCGGCAAGGAAGATTTCGTCTTCGGTCGGCAGACAGATTCCAATGGCTCTCCTGCTCCGCGACACGGTCCTTTCGGAACTCGCAGAGAAGGTCGATGACTATGTCCAAGGATCGACTGCGCCTAGTGACGATACTGATGGCTCATTCACGTCCTATGTCAAGACACATCCAACTGCTCTGGGCTCTGTCGATCCAAGTCTTGTACAGCCATCGTATTTGGAGCAAGAGCTCTTCGAGATGCACTCCCAGTCCACAACGAAGAGTGCTTTCAACGTGACCGCACAGTTTGAGCTCTCTGGCCCGGTCAACGTCGAGGCTCTGTTGGAAGCGTTCACAACTCTGGTTCGCGACAACTCCATCCTTCGCGCTCGTTATCTCTTTGAAGATGGACGTCTGATCCGAAGATGTAGCAATGACATCTCGCCGCCAGAACTTTTCATCGGTGACGAGATGACACCTGAGCGCCTGGAGCGCTTTGCCAACGAGGCTTTCGACCTAGCTTCTGACCAGCTTCTCCGTTCCATTTTGTGGCAGAAGGATGATAAGACGATAGTCATTACCCTGGTGTTGCATCACATTATCACGGACAAAGCTTCTCTGGCTTTGATGCTCCAGGATGTTGCAAAGCTTTATCAATCTTCTCTCGCAGGGCCAAATCATGACAATGAGGTTGACACAGAGAAGCTCAGCTATTCGTCCTGGTCTCAATGGTACCACGAGACTGAAGGCTGCAGAGTGATTGAGAACAGAGAAAAGGAGGCATTCTGGAAGAACCATCTGCAAGACGCACAACCGATTGCGAGCCTCAAGCCTGCCTCGCCAGCGACTTTCAACGGCAACCAGGGTTCAGACGTCAAGCACTCCATCCTGATACCCAACCTGGAAAACAAGCAGTTCTCTCAACGTCTCGCCGTGGCCGCAACAGCACTTTCGCTGTACACGATATCTCAGTCGGCGGATATGACTCTGGCTCTGCCCTTCGTCAACCGCGAAGACGAATCCACCCAAGACATGCTTGGACTGTTTGTCGATCGGTTGCCCGTCCGTCTGAACCTGGCAACTTACTTGGAGTCACAACACAGCAACTCTGAGGCCTTCCTCGCCAATGTGGCAGACCACATTACAGACGCTGTCGACAACGCTTTGCCTTACAGTGACATCGAGAACCTTATCGCTGGAAGCAAGCCTGTCGACCCGCTTTTTGACGCACTGATCGTGTACCACTGGGCTTCGGACGCACTGGAAAAGAACCTCGTCTTGTCTGATTCGGAGCAGATAAGTGTTCGCAGCTGTCCTCTTCGGCCACAAGGTGCCATGCATCCATTGACGTTCGAGTTCACGGAGGTTGAGGATGGATTGGCTTGCTACGTGGAGTTTGACCCTGCGCTGGTTGCGGAGGAGCATGTATCTGCTTTGTTGGATGTTCTCCCAGTAGCGCTCAAGAGCTTTGCCGATGGTAAAGCGCTCAGTGCTATTGTGAAGTCTTGATGAGTGGGGATTGAGGATTGCATATAGGTGATGAGGGGAGTAGTGTTCAAGTTTTCAAAGTGCGTTTGGGTTTGGGTGGAAATCTTCGAGATAGAAGCAATAGTACGATATGACATAGCATTCATTGAACTTGAGTCTCTTGATTTACTTGCAGTCACTATGAAGAAGCGTCTGCAATCGACAAGTTGCCCTTGTCAAAAATCATCACTGCCAGTCAGGCAACTGCCCCTGCGCCAGGCATCAACAAGGCTCGGAGAGCAGCCTGGACGTGTTCTCTTTCGCACATTCCACGTTTCGGAGGGTCCACGGTGCCAGTGGCCTATGCGGCATACATCATTATGAAACTCGCCGAAGACAAGGAAAGTGCGAATGACCCATGTTGCACAAAGATGTCTGATCTTGGAAAGCACGTCCGCGGGCCGGGCGCTCCTTCCTAAATAGGCAATTCCTTTGCGCTTGCCTAGCGCCTTTGTTTCGATCTTTCCTGAACAACGCACCCACGTTCTTTCCACAAAACTGCGACTTCCTCGCCATGAAAGCGCATATGACCCCACGCTGAACCTCCAGCCTCCACTTTCCAACCTTCGTTAAGTGACCATGCTGCCAACTCGCAAGGTAAATACCGCCCCTCCACTCCAAACAAGCCACCTCAGCTAACATACCCAGGCCATAATCCTCGGCGCAGGCCCAGCAGGCCTCTCAACAGCTCTATGCCTGCGCCAAATGACCGACATCAAACCGGTCATCTACGAACTGCGGCCAAAGCCGACAACCCTCGGCGGAGCCATTGGCATTACCTCCAACGGCCTTCGCCTTTTCGACCGTCTCGGAGTCGCAGACGCTCTGATCAAACGAGGGAGCACACGAACAGATGTCGCTGTCTACTCCCTCAATCAGGGAAAGCTGGGCCGCTTGCACGACTTCGCGGCACATGTGCGTGCCGAGACTGGGTACGGATATGTGCGAATCAAGCGGGTGGATATCGTGGATGTGTTGATGGAGGCGGTGCGGAAGGCTGAGATTCCGGTACATTTTGGAAAGAAGGTGCAGAAAGTTGAGAATGGAGAGAGTCGCTCGGATGTTCGGGTTCAGTTTGAAGACGGCTCGTCGGATCGAGGAGATATCTTGGTCGGCTGTGACGGGATTCATTCGGCGGTCAGGAGAATGTGTATTGATCCGGAATCGGAACCGGAATACTCTGGACTTTCTGGCATGTTCTCCACGATCCCCGCTTCAGCCGTGTCGACCAAGGTGACCAGTCAATTGACGGGTTTGAACGTCACCATTACCGCACAGGGGATGTTCATGGCAGCACCATGCACAGCCAGCCAAGACGAGATCTACTGGGGCTTCCAGCGAGAAGTCGCGATGCCGAACGTTGGAGACACCCGTGACGGCTGGGAAGTTCGAGGGCGGCAAGAAGTCGATGGGTTCAAAGACACCTTGCGCGGAATCATCAAAGATGGGGGCGGAAAGTGGATCGACGCCCTCCGAGAACTTATCGATGCAACAGATGTCATGAAATTCTACCCGATCTACAGACTACCGCTCGGTCGAGCCTGGTCGAACGGTCGATGTCTCATTCTTGGCGACGCAGCACACGCCACACAGCCGCACGCTGGCCAGGGCGTCTCATTAGCTGTGGAGGACGCTTTTCTCATCTCTCACCTCCTATCAGACTACACCCGACCAGTCTCCGAAGTTAATGATCTGTTCGAGCGAATCCGGAGACCTCGTGTGGCAGCCATCCACCAGACTGCATCTCAGAACTCATCGACTCGACGTAATGCCGAAGCTCCTGGTCAGGCTGTGAAAGAAGATGCATTGAGGAGTGCACTTGCTGCTTCGTCTGGACGGATAGCGATTTCGAATCAGCTTTTGGGGCAGAAGTATGCTACTTATGACATCGTTGGGGAGAGGGTGTAGAATCAGGCGTTCCGCATGGCGTTTGGCGTTCAAGGTGCATGTGTAGAAGATATGTTTGCGGAGGATGATTGCACACTGCAGCGACGTCCTCTGGAGAGAATCAAGACAACATTTCTGGAGAGAGAGTCTAACTCATCAACATAGCATAAACCAAGCATGTACAGTAGCAGGAGCGAAACCCATTTGCTTCACCGTTTCGAACCACCTGAGTACCACACTGATGCTGTGACGAAAGTGCATGCCTTGTACTCCCTGCGTCAACTGGAGAAAATCATGTCGACGGAGATTATCTTCCCACAAAATGTCCGAGCAGCAAAGCATTCTAGTTGCCTAAACCCTGTACACTAACCAAGGTGCACGAGTTGTGAAACGGCGCTGGAAGCAGGCAAGGCTGAATTGCTCCGCGGACGAACTTGCCCGAAACGAGTGGTCCTGCCCGACTTAAGGCCCGAATAAAACAGAAGCCACGGTCGCAGTCCAGGTAGCAACATTCCACGTCCGGTGTAAAAGCAAGAGCTCTCGCCGAATGCTGCCGCTCCTCTTCGTCTCCCAAGCCCTTTGCATCCTGCTCTCGTGCAACAACGCGAACATGGTCTCCGAATCCTGGGAATTCTACACCGCAGCCTTGGGCGCCATGTCGTCCTTGGCGACCACCCGCATCAACCAGAAACTCCAGTCGATCCCCCATTCCCTCGCCTACCAAGCCACCGCAGATGCAAAGAACGTCGTCATCATCGGCGGCTCGTACGCAGGGGCTCGACTGGCGCAACGACTGACCGAGACGTTGCCGACTGGATACCGTGCGGTGCTGATCGAGCGCAACTCGCACTTCAACCACTTCTTCGTGTTTCCGCGATTCGGTGTCGTCAAGGGGAAGGAGGAAGCGGCGTTCATTCCGTACGACAATCTCACCAAGGGAGCGCCGCAGGGGATTTTCCAGCATATTCGGGCGACGGCGACGGAGATCACGCCGAAGAAGGTTAAGCTTTCGAATGGGGATGAGATCGAGTATGAGTATTTGACGGTGGCGACGGGGTCGTGGCAGCCGGCGCCGAGCAAGTTCGATGTTTTGGAGAAGAGGGATGGTGTGAAGGCTTTCCAGGCGACGCAGAAGGCTGTGGAGGTCGCGAAGAGTATTACTGTTGTTGGTGGTGGGCCGGTGGGTGTGCAGATGGCGAGTGATATCAAGAGTTACTATCCAACAAAAGATGTCACTCTTGTGCATTCCAGGGAGAATGTGATGAATGCTTTTGGACCCAGGTTGCAGGGCGTTGTGGCGGATAGCCTGAAGAGCTTGGGTGTCTCCGTGTTGCTTGGAGAGAGGCCATCTGTCAAGGCTGATGGGTCGAGTGCGGCGGAGAAGGGTCAGAATGTTGGACCTGGTAGTCTTGTGTTCCGGAACGGCTCGCAGAAGGCCTATGATCTCGTGGTAAGCAACCATCATGTTCTACAAAACTGACTAGTTTTCGCTGACAAGCTCTGTCCAGCTCCCATGCACCGGCCAACGACCTAACTCAAGCATTCTCTCTCATCTTCTCCCATCCGCAATCGATCCAAAGTCAGGCCAGATCCTTGTTCGACCAACATTGCAAGTGAACCCTGGTCCAGCGTCAGAGAAGACTGCCGATTCCAACACTGCTGCTTCAAACCGAATATTCTCCTTGGGCGATGTGGCTCAAACCGGCGGACCTCGTTTTGCCCGCGCCGCGAGAGCACAAGCTGAAGTCGTCACCTCGAACATCCTATCGTTGATCCAGGGGCAAAAGGAGAAGCTGGTCGAGTACCACCCAGCGATGTACGAGGGCGCCATCAAGCTTACCCTTGGGAAGGTACGTGGAAACCTGAGCTAATTGAACTGTTAACCTACTGACCAATCAATCCCAGGAGGACTACGTATTCTGCGGCCGCACCGCCGACGGACGCGAGATCATGAAATTCGGCAAGGAGAATGCGTCCAACGAGAACTTCGAACTTGCCTCGGCGTGGAAGGAGCTAAGGGCCAGATTAGATGTCGCTCCTGCTGCTGCTGCTCCTGCAACAAGTACTCCCGCTGCAGCTTCGAAGACTCCTACTCCTATACGCACGGGCTGGGAAGAGCGGGTTGCGGCCTTCGACAAGCATAAGCAGAGGTTCAATGCCACTTGGGGGACGGCGAGATAGATGAAGCGTGTTCGCCGAAGGGTCAGGTTGAGGATTTTGCTTGCACGATTGGGTGTGAGAAGGTGCTAGTTGCGGCTCATGGCTATGTTTCCTGTTCGGATGTTGTTCAGCATATAGTTATCTCGTGATTCTGTTCGAAGTGGAATGACATATATTGAACAACCTGGCCTCGTCGTCTCCCGACCTCCTAGAGCGGCTAGACTCTGACTGGTGCTTCAGATGGGCTGGACAGCTCGCAAGCAATGGGGATAAATACCTGGTTTGGAGCGAAATAATGAAGAGAGTAGAAAAGAGTCTCTACCCCTTGAGCATTGACCTGGAGACAAGAACTTTTACCAAGCAGGAAACTACACTAGTCCCAAAATGCTCCACACTAGCCGGTCCTACCCGAAAGCATTCACCTCCCAAGCTCGACCTCACCTCATCTCTACCCCTCGTATCCACCTATCCCTAATCCCTGCGTCTGCATCTGTTCTCCGCACGTCAATCAGCTCGCGAACGTGAGGAGATTTCGTGCTATGGACGGGTACCTTGCAGTGAGGAAAACGTAGCTCTTATTACGACTTCCTCTCCATCTTTCCTCACTCCTCCATCTTCCATCTTCCTCTCCCCCATATCTCCATCACAAATCTACCCGCAACCATGGCAACAACCTCCCCCCAAAACCTCCCCGGCGCCCCCGTCGACCCCTCCGCCGCCCAAGGCGCCCAGATCCCCCTCCAGTCCTTCACCCTCCCCACCTTCCCGCCCGAAGCCTCCTCCCTCAAAGCCCTCACCCTCACCTCCGACATAACCGTCTCAGACTACCAGTCCCACCTCACGCAGCCCTTCAGCATCCCGCCTCTCCCCGCAGGAATCGAATCCCTCACCCTCGAGCTCTTCAGCATGGGATACCCCCCGGCGTTCTTGAGCACATTGGCGGACCGTCTGCCGAATCTGAAGAGCGTGGTCGTGTACAGCCAGTTGTTCGCGGGCATCAGCGAGGAGAGCATGGATGATGCGGTGGAGTTTTTCAAGAAGTTGCAGGGGTTGCGGGCGGTGCATTTCTTGGATGTCTTTGCGAAGCCGGGCTTCTTTAGCAAGGCGGCGAAGTGGTTGAAGTATAACACGAGTGACACTCCCGGGGAGGCGAGACGGGGGTTGATGTTTTTGGAGATCAACTATACGTTTCGACACGAAGATGAGGATTTCATGGGCAAGATCCAGGCGAGTGAGTTGCCGAGTCTGGTTGGACCGGGTTTGATTTCCTGCTCGTTCAATTTGAGTGAGCCTGAAGGCGCGGAAGAGGACGAGGAAGATCCGACGAACATTCAAGGTGTTGCGAGCAAAGAGGGGATCATGGCGTTCAATCAAAGTCTGGCAGGGCCGTTGATTGAGGCTTTGACCGACGAGGAGACGTCGCCGAAGGGCCTGAGAGCGCTGATCACGACGTTGTACACGTTGACGGCGGAGCAGTTGAGGAAGATACTGGAAGTGCAGAAGCATGTGCTGGTGCTGCAGGCAACCGCGGAGGTAGAACCTGGGGAGGAGTACAAGAAGAAGTTGTTGAAGGCGGTGGAAGGGTGTAAGAATCTGGAACAGGTGGAGGTTGTTGCGAACCCGAGCTTGCAATTTTTCATGGAAGTATGCATGCCCTTTTATTTACACGTACCTCGTGTCCGTCCATCAAGCATTCACTCACGTCTACCGATCCTCATTCTTCACCCATTACACTCGCAGAGATAAGGTACATGCTGACGATGATACTCAGGTCCAAAATCCTCGGTCTGGCGTCATGGCCAAGACATTCCCAACTGGAGAAGACTTGGAAACACTGTCGAAGAAGTGCGAGAAGCTGTCGAGTTTCAAAGCGAATGTGTTGCGGACCACCAATCTCGGCACCGTCGACTGGCAGAAGAAAGACGGCAAGTGGAGTGGCGGTGTGCTGCCAGGGAAGGGTACTGGAACCGTGACCGTGTAATGTGTAATCCATATCGAGTAAGATGTCTCTCCATCTCGCACCGAGACTGTTGCGCTGGCAAGAAGCTCGATGGCATAGTCGAGCTTCGTGTCTCGGGGAATGTGATGTCCGCACTAGAGTGGTGCCGGGTCAGGCGATGGAGATTTCGCTCGGGACAGATCACCAATAGTCCATCGTTGATGCTCCTGCTGATATGCCTGCCTGTCGCTGGTGGCCTTACCGATGCCTTCCACCATCTTGCGCATCTCGTTGGGAAAGACCTCTTCGATTTGCTTCTGGAGCTTGGCAAGATGGGTCTGAACCTTGACTTCGCCAAGCCAGTCAGCGAAGAGACTTCGCCGGTTAACCATCTTCCCTTGTAGGTATCGGACTTGTCGAGCCATCTGCGCGGCTCGGGAGTTGCCCATCCTCTGTGGATTGTTGCTGGGCAGTGGGTCCAGGACGTCAATCAGTCGCAAGTAGGCTTCTGCGTTCGACAAGATGAGGCGACAATGCATAAGCGTGTTGAACACGGGCTCTCGCAGGCGCAGCTCTGCAGCCATGTCGTTCCGCAGAAAGTCAGGTACCTCGACATCGCCGGCGAACGTAAGATCGGTGTTCCGCAAACGACGCAATGGATACAACACACTGGCGACGACTTTATCCTGGAGCGTGCCGGAGGTTGTCGAGACACGGACTCGGAGACCCTTCAGCCGGCCACCCTCCATGAGAATCGAAGCCAAAGCCAGTAGGGCAGAGCGCACGAAGTCGACAATAGGGTTTCTGTTCGCTGCTGCGTACGGCAAGTCCATATGAATCTCTATCTCGAGCTTTCGCAGACGGGCTAAAAAGCTTGGGTAGTGATCGATGGCACCGGGAAGCTGAGAGAGTTCGAGAGCATTCGCTCCAGAATACGTCCGGTGGTTGATTATCACGCGTTTTCCGCTGGAATCTTGTCGATTCGAAAACGCGCAAGAGATGACGTTGTCCGCATACAGAATCTCGTTGGCCTCGTTGTATATTGCCTTGCAAGTCCTCAAAATCTGTGTCCGGCGGGTATAGCGCTGCTGGGGCGCTAAGAGGTATCCGTACACCTCATTCCTCATCTCGGCCGGTAGATCGAGGAAGCGAAAGACGCGGACACTGTCCGCAGTGAGAAGCTCTTTGATGTAGTAGTACTTCAGAGTGACGCCAGCAGGAAATGCATCCAACAGACCGCGCTGCAGGACGAATTGCTTCAACACTTTGGGCTTGCATTGTTCGTCGTAGTACGCCAGGAACTGATCGTCCCAACGCGAGTCGTCGTAGAAGGCGTCAGCAACAGCGTTCTCTTGATGGCGGTGGAAGAATCCAGAACGGACTGCACAGAGCGTTGGGTCCTGGTCGATTCGGTCTTCCCAACACGCGTTACAATTGCAAGACTCAGGATCGTTTTCGAAATCGCAGTCCTCTCGGCTGCAAATGCATTCATAGTAGTCGTTCATCGTTGCAGTGTGGTCGCTACAGCCGCAGGAGTCGATCGATTCGCCGTCATCGTCGCTGTCGTCTCTCAGGGCGGGCGCGCAGCCGTCGAAGTTGAGCGTACTCTGACGCATCCTGGAAGCTGCGTCAGTAAAGGGCTGATTGAAGCAATATCTCGTGAGTCTCACTGCCTAGTCGGCGCCTTCGTCTTACGTCCGACCGCCGCGAACGCCTGCTTCAGCGTTTGCTGTCGTGCCATCCCCGCAGTCACCACGTTAGACCGTGTCCCTCTCCAATGGCGAGTCGCTGTGTTGTCAGTGCTATTTTGGGGAGAGAGTGTGGGATTTGTCGAGGAAGTGAAGTGCAGTGCAGTGAAGTCACGCTAGGCTCCCATCAACGCGCAAAGACAGCGCGTGCGGTACGCGAGTCAAAGAAGGAAGGAACGACCTTGCGACAAAAGCACTCAAAAGAAACCTGTTTGCTAGTGCAAGGAGATAACGAACAGCAAAATACCTTCATGATAACACCAAGAAAAGGGAGATATATATTGGCAGTCACTCGCACAAGCTCTATACCTATCCGCCCCTTGACGGCTTCACTGTATCTCTCAGCATCCCGAACGCCGTGGCGCTCGAATGCATGCTTTTCTATCGCCCTGGTCCATCTTACAACAACACCTCTTTAGGCGGCAGAGCCGTTCTGTTCCACGGCTCCAGCCTCAATCACGCCTCGCACACCACCCTTTCCGCCAACTTCCCTCGCAACGACAGTGACGCTGAGGTCTGCCGCCACGTTGATCTGGACCTCGACCTTGCCGCCCTTCTTGACACCCTTGATGGCAGCCTCAGCGAGCGGCTTGCTGACCTTCCACACTTTGCTTCTGATCTCTTCCGGCTCATCATCCTCGTCGTCCTCATCATCGTCATCGTCGTCATCATCCTTCTTGCCATTCGTGGCTGGCTTCTCCTCTTGCGTGATCTTGATCTCTCGAACACCCTCGGCGAGCTTGAGGAGAACGTCGCCTCCGTTCTTGACCGAGATCTGTGCCGTTCTCCGTACTGGAACGGGGGTCTCTGGTGGCACAATGACTGAGAATTGGTCCTCGCCGGTGACAAGACCAATAGCGTGTTGGATGTGAGGGGTGACGGTAACAACGGCTTCGGTGTTCTCAACGATATCCTGTGATTCGAACTCTGAGATAAGCGAAGCCTGAATAGCGGCTCCTCGTGCGGCAAGTTCGCTGGGGTTGACGGCGGATGGGGTCGTGCTGGGTGCAATGACGACGGTGCTCTCTGGGAAGTGCGATTGTACGTTAGAAGCGATCTTTGGCGTGTGCGAGGTTCCGCCAGAAAGAACAATCTCGTCGATGTCCAGAACGTCCAGATCGGCTTTCTGCACTGCGCCTTCGATGAGTCTGGTAAATGACGCAAAGACCTTGTTGCCGAGCAGCTCGAATCGCGTTCGGTTCACACTCAAGCTGAAGTCGATGCCGTCCACAAGAGACTCTATCGAGAAGGAGGCACTCGCGCCCAAGCTCAGCGCCTTCTTCACGGCCTCTGCCTCCAGAGTCAACTTCGCCAGACTTCGCTCATTTTCTCTTGGGTCCTTTGCATTCTTGTTCTTGTTGAGGAATTCCTTCGCTGCGTACTCAATCAGCACCTTGTCCAAAGTCACACCTCCCAGCTCGTAGTCATGTGCCGTAGCCAGGGTGGTGTACATCCCAGCCCTGCTCGACACAACCGACACATCAGATCGCGTGCCTCCAAGATCTCCAACGATGACGATCTTATCCTGCTGGGATGGCTGCCCCTCGCCTGATTGTTGGATTTTGGCATCGTATGCAAGCAGAGCAGAGATCGGCTCAGAAATGAATTGCAGCACCTCAATACCAGCCGCTTCAGCCGAGGTTTTCAGCGCCACCTTCTGCGCATCTGAGAAGTCTGATGGAACTGTGATAACAGCCGCATTCACGTCCTTGCCCAGATAGTCTGACGCCGCGCTCTTCAATCTCCGCAGCAGTCTGGTCGAGACTTCCTGTACTGTAAGGGTGCTCTTCTGTGGCTGTGGCCCCTCCTCTTCTGAGGCTTTCTCTTGCACCACAAAAGCCACCGTCTTCCCGCCATCATGCTCGACCGGGTGTGCAACAGCCTGACAAGGCGTGGGATCGATCTCCTTGAAGCTCTTGCCCAGGTAGTCTCGCACGTGTGCAATCGTATTCCGCGGGTTTCGTGGGATCTGAGCCTTTGCTTGTGCGCCGGTAAACTCTTCGCCGCCGACGTAGGAGAGGATGGAAGGGATTTGTCGGTCTCCATCTGGGTCTGCAATCACCTCTGCCTTGCCATCCGCTGCGTTGGTGTAGGCAATGCTGCTGTAAGAGTTGCCAAACGAGATACCGATCGCATTACGCTTGGGACCGTTCTCGATAGGTTCGGGGCTGTTCGAGCCTGTATTGTCGCCGCTCATCTTGTGTGAAAGTTCTCAACGTACTGTGAGACTTTCTGAGGAGGAGAGGAAAAGGAGACTGGAATTTGTTGGTTCTGGAGCAGGAGCATGTGCACGCTGGAAGAAAGTCGCAGGTCCGCCAAAAATTCGTGGACCCTTGCCTGCGGATGCTCCCGAAAGTTAATCATTTCGACCTCATCGACATTCATTGGGCAACAACAACTCTTGAATCAACCCCCACAACAATGGCGGACACAGCAATATTCCTCCCTGGCGAGGAGATATCACAAGATTCTCTGCCAAAATCGAAGAAAGGCACTCTCACACTTGGCCCCGGTCTACGACACATCCCGCCATCAACAATCCTCTCCACAACCTCTGGCACGCTTCACGTCGACCACAAGAAAGCGGCCCTATGGATCGAACACGCCCATGGCCGCTACCTTCCCTCAGTTGGTGACCTTGTCATCTCCCAAATCCACCACTCCAGCGCCGAAGCCTACGCCTGCAGCCTCACACCAAACACACCATACGCATTGCTTGGCCAATTAGCTTTCGAAGGCGCGAACAAGAAGACCAGGCCACAGTTGAAAGCTGGCGACCTGGTATATGCGCGCATCATCAAGGCGAGTAAATGGGAAGATACCGAGATCGAATGCTACAACTCAAGCACCGGCAAAGCAGAGGGCATGGGCCCTTTGAGTGGAGGTATGGTGTTCGACGTGAGCCCTGCTTTTGCGAGGAGGTTGATGATGGGCACGGATAAGAATGGCAAGCAGAAGGGCGAGCTTGTCGTGTTGGAAGATGTGGGCGAGAAGGTGCGATTTGAGGTTGCAGTGGGAAGGAATGGCAAGGTGTGGGTGGATAGTGGGAGTGTGAGGGAGACGGTCATGATCGGGAGGTTATTGAAAGACGTTGATGAGAGCGGGATGGATATAGAGGCGCAAAAGAAAGCGATTAAGAAGGCACTGAAAGAGGTCGGGAAGTGAAGGGCTGAACCTGTAAAAGCTCGGAATACCCTAAAGACCATTTGCAGCGGGAAACGTGGAGCGACATCCTCCCGGACCTTACTGGATGCCATTATCTCGTTCTTGGAAGGCTTTGATGGGAATGACCAACATTCAAAACCATGCATTTTGGCCATCGCCGATCCTGTCCCACACTCACAAGCGACATAAGGGACTATCATCGACAATGCTTCCATGTTATCGGACGCATCCGATCTGTGTTCTCGCCTTGTATGCTCTTGCTGTAGCCTCAAACCAGTGCATATGAGCTTGATGCATCTGGACTGGGAGTCGCAAGAACTGACGACGCTTGGCGGACTCCTTGCATCACTCTACTCATGCGAACTTGCATGACGCACCTGGCATGGGTTGGGCATTCCTCTAGTGGTCGAGATCATAACAGACTTATCTAGAGATGTCTATCACACCCTGGATCGACTGGCCATGCTATGCCGATAATGCGGACAGTTCCAACCATGTGGAGCTGGTGCCGCGGCAAATCGACTTGTCTTCGCTATTCTGAGACGATCCAATACGTGCCGGACCACAGTCTCGGGTGAAGATATTCACTCTTAACAATTAGCCTTCGCTGCCTCTGAGCACGTCAATTGACGCTCGACTATCCGCAATGTCTTCTTCAGCCAGTCTTTTCCTTGTGCTCCTAGCAGCCACCGGGCTTTCGAAAGCTCAGACGCCTACTCCTGTTTCAACAGTCTTCGTCACTCCAGTGCCTAGTCCCACACCACCAACCTGCCCTAAACCCGATGGCACAACCTACAAAGGCCCTTCTGGATCTGAGTTCCTGATCGAATGTGGCGTCGATCAAGCTGGTGGGGACATGGCCAGTACTCGAGTCGATACGCTTGAAGAGTGCATCCTTGCTTGTGATAGGGAGCCCACATGCGTAGACGTCTCGCTGTCTGGCGTTGCCTGTAAGAGCTATCTTGACCGGCTCATCTCATCGATGCTGACCCGCAATCACCAGGCTACTTGAAGAATGTAACGGGTGCAGCAATTTTCCAAGCAGAGGTCTTTGGTGCTCGACGGCTATTCCCAACCAGCAGCTCTACTGCTGCCCCCAGTGCCACTCCAGTCCCGTTCTCGTGTCCGGGCAACAATGCCACAACGTTCACAGCAAACTCGTACGCTCGCTTTGAGATCAGCTGCAACTACCAGACCGCTGGTGGAGACATGGGACAAGTGTTTGTCCTGAGCTTCGAAGAATGCGTCGAGACCTGCGACACAACCGAAGGATGCGTGGCTGCTACACTTTCTGGATATAAGTCTTACCCTCTGCCACTTACTTGGTCACTACTGACATGAAGTACCAGCCTGCTACCTGAAGAGTGAACTTGGAGCCACGAGTTACAGTCCAAGTGTTTCCTACGCACGCCTGACGGCTGAACGACCGAAGTGTCCAAGCCCGGCCAACACCACGTACACTGCATCCAACGGCAAGGAGTTCGTCATTGAATGCAATATTGACTACCCCGGCGGTGACATCGATTCTGCCGTCTTGGATAGCCCTGATGGCACTGGCGATGGATGGTTCGGACAGTGTATCGAGCTTTGCGCTTCGAATTCCGAATGTGTCGACATTAGTCTTTCTGGAGCCGGCTGTTACCTCAAAGGAGGGTCTTTGGAATTGCCTTCCAACGCAACTGGTATTCTCGGCGCTAGATGGGTTGACGCACCAGTGGTCACTCCCACTCCATTGCCATCACCATCGCCCACGCCAATCGCTGTTTCACCCATCGATGTCGGCAGCTTCGAGTACCTTGCCTGCTACAACGACTCTGTCGCTCGCCGAGCTCTGCAGGGAGACTTTCTGTACGGGACTGATGAAGAGTCCATGACTGCACAGGTCTGCGCGGAGTTTTGTGACGACTCGAACTACTTCGGTCTCGAATATGGACAGGTTAGTATCAACTTTTTCATAAACCCCATACCCGAAAGCCGGGCTAACGTCTGGTACAGGAGTGCTACTGCGCCGACTCCCTCTCCAACAAACCAATTCAAACACCATCGGCCTGCACCATGCCCTGCGCGGGCAACACGACTCAACTATGCGGTGGACCAAATGCTCTCAGCCTTTATCGCTCATTGAACTACAACAGCTCCAGGATCATCAATGCGACTTCATCGACGGTCACGCCGACAAGCTCCATCGCCTCTTTCTATTCCACCGTGGCTTCCACTTTCCCAACGTCGACAGGTGCGCCGCTCAACTCAACGAACCCGACTGGATGGAGCTGGGCGGCGAATACCACGACGGGCTTTCGTTTTGTGAGGAGGCATCATAGGCCGGCGCCGGTGAGGTTGAACTTGGCGTATCGTCCTTGAACAGCAATCGCCTCTGAGAGAGCTGAAACGCGTCTCCGCAATCCTTTCAAAACACTCTTCAACTTACCCCTCCCCTTGGGACAGATTCTCGGGAAGACAATTCCGATCGTGAGTTCGATACATTTACCAAGACTTCCACTTGCTCCCTTCCAGATATCTTCAAGGTTTATTCACTTCCACAAGGCGTTACAACGCCTCCACTCCTCAAACCGCACATTGTTACATTTCACACGATGTGGTCCCTTACAAAGCTGGAGGGCACGTCTCTAAACATTGCGATTACATGTGCTTCTGGAGCTGGTTTCATGCTAGTAAGATTGGAAGCCATGACTACTACATTTGATATTCGTGCTCATCAATGCTCAGTTCGGCTACGATCAAGGATTCTTCGGCGGCATCCTGACCAACACCGCCTTCCTTAACGAGTTCAACAACCCCGGTGCCACGATGCGAGGCCAGATCGTGGCATTGTACGATGTTGGTTGTATGATGGGCTGCTTGGTGAGCATGTACTACGGCGACATGCTTGGACGAAAACGTTCGATCCTCGTGGGCTCCACCATCTTGGGTTGAACACCACTGCGATCCCCATCTGGCAAGCGGAAACTGCAGAAGCAAGTCGACGCGGAGCCCTTATCGTTTTCCAACTTGTGATGAACATCGGCGGCATCAGCTTAACGAACTGGATGAACTATGGTTTCACGTTCATACCCGGGACAGAAGTCTCGTGGCGGTTTCCCATCGCTTTCCAGATTTTCTTCGCCCTGGTGACGGTGTCCCTGGTTTGGTTCCTGCCGGAGTCGCCTCGATGGCTGGTTCAGCGAGGCCGTACAGACGAGGCGTCTGTGATCATTGCCCGCTTGCGTGCGAAGCCTACCCACGACCCAAATGTGCTGGCTGAGATACAGATGCTGGATGCCGCCGTGGCTCTTGAAATGGAAGAGCAGCACGGCGTTACCGTGAAGGAAATCTTCTCGGGTGGCAAACAGCAAACACTACGACGCATTCTGCTTGGCATGGGTACCCAGTTTATGCAACAAATGGGTGGAACCAACGTTGTGGCAACGTATCTCCCCGTTGTGCTCACGGCGTCTTTCAGTCTGAGCGCTCGCGTGGCCCTCATCGTATCAGCCACGGTCTCCATCTGGCTGATGATCTGGGGAGCCATGTGCGCGCTTGTCATCGACTCTGTCGGCCGGAGGAAGCTCATGCTGTACGGAGCCGCCGCCGAGAGTATCTGTTTCGCTCTCATCGCAGCCGGTCTAGCCGTCAACACCAACCCGACTCTGATCATGGCCATCGCATTCATCTACCTCTACTACACCGCCTATGGCCTATCCTTCCTGTCAATCCCCTTCATCTACCCAGCGGAGATTAACTCCCAGCGGATGCGCAACACTGGAACTTCCTGGTCCACGATGACGAATTGGGCTCTCGCCTATTTGGTCATATCGGTCACTCCGGTGGGAATTCAAAACATCGGCTGGAAATACTACCTTATCTACGCCATCACCAACGCAGTGTTCGTTCCACTGGTGTATTTCTTCTACGTCGAGACGAAGAAGCCCAGCTTGGAGTAGATTGACCAAGTCTTCTCGATCAAGTATGGCGGCGATCGGAAGATTGGCTACAGTCAAGCCATCCGAGAAGTCATGGCTGGCAGGGTGACTATTGAGGCAACTGTTCAGAAGATGGGAATTGACGGCGAGGTTGTGAGGGGTGAGTATGTCGAGGACAGCAAACAGGGTTGATCTGGTATGGCACTTCCATCGATTGTTCTGTCATTTTCGCTGAGGGATATCCGTTCTCTTTGCAATGAATCCATCTCTTTTATGACACACTGTCAATTCGATTCATCAAAACTTTGCAAGCACTGGTTCGTATTGGTGAGGTGTCATCACTCTAACAATGTGCGTGATGTCCACCTTCCAGTTTTGTGCTCGAGGTGATCGCTTTGAGGGTATGGCCTTTAGCGACCTACACCTTTTACCTGTGCTGCTTAACATACGGGAAAGGCTTCCCGATTGTGCCAGCGGATTTCTCGCGCATCGGAACTCTGATTCCGAAGTCTTCATGTTCGCACCCAATACCGACATTGCGCGGATGTTGCTGTTCACATCAGATGCATTGTAGATTCAGACGCATTAGTCTGCACTCAACACGTCCATCAGCTACGGGCATATCTTCATCTTCATCATGCTGCAAAACAAGCTCGCCATCGCTAGCGTATCCTTGGGTCAACATGCTTCTCACACCCTACCTTTGAAAATTGCTGCAGCTGCGGAGGCCGGCCTCAACGGCATCGAGATCACATATCCCGATCTCGATGGTTATGCCAAAGCCCTCTCTATTCCCATTCTCCAAGCTGCCCGCAGGATTCGACAAATCTGTCAAGATGAGCGCCTGGAGATCATCGCTTTTGCATCGTTCCAAAACTTCGAGGGACAAACCTCACCACTGCCGGAAAGACTCCAAAAGGCGCGAGAATGGCTGGCCATAGCCCACCATCTTGGAGCCTCGCACCTTCAAGTGCCTTCCAATTACGATCGGGACGCCAGCGCAGACCGCGATGTCATCGTCTCGGAACTGCGAGAATTGTGTGACTTGGCAAACTCCTTCAAACCGGTGATCAAGATCGCGTACGAGAATCTCGGCTGGGGAACGCACTGTAGTCTATGGGAGCACGCATTGCAGACTTTTCAGGAAGTGGGCCGCGAAAATTTTGGCTTGTGTCTGGATAGCTTTCACTTTTGCGTTGCGCTATGGGCAGATCCGTTCAACAAAAACGGGATACAGCCGAACGGGGACAGACAGCTTCAGGAGTCCTTGAGTGCGCTTGTCCGAAGACTACCGCTTGGAAAGCTCTTCTACCTCCAATTGTCTGATGGCGAACGGCTCGATCCTCCTTACTCCTCAAGTCATCCCTGGTACGATCCGACACTGGAGCCTGGTCACGTCTGGTCGAACGAAGCAAGGCCCTTTCCACTGGAGACGGACTACGGCGGCTATATGCCGGTGAAGGAGATCGCCCAAGCATTCTTAATTGATCTGGGATACACTGGCTGGGTCTCAATGGAAACTTTCGACAGGCGGATGAGGTCCGAGCAGCAAGGCCCAGTACTCAATGCAAGACGAGCTGTCAGGTCTTGGGAGAATCTTAGGTGGGGATTATCTGAAACCAACACTAAGCTGATCTCTGGAAAGTTGTGACTGTAGCGTGGGTTTTAAATAGGAAAGTAAGATCATGACGACGTTGCACTTCGCTTGCAAACGCTTACTTACTTCGCCGTGAGAGAATCGATCTCCACGCCGTCCAAATGGCCGTAAAGTCTGTCGTATCTGAGCTGGGACTCTGCAATCACCTCCACACCAATACAGGCTTGATCGTCTCTCCAACATGCATGTCCTTGGTCAAAGTTAGCCTATCGAAGCTTCTCATCAGTTCAGCGAGTCAACTCACATGCAACGCCGTTTTGAAATCCGCCGCCTGGTAATACCTGACCATCTTATCAACTACAGTCGATCAAGTCAGCAAATTATCTTCAAAAGCCACTCGATATCTGCCTATATCGTACCTGGTAACTTCCCCTCCCGATAGTACTTGATCAGCTCCGGTATGAAGTCTCCAGGAAAACTGTCTCCTTCCACGCAGCCCCACAACTTGATCCCTCGGAAGAGATGTTGCACGACGTCAAGAGAGAAGCGATAGTGGGGATCTGCTGGGCCACCGACTTGTACGAAGGCTCCGCGGGTGTCAACGGCGTAGTAGGATGCTTCGAGGACTAGCGGGAAGCCGGTTGCTATTAAGTAAATCAGTATGGAGTGTGTTGGAGCAAGGAGTGTGCTGGAGCAAGGCATACTTTCAATTACCACATTTGGACCTCGGCCTCCAGAGATATCCTTCATAGCAGCAGTGAGGTCTGTCAGATCTGTCGTGTTCAAGCCATGAGTCGCCCCGAAGACGTCTTTGGCGAGGTCGATTCGTTCTTGGACTTTGTCGACGGCGACGATTCGTTTGCAGCCAGCGATGCGAGCCCCCTATTTCGATAGTCAGATCCACGGTCCACCCAAGTAGAAATTCCAGTTCAACCCATACCATAATAGCACTCAACCCAACCCCGCCAAGCCCACAAACCATCACGGTGTCGTCCTGACCAGGCGTCACGAGATTGAGGATAGCTCCAGCCCCTGTCTGTACGCCACATCCGAGAGGCGCAAACAACTTCAACTCATCCTCGTTCTTGATCAAATCCTTCACAGGCAAGACAGTCGACTCCTTAACGACACTCAATTTCGCAAAGCTGGAATGGCCGAAGAACTTAGCGCCAATTGATTGCGTTTCGTCGGAGCCTTTGAAAACTTCGGATTCGCCGTACAGGTTCATGGGAATGAACGTGTCGCAGTAAGCTGGACGTTTCTCGTGGCATTCTTTGCAAGAACCGCAGCTGTCGAAGGAAAGGAGGACAGGGTCGCCTGGTTTGAGGGATTTCTTCACGTTGGGCCCTACAGCTTTGATATATCCGGAACCTACATATCGAACATCAGCTTGTAATTTTCCTAGGCAGGGAGGGAGTTAGAGGATAGGATGGTTACCTTCATGACCAGCAACCATAGGAAACGTCTGCCCCTTATTCGGATCCGTCAACGCAATGTCTGTATGGCAGATTCCGCTCGCCACCATCTCGACCAACAGCTCCCCGTCACCCAATTCACTCGGCACCTTGATCTCCGTCATCTCCCAGTTCGCACCGCCTTTGTGCTCGGGACCCGGTTCAAAGGCCACGATGGCCTGGCTGGGCGTCATGGTGGCGTACTGCCGAGTGTCATTACGAAAGCGACGATGTTGCAGTCGGGGGACTTGGGGAGTCAATAGGGCGGGAGTCTGATGCTGCCGCCGTATGTGAGAGTGCACCAGACCTACATGCTCAGGCTTCTTTGTTATGCGGAGGGCCCGCGCTAGCTTGGAAGCCATGTTGCCGTGTGGTGTTCTGGGTTAGGATGACGTGGAGGGAGCGGATCGAGGAGTGGTGCCAGACTCATTCATGAGCAAAACGTGGTAAGAGTTGTTCTTCTCCAAGACACAAAAACGAACTGTAGATGTGATAGCATGGCCTCAGCCACAGGACTAAACCGCATTCTGTTTTTGCCGGCGGCTTTTTGGGTAAGAGAGCGCCACATCTTTCAGTATGCCGTCTTAAAGACGGAAGCTGTGGCTTGTTTGTGATGAATGCAACCCCGCGTGAAGTTCACTCGCAAGGCTCCGAACAGGGAAGGCGCCGTAGTCATGTACCTCGGCTAGCCATACGCTAGCCTGATTGAGAAGCTCAACGGGAATAAGGATTTTCCGATAGCATAGATTTTTGGTTCACCGTAGCTTGACTTGTGCATAACGACTCGAACATGTCTCTTCTGGACTTCGTCCTTCATGTTGAAATTCGGCTGTCGTCATTTGCGGTCGCTTGAAATTATGTATTTTCATCAAAAAGTGATCACGAAACAGAGATCTCGTGGCCTGGCATCCGGGATCAACCAATCACTAAATTGAGACGGGCTATAAGCATTGCAAACAGTTGCCATTGAGAGCGAAGACCATCTAAGAGGAAAACTAAATCAGTAGCTGCATTGGCAATCTTAACATACCCCTCCTCCATCCTCACCACCACGCTCTACCGCCCCGGCGAAAAGCTCGTTGGCTTCAAGAGCTGCGCATCAACCACTTCGAAATCACTGCTCAAATCGATCTCCCCCAAATCCTCCTTGAAAGCCGGACTGCTAGCATATTCGCCAATCTTCGTGTCCGGATCATCTCCATCTTTGAACTCGACAACAGCGACGACTTGCTTTGGGTTCGTCTCGCTCAGGTAGACTCCTCGAGTGGTGATGTTGTGTTTGGCGATGCTGGCCATGGTAGGCTTCCAGCGTTGTGCGTACGCTGCCGCAAGGCTGGCGGATTTGAGGGTGTAAGTGCGGAGTTGGACGATTGGCATGGTTGGTTGGATAGATGGTGATTGTGCTCGTGTTGTTTGTGATGTCTGGGAAATGAGAGTGGTTTCGATGCAGAGGATGGATGGAGGTTTATATGCTCTAAATCAACTGCCTCGATGCTGCACAGCCTGGCGTCCATCATAACGTAAGTCGAAGTCATGACCGATGTTTGATGGATGTTGAAGGTCTCACTTTCGGAAGCCATGACAAGCTACAGCCTGCGCTTGGTTATTGATTACTTTAGTCCACGGAACACCTGCGACGACCGAATGCGATGCCCGACAAGGTCCGTACAACTAAGAGTGATATTGAACAATGTGGCTGTGCGACTCAAATTCGTCATTGCCCGATATGTTTTCGTAGCATGTGATCACACATACTCCAGCTCGCACTCGCACTACGCCCTTACGTTATGGCTAGCCAAATTTGGGATGTATATGCAAGCCTAGCATGACTATTATGCCTCAATAATGACGACTTGCTTCTACCTTGATCTCCTCATCACCATAGCAAAAGTCCATGTGACGAGGATGCAACACGACGTTGCTGGCCAAATCTCGCGATCTGCTCAACAAGCCGATGATGTCGTGCTCCCCAGGGACGCTGTTGAGCACAGGCGAGTGCTCAATATTCTAGCGCAAAGACGACATCGTGAGTGGCTTCATGCTTGGTACGGTTCTACTGCTGATGCCCTGAAGGTAGAAGGAAGAAAGAGAGACTAGCAGCAGCAGACAGGATCTTGGCTGGAGCAGGGCCGCCAAATACCAGGCCCGTCGACGCTGCAGTCAACGATTCTCGCCCTGACTACAACAATGATCGTTCAACCCTGCTGCCATCTAACTACGACTTTGATTTCGAGAACTTGAGCTGGGAGACTGGCACTTCCACAGCTGCGCCTATTGCAGCTCTCTCAGCCGATCCATTGATGACCAGCAACATCACCGACATCATCCAAGACGACGCCATCCAAACCAGCACATTCCCAGACGATCACAACCTCTCAATGCCAGACTTAGACCTCCTGCGCGCCGCACTCGAGAATGGCAAAAGACTGAATCAAGCCGACCAACTGTTCAGCCTTACAGCAGAAAGCACATTCCAGTCAAGAGACGGCCTTGGATGGACGTTTGCCTTGCCTGAGAACCTCAAGCCCACGCCGGCACAGCTCTCTCTTCCAAATCACCCCATCATTGATGTTCTACCTTGGCCTCAAGTCCGCACCAAGTTGATCATGAGTTCTGGCCGCGGCATCCCACTGATGGCAGTGCTTTGACTGTGATCCGAATGGTGTACGATATGGAAGATGGAGGAGTGAGAGTTCGAGGTCCAGAGCCGTGGTCGGAAAATGCGTGGGAGATCGAGCAAGCTTTTCTTGAGACTTGGTGGTTCGCTCTGGATCAAAATGTGGTGAGGTCGACCAATCTGAAACGACTTGCGCGAGGACAGCCAGCTTTGTGCGAACCTAGAGTCTGCGGTATGGAAGGGACTTGAAATTCTGGGCTACAGTCTGCTCTGAATGGGCAACAACAGATGCACGGCCAGCCACGTATAACGTACGCTCACGAGCTCAGCCCCGAATCAGAATCCCCGTAAGCTAGATGAGCTCCCGCATCCCGCCTGGAGTGAGTCGAACCATAACCCGAGTCCCCTCGACGTATCGGTGTACTGGACTGCAACCGGGAACGTGAAAGTCGACCATCGGGTTGGCCCTCTCTGTCTCGCCTCGGGCCTTGATCGTACAGAGGTCTGCGACAGCTTTCACACATGCTGTGGTAGTCCCGCCATTGCTCTCTCAGTGGGAAGCCCGAAATATCAAAGCTGGTGTTCGTGGTGCCTGGGGATGTTCGTCGCCGGTTCAAGCTCCTCTCAATCCTTCGCTCAGGAGGTCTGCGATGCCTTCGCCGTGTGCACGAAGATCCGCCAGTCTGGCTTTGTCGAGAATGTGAATGTGGCGCTCTTCCGGAGCAGCTGTCGTATCTGTACCGCCTCGTTGATACGGTTCGCCCATGGTGATGGTCCTGGTCATGCAGAGATGTTGACGCACCCCTGGACGGACCGCGTTTCACAACTTTGACCGTCCTTCGCGAATGTCACGGTCATACGGGCCTGCACGCAAGCCGAGAGCCTGGAACGGGCATGACGGGCAAGCCAATTGATTGCTTTTGAGAAAACGTCCGTGACTGTCTCTAGTTCCTCCACAGTCTCACGCCGTCGTCTCGACCGACCTGACTTTGAAATGTGAATGTAGAATTGCTGAGAAGGCGTCCACGTCCAGACTCTGTTGTCCAGGTTCTTCTCCACCCTGGCTTCGGAGGTAGCATCATATTTGATCTCGATCTCTGGGCCTCGAATGAATCTGCTGCCCTTGTTCTTTAAGCCCAGCGTGCACATTACTGGTCCGGTGCGGTCTCGAGAAGTCCTGGCACAAGTCAGCTCGATGGCATATTGTCGACGTGGTAGAGCACTACCGAAGCTGGCCCCGACATCGATGGCCGGTGAGCAGAACTGCAGCCCTCTGTTGCACACCGAGTAAGCACTTCGTTCCTGCCTTGTGCATTTGATGATATTGCCACATCCAGCAAACTCTCTCGGACTGGTCGCCAAGACACCATCTTGCCCCTTGCGTGGTGTAAAAGCGAATATGGATTCGTCATCGCAACGGTCCAGAATCATTCTCTGCGAACGCTGGAACGCCTTTCCGAATCCTTCGCCGTACATTGTGGTCGTATTGACGTCAAAAATTCCAATCAGACAATAGGCCAGATCCTCTGGTCTGGTTGTCGTTCTTTGGGCTGCCCAGCTCATACGTTGAGCCACCGAAACGTCCGTGATTTTCTTTTTGCGATTGCCCAGGTATCGTGAAGGAATCCTAGAAGCACGAGCGATAGTATCCATCAAGTCGCTTTCTCCGCTGGAGCCGATCTGCTGCCACTCGTTCGAATAGAAGAACAGGGTTCGGGGCGCCAGTAGCTCCTGCAATGTCCATCCTCGTTCAAACCATTCACTTTGTCTCAGCGCAGCTAGAGAGTCAGACCGGTGTTCAAAGTGTTTGACGTCGGCCAGATAGACTATGCAAAAAGCGGCTCGTCTGTACCAGTTCCACATGGAATTAATCGCTTCCGTATACTCCGTGAAATTGCGCTAGTCGATGCAGCAGGTGTCGACCCAGACCCAATCCACAAGCTCGCCCCTGTGTTGTTTGACGTAGCCATTCGACAACCTTCGTTCAAAATCCCATTACCAAGCTCGTACTTCGCGGCAGGCGTTTCGAATCTTCTCAAAGCCTGTGCCATTGCGTGACTCGGGGTTGATGAAGTCTCCGTATTCGATTTCGTTCCCACTCCAGCGATGGGAAAGTGCCGCATATAGTGGAATATCTGAGTGGCCGAATGTCTTCAGTTCTAATGTATGTACATTGATGAGTCTCATCACGAGAGAGTACAGCCTAGGAGTTTAGTCGCGGCGATTGGTGAAAAGCAAGCGCTCGCAAGCTCCTTCGAAAAGGGGCCTAGGGGCAACCAAGTCATCACGGCAGTATTTGAAGGTAGTTGAGATGCCAAGTGGCACCACCCTACGAAAAATGCGAGGGGAAGACAGCATCGTCTTTAAGCAGTTTCAGCGAAGATGCGTTGTAGAGCGGACCTGACAGAGCATGATGCCGTTTCATCTGTGCCGATCGCAAGGCGTCGCGGATATCACCAACAAGATGCTTAGTGACAGCGAATTATAGCGGTGTCGAGGCGAGGGCACTCCTGAAACCGATGCAGTCGCACAACGCTGGACCAATAATGTCATTGTGAACATCAGTGCATATTTTGACAGGGCGAACTGAGTTCGAATACTGCGTCCAGAAAGGTAAGGATAATCCCATGGCCCGAGTCAGGCTCGACCTCAGGGCTCGGTACCGGCCACCTGGTTGCCTTTATGCAGTAGCGATCCTGTAAGGCTACGACCTGCCCATTGAGGTCAGATCCGAAGTTGACTGCGCCATGTGTAAAGCAGAGATTGGGTGGAGCCTCACAACTTCGTGTCAATGTTCGAGCTGTGGCGGACGGGAGCAGCCTCAAGGCAGACTGTTCGCTTCCTAGTCTCTCATCAGAGATGGTTTCGCAGCCTTCATGCGGCTGAACCACTGGGCTGCGGCACGACCGCAGCTGTGATTGAGCAAAGACGGCTAACAAAATCCGAACCAGGTCCTTGGGCTCATGGCAATGTGGAGGCGGAGCATTCCAGCCAGCGTTTCATGAGGAAAGGTAGTCGTCTGCCTACGTGGTCCAACAGAGAGTCGCCAAAACACCTGTGTAGGGCGTTACAGCGGAAAAGCAGCTTGGTGCCGTCGCCGCGCCACATCCACGCCTCGTTACGACGATTGGATAGCAGTGGTGTTACGATTAAAGGCTCGCAAGTCTCCAACCGGAACAGCAGATCTTACCCAGTAGCCTAGTACCGTGGGCCTGATGGTCGCAAACTTGGCCCCCAATCCTCTAACCCCCTCGCACCAAAGCGGAGTCGTCATCAGAACAACGACGCATCTGCTGTTCAAACCTCTCGACACGCTCGGTAATCCAGCCAGATGCAGCGGTATGCCTAGTCTTGGAATGATATGAGTCTTGCGCATATCCTATTCTCATCGAACAAGTACTGCTTCCATTGGATCTTGGCCTCACACGCAGCTCCACTCTTCGAAAGAGGCCACGCCTGCTGCTTCTTGGTCGCTGGCGTTATGACAATCGTCCAGAAGGGTTGTCATTTGTGGCATTACGTAGTGCTTGAAAACGTTCCTGTGGCGTAGAAAGTCGAGAGCCTGTGAAGGAGCCGTCAGACCTAGGCCTCACATTCGCAAATCAGAAGCACCTTACCGGAATTCGGTCATCCGACCATCGTTGTTCGAACCGCCAAAGCTTCTCCACAACATTGACTGACATATGGTGGTACGAGATTGCCGGGGAGCACCAAATCATCCAAGCCTCCTCAGGCACCGCCTCGCTATCAGGGTTACCGTACGTCACGAATCCAGGATGCTCGCCTTGCATGGTAGGGAAGATATCGGTCATTGGAAACTCTGGCGTCCAAGAAGACTTTGCCTAAAACGCAATCGCCCGCCCAGTGTCCATCCACAAATACCTCAACTTCAGCCTTGTGCGCAGCATAGAAGTCGACGACTGTTTGCAGAGCAGGACGGGAGACAACGAAGCCAGTTCCTCCGTGTGCAAACTTGTCGCTCCCTATGGTAAGCTCGTCTTCGCCGTAAAATGGTTGCGTGTGGTCCAAGACGGCCTGGGCTCGGAGGCACACTCTTGCTCATAGGCTGTCGTACTTGTCCTCTCAAGTCCAAGGGGAGGACCGAGTCTTGATGAATGACGACCCCAGAGGGGATGAAAAGCTAAACCCATACCATTTCGGCAACTACATCTAACTTAGCGCTACATCGTCTCACCCCTCCCCCTTCCCCTCCTCATCCTCTCGCTCGCCTCCCCCTCGACCCTCGGACAAACCTCCCAAACCTCCCTCCCCACATCCCCACTCGCCCTATAAACAAAACACTCCCTCTGATTCCCCTCATTCCCCGTCGTCAAACCCCCAGACCTCGGCTTCTTCTCAAACCCAGCCGCAAGCACCATAGGGCTCTGCGAGCAGTCTTCAAGACCGATCAATTCACCTCGGCTGCGCACGGGCCGCATGGCGGCGGAGGTGCTGGATGTGCGGCGGAGGACGGAGGATGCGCGGAGGGAGTCCTTGCCGGTGCGGGAGTTCATGGAGACGGCGATGGGGTTTGAGGCGAGCCTTGGGAAGGGGGTTAGGGTGTTTTCGTCGTTGGGGAGGGGGCTGATGGCTTCGAGCTCTTCATCATGTTCGTCTTCGCCTGCATCTTCATCTTCGTTTGCGAGTTCCTCGTCGGATGAGGTCTCTGAGCTGGTGTCTGAGAGATCGAAGAGACTTTGTCCGTCTTCCTGACCGTCCTGTGCGTTGAGATCGGTCGTGTCAGAGCTCGGCATTGCGACTGCAAAGCGAGGATGATTCTCATTTGGCACAGACACAACAACTCTTGGCGTCTCTGGAGGCACGTCTCCATCTGATTTCTCCGAGAGCGATCTTGCTTTGAGTGATGCGGCAGGCATGGCAGCGTCTGACTTGGCCGTTGTCTCAGATCTATCATCAGTTTTCGTTGTCAGCCCGCCAGCATCCTTGAGTGTCGTCGGATCGTTCGTCGGATCTAGACCTTCACACAAGGGTCCAATATCTTGCTTGGGCGGTGGGCTCTTGCGTTTCTGAGCATTGCGCAGGTTGAACGCTGAAAGATTCGAGAACAGCTGACTTCGCTGTTGCCACTGTATGGACGTCAGGGAACTTGTCGCAATGAGGTGGGGACAGCATTACCTTTTCGTCCCTTCCAGATTCATTCCAAGTATCATGTCCAGGGTCGCTGGGATCCCAACTGATTGGTGGGCTCTGCGTCTTCTTGTCCTTTTCTTGCTCGTTGCTCCTCGTACGGCTATCTTTCAGTCTCAATGACGTGGCCTGCAACCGCTGCTGGTCCTGAATTGGCCTTTTCTCATCATCTGAGATATCGTCAACTTCCACTCTATTGAGTGAAGCGTCATAGATTCTGGGCCCCGTACCCGCATCAGAAGTGTTACTACATCTCTGCATGAGAACAGGCTCGTCTTCGGAGCCTGACTGCCTTCTTGAAGTATTGTACTTTCGTTCTTCCCATGTGATCACCTTCGCCTGACTGTCCGGCACGGCATGGACTATAGGAAAGTACGCCTTGCCTGGAGATGCGTCAGGAAGAATACCGGGCCGAGTGTCGAAGTTGATCGTACCAGGGCGTCCACTACCCGGTGTTGTGAGAGGGGTGCTGCCGCTGTTACGAGTGCTCGCGAACGGGCTTAATGCTGACAAAGGAAGAGCCGACGTAGGAGTTGTGCTGGTGGCCGCTGAGGAGCCTTGATGGAAGCTTGTGGTTGACGGGTTTGATGGAACCTGTGCCAGAACTGATCCAATCCCGACTATTGCACTCGACGTACTGGATTTGAGTGGAGTTGCATCTTTCGAATCATGTCGCGGGCTTGTCAATCGTCGAAGGCTGTTCGGTATAAGGAGAGGCGGGAGTTTGCTGAAGACGCCTCGCCTCTCGTCGTCGCCGCTGCGTCGATGGAAGTTGCTGCCTCTGGAGGAATGTGAATGTTTGGGCGCGCGAGAGTATATCCATAGGCTTACATTGATGACTTGACCATGATGTCGACTCCTGCTTTCGATTGTCTTCTGTGCTGTATAATGTTGAGACGAGAAGGCCTTCACACATATGAAGCATCAAACACAAACATCGTGCGCCAGGCATTGGAGACCCCGTGCCACATCCCCATGACTGGTTGCTGCGTGCCAAACTTTTGACCGTGATCTCTCCTCACACGCATCATCGGGCCTCCTTTCTGGAACAGCGAAACCAAAGTCTTGACGTGGAGACGCTTTTGTCTAGATCGAATGAGTGCATATGGCATCGAATGCGAAGCCTGCCAATTGAGCTCAAAGAGCTACGCATTGGACGTGGCGTTTGGGTCTAGTCCTTGGCATGGCCGCTTTCGTGCGTCGAGCGTTCCCTACACATCCAGTGGTAAGCATCGCCGATTCATTCTCCCAGGCTTCCTTGATACGCTTTCTTCACAAGAGGAAGTATATCGCCATGAGGTGTTCAGGCATGGCGTGTCCCAGGTTTTACTCTCGAGCTGCGGGCTGAAAGTACATGCAGTTTTCCGGGCATCGGCTGCGCAAATAGACGCACTGTTGGCTGCGAGATGTTGTGGCAGCACTCAGGCTCACTTCACCCTTGCAGTCACCGTGTCGTGATATCCAACCCTTCCACAGCAATTGAATTGGGAACCCGGTATCGTTTTGGGCAGGTGCATTTCTGATGAAGTCGACATCGTTCAGCGTTGCTTCTTAGTCCCTCAATCCACTTCTCTCTCCCCAATCCTTGCAACCCCATCAACACCCTCTAACCTCTCCCCAAATCCCCTCACAAATCCATCCGCTGCTGCCTCCATATCCAATTCGCCATCTTTGACCCCCTCCCTCTCCAGACTCGTGGTGAACTTGCCCTCCAAGCCACAAGCCACAATCCTCTCAAACCACCCAAGCTCCGTACTAACATTCAACCCTATCCCATGACTCGTAACATTCCTTCTCAAATGCACACCCAGCGCACAGATCTTGTGCATCTCGTCGACCCAGACGCCGGGGTTGGAGGTTGTTGTTGTGTTGACACCGTATTGGTTCCTGCAGAGTCCTGAGACAGTTTTCTCGAGGAGACAGACATAGTCGCGTGGACGGAGGTTGTGGCGTTTGAGGTCGATGATGGGGTACGCGATGAGTTGGCCTGGGCCGTGGAAGGTGGTTTGGCCGCCTCTTAAGGCGGGTTCGAAGGTAGCCTGGCCGAAAGGGGTGGGTTGAGTGAGGTATTCGATTTGCGAGGACGAGACGCTGGAGACTTCTCGCCGGCCACAGGTGTAGACGGGGTGGAATTGGGCGGTGATGATTGTTGGGGGTGGTGCTGGGGTGGATGTGGGGTTTGCTTTGTGGGCGAGGAGACGTGAGACGACGCGATCCTGGAGAGCGGCGGCGTGGGGGTATTTGGTTAGGCCGTGGAGGTGGAGATGTCGTAATATCATGTTGATATGGAGATGTTTTGATAGAGTGAGGTTGTTGTCTTCTTGACGGGGATCTGAGACCGGAGGGCGGGCCGGTGCAGCGGCGATCCTGGGACGATCTTCACGAGCGTGCATTGCTTCGACATCGACTAACACATCAACCTTACGGTATAGCATAACTGCTACCGAATTGATATTTATCATGTCTAATGACAAGAAGCCCAAGCTGGGCCGTCTCCCCAAAGGTACGCCAATCGAGGAGGCGCAGAACACACGGCACTAACACTCTTCTGTGCAGACGCCAAAATCACCAAACGCCCTCTCATGCGCCCCGCGCTCCCCTCACCCTACGCCGGCGCACAATCGCAAAAGATAGTCTACGTCTCCACCAAAAGCCCCTTCATGTCCATCGTCCAACGCGTCGAGAAACTCCTCCGCCTCTCCGACAAACGTCTCATCCAATCCGCAACGACCATCGCTCAAGACCGACAATACCGCAAGCGAAGACGAGGAGGTGGGGATGGGGATGACATTGAAGCGATCGCTGAGGTAGCGGAGGAGCAAAAGAGGAATCACAAGCGGAGGAAGATGGGTGCAGAAGGGGAAAGTGCGGTCGGGGAAAGTGCTGTCCGGGAGGAGGTTGTAGTGAAGGGGAGTGGAAAGGCGATTCCCAGGGTCATGGAGTTGGGAGTGTGGTTTCAGCAGAGGGCGGAGCAGTATGCGGTCAGGATTGTGACGGGGAGTACGAACTCGATTGATGATGTGGAGTATGAGAAGGATGACGAGGAAGTGAAGACTGGTGCTGAGAGGGACGAGATGGATGTGGATCAGGCTGTCAATGCTGAGCCTGGTGGAGAGGCGGTGCAGAAGACATTCGTCTCTGAGGCCAGGATCCGCAAGGTCAGTGTTCTTGAGGTACACGTGAGCTTGCGGTGAGGGTGGTTGTTCTGTTACGTGCTTATCGCTGAGATACCCCGACTGCGACGAAGGCGGTCATGCATTGGATCAATGGAAGAATTTGGCATCAATTAATTATGCAAGAATACCTACTTGTCCTATATCAGACACACCTCTCGGCAGTTTGGATGTAAGTGAATGAAATCCCGGGTCGAGGCCACGCGACTGGCGTCGTCATGTGGGGCAGCCGCGATTGCGGCGCAAGTTTGCTCTCTAGTCCTCACCTCAACAACCACCAACCACCCGCAAACAACCCAATATACCATACAACACCCGCTTCGCACACCGATCACTCCCGCAGACCACACACTCATTATTGCAGAAATTGGACAAGAATTCGCAAACTCGTCAGGATGCAGCGCATCGACCCGCGCCCCGTCGAAACTCCCGCGCAGCAACAGGCCCAACAGGACGCTGCGCAACAGAATGGCGGCGCAGGGAACACGAGCCCGAGGACACAGTTCGGTCTACCGACAGGATTCGCGAGCACGGGTAGAGAAGCGCACACGCAGAGCTTCGAGGAGATCTACGGCGTGCCCGAGAACTTTTTGGAGATAGAGGTATGCGCAGCGCATTGAGGATATATACCAGGAGAATACCATGGAACGAGCTGACGTTGAGTAATTTTCTAGGTCACAGACCCGCAAACCCACCAACCAACTGCATCCCCCTCCTCCCGCTACACAACCTACCTAATTCGCCTGTCCACCAACATCCCCGCCTTCAAGCTCCGCCGCAGCGAAGTCCGCCGCCGCTACTCCGACTTCGAAGTCTTCCGCGACCTGCTCGAGCGGGAATCCGCGCGCGTGTCCATCCCCGCATTGCCAGGCAAAGTCTACCTGAACCGATTCGACGACGCGGTGATTGAAGAGCGGAGGAGAGGGTTGGAGAGATTTTTGAAGATTGTGGTTGGACATCCGCTGCTGCAGACGGGGAGTCGGGTGCTGGGGGGTTTTGTGCAAGATCCGAATTGGGATCGGAATGCCTGGTGAAATGAGATGAGGTGGGTTGGACCTTGAGCGGTGAATGGGGAGGGGGTGGGAGGGTCTGACAACGTGTGGACATGTATGGGAGGGGACAGTGGGAGATTGGGGGTTTGTGTACGTATTCCAGCGATTCAGCGAGTCTTCAGTTCTTATCGTTCTCTTGTTAGGTATCAGGGTATCACATCGGCAGGGTCGATCACTACAGAATCGAGTAACACAGCGCAGATATTCATTCCAGGCCCATTCGTTTGCGTACATGCGAAGGATGGCCAGCAAAGTTGAAGAAGAGTAGATGATGAACTGACAGAAACTATCTAGTCGAAATCCTCCTCACACCCCCATGAGGCGAATGCGGCCGACTCGGCGGCACAGGAATATCATGCTTCCGATCATCCTCCCTATACTCATCCTTATCCTCATCCACACCCGGCATCAAAATCCTCCTCCTAACCACAGCCTCAACATGCATCCCCATAACCCCCAACCAAACCACAACCAACACAATCGTCATCGCGCTAGTCACCCAGAGAATCCCTGGACTATCCAGCGCCCGTCCGATCTGGATCGTCGCGAGCGTGAAGCCCACGTTCGGGAAGATGAGAGCGTACCAGATGAGATGGAAGGTCATTTTCCGGATTCCGTGGAGGTTGGAGAGGAGGGCGACGCAGAAGAACCAGAAAGCGAGACACCACAGGGAGACGGCGATGAAGTCCGCTAGGGACTGCAGGGTTTGCAGGAGGACTGCCGGCCGCGTGGCGAAGTAGTGGGAGTCTGGAGGGAAGGAGGATGTGATGGTTATGAGGGCGACGGCTGTGAATGAGGGTGGGCCGACGGCGATGAAGAGGCCTGGGCGGAGGTTGGGGGCGGGGAGACCGTATTGTATTAGGCGGTGCATGAGGATGGCGAACATCTGGAGAGGGGTGAGTTGCGTGGCTGTGTGGTATATGAGAAGTTGCATACCATGAAGCTGACCATACAGCCCAGCCCTTGAAACGTCAGGCCTGCGATGAGGATGGCTTCCGCATGATCAGTCGACTGATACGGCGCAATGGCGCCCGAGTACGTCCCACAAAGCATAACTACCCCATCATCAGCCCAAAAGCCCCCAAACCCCCAAACCTCTCAGCACACATACCCGGAAAAATCGGCAAAATCCACCCCGGCGTCATACTCTGCAACGTCAACCGTCCCGGCCTCGCCCTAAACAGCGTCCAATACATCCCCACCGCGACCAAGAATGTCACCGCACAGTAGATCCAGAAAAGCACACACTCCGCCTCCGCGAGCCAGGGCCCGGTCGCCGGCCCGCCGTAGGACTGCGCGCCGATGAGGATGATGACGACGGCGAGGAAGAAGGTCGGGAAGAAGAGCGCTTCGGTCGGGTGTAGGAGGGAGAGGACGAGGGTGTGCAGGCGCAGGAGGAAGCGGGTGGCGATGAGAGTGGTGAGGAGGAGGAAGATGGTCAGGTCGAGGATGTAGACGATTTTACCCAAGGTGGTCAGGCCGGGGAAGCGGTGGGGGTTTTGCGCGAGGAGGAGGGCGATGCCGCCGGTGGACATTGGGCTGGATAGGAGGGGGAGTGTTAGATATGGTGGATGATTTGTTTGTGGGGTTTGGGTTTGCGGTTGGTGAGGCTTACAATGTGAACCATGCCCATGTGAGATGGGTTATGCGTTCTTTCCATGTTACAGTCGTTCCATTGTTTGTCGTCTGGGTTTTCTTGCTCTCATCGCTACTCGGCGTCTGTCCTTTCTCAACATCTTCACTCGTGTTCGTATTCTCTCCTCGAGAGGATGGAAATCGTCTCGAAAAAGGACCTTGGTCGGGCGCCATCATAAAGCGCAGTAGATCTGCCCACAGTGGGAACGAAGATGAGTCGAGTCGAAGTATTCGTGTACAACTTTTGTTATATCTTGCAGATCAATGCCGGCGGTCGAGGATCGATGTAGTCAAATTAGACTTCAGCCCAACGCCACGAAATACATCCCTGCTCTGCACCAACGCATTGAAAAGAGGCTGCTGTTTGCGGGTGTAGCCTTACATCCCCTTTAATGCGATGTCGGGTTGATGGAAACAACCTGGAATTTGCTGATGATGACGATGGCTGGGAGATGGCTGCGATTGATGAATCATCCCGGCGGTCGCGCGAGCTGTGGCCCGAATAGGCTGTGCGTTGTTGGAAGGACGAGCGACAATCTTCTTGGCGGGGACATGTGGGCTGGCTGCTGAGGGAAGATTTGAGGTATACGTCTTTTGATGACAAAGTGCGATTGCTGATGACTTTGTAAGGCCGACGTCTTCGTACAGAACAGGACTAACATCTTGTCTGGGGTGGGGGCCGAAAGGCTGTGCCGCCTCCTATGTATGCCTTGTCGATATCTGGATCGAGTCGTTATCGTCGACCATGATGGGCCTCTGGCCAACGACAAGTACTTCAGCATCCGATATGATGTTCTGGGGGACTGTGGCACTTTGCCGTAGCTGGGTCTTGGGCAAGTTATCGTCTTCCGTCGAACCTGCAAGACTTGATCCAAGAAACAGGTGGCCTAGACGCCCTCCTCGACCATTTCATCTTCAGTGAAAGCCAGCAGCAACTCCTTTGTCTTCCCAGAGCACTCTGCTGGTTGCACTCCTCTCATGGTAAAGCTGTCGTCCTATACGAGCCAACGAGTAACCTGGATCCTGCGATGCATTAGGCGACTTTTGGGGGGTTCTTAGGAGGAGGTTTGCCGATTGTGCGGTTGTTACGATTGCGCATCGGGTACATTCGCGTTCGAAGATTGAACGTGTGAAGGGTCTGCTGACGTTTGTGGGTTTGGCACGATTTGACTTCGATCTGGTGGGTTTTCACGGAGCTGTGGAGGGTGGCTGGAGGTGGATATTCGGAGAGCTTGATGGGGTAGAATGATGGTTTTAGGGAGCTGTGCCAGAGATAGTCGACGCTTTTTCTCCATGCATTCGTCTCGTCACAAGTAGCCGTATGTGTCTTGGACTGTATCACTCTCGAGTGTAGCCCGGAAGTCGTTAGCATGTGACGATGGACTTTGGAATATTATTGTGAGGCACAGTGCTGTTTGCCATGATAGGAATATCGATTTTCTGAATCGTGTCGTTACCTAATTATGTCAAGAATCAGTCCCCATATCCTGTGAGACTATCCTAGATGCTTCTTAGCCAGAGACAACGCAAGCCTTGCTTGCCTCCAAAAATCACAAAGCCTCTCTTAATTCGTCTCTTTACGATAGTAGCCCCAGAAGCGGCCCCAAAGCGTGGTGCTCTGCGTCTGCGGCCCACGGTGCGCGATGTCTTCGTGAGCGCTATCTCCATCTGGACGTGTGTCGCTGGCGACGTTGTGGCGCGTGCCGAGATAGTAATCTGGAAGATGTTAGCAGAAAGTTCGGAGGTGGATAAGGGGACGTACCTGGCAACAAGAAACAGAACACGATCGACAAGATCGCAATGCAGCAAGTAATTATGAACAGCGTCCCATTCGTCTGCGTGTACGCTGTGATTCCACACTGTCGGATCGTACTGTCGAAAGGATAGTCCCTCAACGACTTGATAGACCCGTAAATCTTCCTCAAAGTCGCGGCCGACGTGCTCGATGGACACTCGTCCCGCATATTTGGCAGCATCTCGTTCTCCCAGACTACAGCGCCGATCGTGCCACCGATGCTTGAGGAGAGCGAGGACCAGAGCGAGAGCTGCGCGATAACTTGTGAGAGGTCTTCGTGAGGGACGGAGACCTGTGATGCGACGCGGCCGCCGACGACGCTGAAGGCACCGAAGCCTAGGATGATTTGGGAGATGACGAGGATGGCGGTGCTCTGTGTGCTGCGGTCTCCGTGGAGTTGCATGGCGTAGCCGATGAGTTTGAGGCTATTAGAAGCAATGTTAGTAGCTGCTCCTTTTCCGAGTGTGAGGACATATCATCAACTTACACGGCGCCTGCTAGAGTGAGCGACTTGTAACGATGCGTCTTCGCCAGAATGAGACCAGTGACAGGGCCCAAGATGCAGAGCAGTAGCGTGGTGATGTTGGTGAAGAGGTTCGTCACGTAGATACTCCAGTTCTGGATCACCAAGATGTAGGATGCAAAGTAGAGGCTGTGAACACTGCTTGCCAGTTGCGTCGAGCATTCAATTCCAAGAGCCGCGATGAAGGCTCTGTTCATGAAGATGTTTCGGCTTGCGAGTGGTGTTGGGGCGATGAAGTATTCGTATAGGGCGAAGGCGACAATCAGAACGAATCCAATGACCTGTATAGTCAGTCTGTTGCTCTTCAAATGTCACAGAGACGCACGACTTACGATCATCGCGATCATGCTTGGGTTGTCAAAGCCTCCTTTTGCCTGCCCGTATAGATTGATCGGCAGCAAGATCAATGCAAACCCAAAGCTCAGAAGCAGAAGACCCATCAGATCCACGTCAATGACTGCCTTGCCGGCCATCTTGAGCCAAGAAGTCGCAGGCTGCTTCTCGAGCTGACTAGTTCTCGCGAACTTGCTACCACCAGCACTGACCATGCCCAGTTTCTTCGCTTTGTGCTCCATGAAGTAGAGTGTAACAATCGCGGGAATCAGCAAGATTGGCGTCATGATGGCGAACATGCCGAGACCCCAGCGCCAGTTATCCGGCAGAAAGCCGTCGGAGATGAAGCCGTCGATGAAGACGGTAACGATGAAGGGCAAGCTCAGCAGGGAGCCAAAGAAGCCTCTGCAAAATACATCAGTACCAGAACCATGATGTGCGTGTTGATGTATACGTACCGCCATTGCATGCTGGTCAGGTCAGCCACAATCAGATCACCCAGGAAGTCCAGACCAGATTTCCCAAAGGCGGTAAAGCTACTACCGACGATGTACCCGGTTAGGGTGTGTGTGCTTGCAGCAACCGTGAAGCCAACGGCATAGAAGATGAGGACGATAACGTAGGTTGTCGGGCGCGAGGTGATGTCTGCGATCTTGGCGAGGAAGGGTTTGGCGACGGAGCGAACAACTTGGTTGGCGGTGGTGATGGCGCCGAGTTGTGCGTGGCTTTCGTAGGCTGAAGCTGCGATGGCGTTGAAGATGTAGGTCGTGCCTTGATCGAGGGAGTAGGCGAACATGGTCAGAATCAAGGAGATTCCCAGAACCCATAGCAAGACCGTGCCGCTCTTGGACTCTTTGAGCATCTTATTGAAGGCCTCGACCTTGGTGACGCCGGCGTGTGGATCGATGACTTCTTTGCCGGACTCAGTGCCATGGCGATGCTCGTCGGCTCGTGTGTGGTGAAGATGTAAGGTCTGCGACTCTTGCGAGTGTTTCTCATCGATGGAGGTCATGTTGCGGTCGTTGTTGTCTGCGCGCTCGAAAACGCCCGCCGTCTTCGACTCCGCCATGACGTTCAGTCGTTGGAGCGACAAGGTGAAGTCAGAGCGTCCAAATCCTCAAAGAATAGCAAGAGGTGAAGCCAAAGGAGGAGAGATCAGATCTCTGATAAGATAGATGAAGAGGCTGCCAACCGAACGTTTGCCCTTGGCTAGAGCCTTAGCTGTGCCGTTGGAAATGGTCGTTGCGCTTCTCCCACATGGCTGGCATCGACCGCGTGAAAGCTGACTGGTGGCTGTCTGCTGATCGTCACGATCATCGTTGTTCTCTCACTTTCGCGGCCTCGCGCGCCAAGCGACGAATGCTGAGAACGAACAAGTCCCACGCAGGGCCTCCAGCCAAGCCGTGCGTGATCAACGCTGGTATTGCTAGAAACAGTCTTCCCGACGACAAAACGGACATTCGCGTGCAGCATCGCGCCAATTGAAAAGTTTGTACAGGATGTAACATTCACTCACTGGCTGGGATCCGTCTGGGGTTGCATCTGATAAGATAAGATTTTCGTTGATGGCTACTGCCTTATGGGTCATGCGACTCTATCTACTCCACCTTCTTCAAAGAGGAGGTCTTTCTCAACGAGGAAGGCAGGACGCCTGACTTGGCGCGGGCTTGATCGGAAGCTTCACCACGCTTGGGCGGGAGGCGAAGAAAGAGCGTATTCACTCTCGCCATACCCGGCAAGCCATGGCAAGTCTTTACACGAAAAGTAGGCACCGAACTGATATGTTCTAGAAAGCCTCAGCCCTTCCTAAACCACCTCTCACGAACGAAGAAGAATGACAGCAGAAAGAGGAGGTTGAACGTCTGATCAATGCCAGTGGCGATGTTCACTAAACACCGGGTAAAAGCCCCAACAAGATCCTGAGGCGCACCAATTCGGCGGAGAGGCCGAAAAAGAGGCAGAAACAACGGCAATGCTATTCAAAGAATCGAACGATCCTTTGAGGTTTCGCAGGTGTCGTCGGATTGCATTGACTGCCACACAGCCGTGGCAAGCTCTGACGGGCATTGCACTGGCTTATCGAGAAGAGGAGGTATACACTGCAGAGTTCGTACGGTCACCGGAGAACGGCACCGGTCCGACACTCATGGCCAAGGCATTATAATGCTGCTCCAGAGCAATTGCCGGTGCGTCTGGACCTCGCCACGGCAGGCTTCATTGAACACTTCATGAAGATGAATTTGAGGAAACGAGGATGCGCGAAGGTCGGTGGTCGCTACCTCAGCTGAAATGATCTCAGATTGCGATGCGATGCAACGATTGCCGTCTGCGTTCTCGAGTGGCGACTGCAAAAAGGTGCTGCCAGGTGTTGAGAATGAGTGAGTTCATCGCTACATGCTATGTAAATGCCTGTGAGTTACAACAAAGCCTGCTTTATATCTCTCGAAAGCCAATGCACTGGGAGATGCTGGGAATAAGAGTACAGAATCATATGAACCACATCCGACCTCAAAGATTCTTCCTCACAACCTCCTCTAGCTCAGCCTGACTCAGCTCCTTGATCCCAAGCAACGCATTATCATTCTTGTCATTCCAATCACTCCCATAATTCTTGTTGAAAATGCTGACCTTCAAGAAGTTGAACATAGCAGTCATAACCTCCTCGCCCTTCTCCAGCAAGCCATAGCTCGTCTTCAACAGCTCCTCGGTGTCGACATTCTCCGTCTGGATCTCCAGCTCAGGCTTCACCTTCTTCGCGATTGCGACGAGTTCGTTCTGAGAGATGGAGGTGCTCTGCACGAAGACGCTCCTGTTTTTCGTCTCGGCTGGATGCTTCAACACGCCGGCAACGGCTTTTCCGACGTCTGCGAGAGTGGTGGTGCTGACTTTGTTGTTCGGGTCGTCGAAGAGGGCAGTTGGGCCGCCGTGCGTGTTGATCAGGAAACCCTTCCCGAGACCCCAGTCGAGGAAGACGCCATTGGCAATAATGGTCCATTCGATCTCGGACTCCTTCTTCTCGAGATACTCATGTGTGAGGAGTTTGCCCTTGAAGACGGGTAACTTGGCGGTGTTGGCGTTACCGCTGACGTTGGAGCCGAAGTCTGAAGGAAGGAAACGTTTCACGCCGGCTTCGATGGCAGCGTCGATGAGGGCAGGCTGCTGGTCATACTGGGGGAGGTTGGAGACGATGGCGTCGATTTTGTTGTCTCTCAGGGCGCTTATAACGGATGTCTTTGAGTCATAGTCCACCTTGACTGTCTTGACGCTGGATGGGAGGCCTTCGGTCTTGCCGCTGCGAGAAAGGGCGACGACCTGAAATGCATTGTTGACGAGGGCGTTCACGATAGCTGGTCCCAGGTTGCCTGTTGCGCCGGCGACTGCGATGTTCTTGTATATGGCCATGGTGAAGTGAAGTCTGTTGCGATGTTGTTGGTTCTGTTTACGACGTTTCTCCTTCTGCTTGATTGTGTGCTGGAATCTGTTGGACCAAAAACACTATGAAAGGAAGCATCTCGTCTTTATACCCTCCTGTCTCCCCAAACCATCGACGCCATCAAACCCTTCTCTTCAGCAACACACTCCAAGCATTTCACATCAAAGCCGGCATTTCAAATCCTTCGTTCAAAGCTGATTGGTCCAGAGCTTTCAATTCCGCCTGCTGACTATACTCGTCCGGAGGAGACGGAGGAGTTTGAATCCGGCAATTTTGAACTTGGCGGAACATGGGTGTAGCAGAGAAGACGGCCTTGGAATCATTGGCAAGATTTCTTGTGCAATGCATGGCTTTAGGGTTTGCGGATGCTTGCTGCTCGAGATGCTCGTGGTTTGTAACATTGTAGCGCTGAACGAGGAAGGTGGTCGATTGACGATTACGATGAATTATTGTTGATGAGTGCATGGCTTGGAGGTCGCTAGACCCTTGCTATTGCATGATCCAATCCTTGTCTATAGCAATGTCAACTTTCGTCAGCTTCGGCGGTCTCTTTCCGAAGATCCTTGCTCTTGTGCAAGATGTATACATCTGTCCGCTCTTTCTGATGATGTGGATGACAATCATTTCGCAGCTATGCATTACAATTTATCGTGTGATAGGCTATCTCCGGAGTGATTGCTGTATTTTTCGTTTCCTGGATCTTGATGACATGGAAATTGCGAGATTTTTGGTTTCGTTCGGCCGAATCGACGGGGCGGCAAAAGTCAGGGGGAAGCGTGAGGATCCGAATCCGAGGCTTGCTAATATGAAGCGGCGATTGCCTGTCTGGAGCTTCGTACTGCCGCTTTGAGATGTTGCGAAGGTGCATATGATCGCTTCTGCTGAGGACTCGTTGTCCTCTAGCTGTTGAGTCTGTCAGAACCCTGATGATCAGGCTGCGACACCAACCTGGCCAGGCGGCTTTTGATCCCGTTCCACACAACCGGAAAGTGACGTGGAGAGGAATGGCTCGTCATTTGCACAGTAAGGAATCCCGTTGCGCATCATAACACAGGACCGAGTTTCGTCGCCGGGCTGACCTCATGTCTGTCGTTGCACATGAAGAGGATTGGGTTCGTGTTGTGCGCTCGGACGATGCCGCGACCTCTCGAATATACGTTGAGGTTGCCTGATTCAAGATTCTCGTTTTCGTTCTCATCAATAGAATCACCCTCCGTGTCGAGAGCGAATGTTATATCATCCGGGAAGTCCTGGGCTGCTTCAATGTAGTCGACACTGCTGTGAAGAGGGCCTCTCCAAGTTTGATGTTGGCCTTCACCAGCGCCGACCATTGCTTGCACACGCTTGTAGGACTTCCCCGCGTGAGCGATAAGGTTGCTGTATTCTGAGGGCGGTGAGATGCCAGTGGCACTTGCAAGTCGTGAATTCGATGGAGGTGGGATGATGCACTTATGATCCTTCCTTCTCTGTTTGCTTCAACATATACCAATCGGCCCAGTGAATCCACCGTATAGTTGGAGGTGTTGAGGAGCTGTTCGTCTTTTCGGCGTCGCGTGTCGATATTCGGGGCGAGGCGGTTCTGGTATCAGGGGAGATGGACCTGGTCCTGATTTCGTGCATCTTCGCGCACTCGACGTAGAAAGTGTTCGGTAGTGTCATTGTAAATGGCTTCGGCGAGAGCGGCCATCGGGGCCGTCGCAGTATCTATCCACGTATGTCAGTCATGTTTGGCCCTAGATGAACTTGATCTTCGAGCGCGTCGCGTAATGGCGAGTGGTCTCAGATCTCCTTTCCAATAAGCTGAGCACGTGAAGATTTGGTTCTCTACTGGATAGATGCGCTTCAAGGTTCGGACGTGGCAAGGCGCGTTTCGGTTGTTCTGGCGAGGGCGGCATCCGATCCAGACTTGTGGCTGTCCGAGGATGGCAGTGGCCCGCTCGTACGGGCTATCGAGGAAGTTGCAGATGAAAGACACGCGCACCCTATAGCAACTGTTGACCAGATCAGGCATGTCAATGGTAGAAGTTGTGGCTGTGGAGGGAGTTGAGGCGTACAGCAGCATAGTTGCGTGGATGGCAGCTTTCAGGAGGGAGGGATTGAAACCGACAACATCTCGCAGGCCGCGTGTTGAAGATTGGGATACATACTTAGGATTGATCGAATGGTACTCTGGAATACTATTCAAATGGGCAAATAATGCCTTCTCAACTTCTGCCCGCCCTGTCAGCGTTCGATGGCCAATCCGTGCTACCCCTCGACCCTCCGCTGTCCCTCCTACCCCCCGACTCACCCCTATGACCTCACCTCGCTGTCCCTTCACAGTAGCTTCCAGCACGCGTGCGGCCTCTGGACTGCGTGCACGAGCCATAATTGGTGCACGGGCCACCCACCGCCAGCTACAAATATTTTCTCGAATCCCTCCCAAACCTCTTCTTCTTTCCTCCAGCCGGCACCGCCAAGTGTCACTTTTGCCCTGGCTGGGCTGCCAACCCAGACGGGGCAAGGAATTTTTTGAACTCAAACCATGGCGCTGATATTGCACTACCGTCAGCTGCCGTGGCCCATTTACTTTTTTCATCACGTTGACTGCTTCGGCGGCCGCCTGAAGAAGATTGGTTTGTTTGATGTCGTCCCAGCGCGGTGAATTGCCCTTTGTGAACCGCCTTATGCCTGATGTGTCTCTGCCTGCCCGCTCTCATCTCTGCCTGGTCCCTACCCTGCCGCTGAGAGTGTGCTGTTCGCTCTCTTGCGCGCCAGCTTTTGTACCCTGTCTGTTTGCAATGTGTGGCTATCAAGCTTGGATGGTATGAAACGCGTAACTGCCTGTTTGGGTGAGGTCAGTGAAACTCCACCCCAAGCGCCCAAACGTTGCCATGTAGTCCGTCAACGCGTAGAACCTGCAATACACATTCCCAAAGCCATTTTCACATCCACAGCGCAAAGACCGCACCAATGGCTTTCAATACGTACAACAACAACACCGCCGACTCCGCCTCCCCTCCCCCAAGTCTGGACGTGAAAGACGCCGACTTCGTCATCGATCTCGGCAACCTAGAGCTTGCTCTAGGGTACAAGTTCAATGACCATGCCCTGGTCCGAGAGGCGTTCGTCGGAGAGAGAGCGCAGGTTATGATAGAGGGGAAGCTAGTCCGCCAGCCAAACCAGCGGCTACCGATTCTGGGAGATTCGGTGCTCAAGACCGCGTTCTGGGACACCAACTTCACCAAGGACGAGCTTTGCGGTATGTTCACGCCTCCTTGGGCTGCGTACGAGATAGGCGCTAACTTATGGGTAGCCGCATCATGCAAGAGGTTCGATTCCTTCTCCAGCAACCGATCTCTCGCCAAAGAAGGATGTTACCTATACATCCATACCATGATCGTTTGCGTGGACGGGAAGCGTTATTGGGAGAAGAAGAAGTGGACGGGCGAGGAGAGAACCACCGCGGTGGCGTCTACGATCGAGGCCGTGATCGGGGCGGTGTGGATAGACTCCCACCAGAACATCGAGACGGTGAAGAGCGCCATCAACGGCCTCTTGGGAGCGGGCAAATGCTAGACATCAGAAGCACACGACTTCTTCACGATGCATACTGAAAATTCAACGCGTGTGTCTTGATACCAGGCCTGGCCTGCACAGGATTGCCTTGACCATGGACCGACAAGGCTCTCTCTCTCCTGATCACTGTCCCCTCAATTCCTCTCAGAATAACAGATCCCATTGCTTGTGGTATACATTGTGCTGCTATCTGGTTAGTTAGCTTGCATAGAGGCCGTAGCATCACTCGTTGCGCGTTCCAATGCCCCTTTTGATAGTGCCTCCTCGCTCTTACTCATGTTTCCAATCCGCTCTTTCCCTTCCCAAGCCTTTCCCATTGAGGGTCAAATTTCTGTTCGCTTTCTTTTGGGCGTCTTCGGAGACGACTGGTGGTTTTGGTGATTGGTTCCGGTGTTCACAGAGGAGGAGGTTGAAGAGGAGGGCGGAGGAGGTAGGATCGGCGGCAAGGCAGGCGCGATATCGCTCGTTGGAGACTCGGAGGAGTTGGACGGTTTCGAATCATATCTGCAGGTGTTCCATCGTATCTATAGCTTTCTTCATCTCGAGTAATCAACTATGAGTTCCATGCATAGTGCAAGCCCTCCGAGCGTCGTGTCCATCAAGACGCTGGCGATGGTCGCAGTCGCAGCGAAACAAGCGGTAGGCCAGGAGGCTCTGGTGTTATCTCTCTTTGCAAGCTGTGAGACCCTTCAAAGATATGCAAAAATGTTTGCTGTCGTACTTCCAGGTCTCTTTGCAGGGTAGATGTTGTTTGCCAGGCTGATCTGGCTAGCAAAGGCTCGCTGGTGGGCGAAGATTTCGATTCTTGCGACGGTGGAGGCGGCACTGAACACAGCGAGGACGGAAGATTGATGGATACGCATTGAATAAACATCTACAGAAGAATCACCATGCCATTGACCGTATCTCAGAGCCTCTTCCACGTACATGTCTCAACTGCGAGGCCTAAACCGCGCCCAAAGCCTCAAGAATGACCGGAAGCATGGCGAGCACTGCCGTTTGGCCGCGGCAGCGAGTGCGAACAAATTTTTGTCGCTACTTGCGCGTTTGGAGATCTTTCACAAAGATGTTTCCTTACTCTTGCCAATCTTTGAAGCTACTTTCACCGCCAGGTCCTCGTCAGCCACCTTGCTACGCCTCCAGGTCCTCCGGCGAAACGACGCCGGCGAGACAGGGAGACAGCGAGAGCCATCCAGCTACGATCCAGCCTCCAGCTCACTCGTTTCATCGCTTCGGCTCCTTCACTCGTATCTTCACTCTCACCTCCTCGACAGAAGAAGCCGTTCCACCGTCACAAGCCACCGGGCAACCGTAGAAGCGAAGCAGATGCTGGACGATATCGATAGCTGGCGGCCATCTGCGTAGAAGGAGCGTTTCGGCGGTGGTATAGATACAGAATGGATACTTTGATATGCAGAGGCCAGGAGATTGGGTATTTGCTGCGTTTGCCGAGATCTTTGAAGCTGTTTTCACGGCATGGCATGCATCTACAGGCGTAGCAAGCAGCGGAGTCAGCAAACGGTATCCATCGCTGAGGTGCTTCTGTTAGGAGTACGCGTATGGTTGCGACGCATAAGATCAGTATCTACGGAGACTGGAACTCGCTCTTTCTCCGACAGCAAGCTTTTGCGTCGGTATCAATCTGACTCCTTCTGAGACACTACATTGTAGACAAATGCACCGCTACGACATGAGCTTGGGAAATGGTCAAAGAGCAAGACAACATCATCATGATGAGGCGCAAGGACATTCAAAGGAGGATAGCATACCTGTGGTACTGAAACTGCTTCTACCACGGCGGCGGCGGCTTGCACCGATATCGCTACACGACTTCCGCCGATGGATGAGGCTCTAGATCAGCTACTAGGGCGACCACGGGCTATGAAAAGTGGTACAAACCAACCCATCATCATCGTGAAGAGGTGTAGAAGAGGCAAAGAGATATGATACGTCTGTGGATGAAAGAAGTCGGTCTAGCCGTGACGGCGACCGCTGACAATGATATCGCTCAACAGCTTTCTCCAGCCGGCGATACTCTACATAGTCCTCTGGCAATGAAGCGGTTCTATGAATCGGCAAGAAGCGACACAACACCATTCAGAAGAACCGTCGAGTATGTAGAAGGTACATCGCTACCTGCATGTCTTGCGCCTCTTCATGATAGTACTGTCTCGTCTTTCGTCAAGTTTTGAGGTTGTTGGCACGCTGAAGAGCGGAGTGCTGGTCTTTGAGCGTGGAGGGCGCAGCAGCGGCGTTTGCAACGATATCGATATCAATGGCATGCGCCGCGGTCAGAGCATCCTACGTCTTACACAGAGAGTGTATCGTCGTATAGATCCTTTGCGCTCGTTGTTGGAGGTATTTTCTCGCTCCTCAACAACATTTCAAGTCTCTTTCACGCTCAGCGGCCGTTTGATAGCCAAGGAGGGCTACAATAGCGTTCGTCACAACAACAACACCGCCGAATGCCGCTTCCTCCAGACCGGTTTCCATAGAATCAGGACGTAATATCATTCGCTTTGAAATTTGCCGTCCATCACAACGGTATTACCATCCTCCTCGTCGAATTTTCCAACGCCTTTCACCCTCAGCGGCGAAGCTATGGCAGGGGAGGGCAGCAAAGGAGCTCTTTACAACAGCAACACCACCGAACGCCGCCTCCTTCAGGCCGACGTTCTACGGAAAGTAGACGTGTTATCACCCTTCTCATCGTTTGCTGTCCATCACAAAGGTGTTCGCATCCTCCTCTTCATTTTTTCCAACCGCTTTCACACTTAGGGGCTGAACCCCAGCGATTCAGGGGAAACTCTGCATCCGGCGATATCGCCGCAATAAAGGCAACAGCTCAAATGAGGGGATTTGCGCAGCTTCTGAGCTCTGCAAAATTCACTCAAGCCTTCACTGCTCGCCTCAAAGGCCTGGAGAAATTTCACATGCCATTTACAAGCCCCTTTCACCGTCAGGCTGGCAGCTGTCCAGCGGCGGCGACTCCTGCCGGTGGTATCGTCGCAAGAGAGCGTCTGCTAGACGACAGGCGATTACACAACGTACGAGGGTTGCAAATGTCTCTTGAGGTTTGCATGTTTGCTATAAAGGTATGGAGAGACTCCTCAACACATTTGGAAGCTTCTTTCACCGACAGAAGGCCACTGACAGACGTCCAAAGCCAACAACTCCATCCAGCGATATCGTCGCAAGACGAGCATGGATCGAAAGGCGCTTTTTACGCAGTCATTGAGGATGCGGACAATTCATTGAAGGTTCTTACGATCACTTCAAAGATATGGAGAGACTCCTCATCACTTTTACAAGCCCCTTCCACCGACAGAACCTCATTCAACAGGCATCCAACGCAACCGCACTATCTAGCGATATCGATCGCAACAGCACAACCTCTCGACAACAGCCATTGGCGGCTCGATGAGGGCTTGGACAAGTCATTGAGTCTTTCGACAATCATTCCAAAGGTATGGAGAGACTCCTCGTTACACCTAACAGCATATTCAGCCCTCAGAATGCCGTCAAACTAACGGATAGCGCCTTGACAGACCAGCGGTGATATCGTCGCCGGCGGAGGAAGTCACCACAACAAGCGTTCTGGCAAAGTAGAGCCCATCGAGACTTCCTTGGAACACTTGAAAAGCGACATGAAGGTATGCAACTACTCCTCGCCAACTCAGAAGGCAGCACTCACCCTCACAGCATCGCTGAACTGAACTCAAAGCCATACACCTTCGCCAACGATATCGTCGACAGCGAGCATCGCAGCGACAACTGCCTTACTGGCGCTGTACAGACAGTGCGCCTGCCATGAGAACTTTTGGAAGGCACGATGGAGGTAATTAGTCACTCCTCCTCAACCTTGAACGCGTCTTTCACCATCAAAAAGAATACAAACTGACCTTCCAGCCCTTCCACCGCCGCGGCAAACGGTATCGCCGCTGGATCTGCGAGCCTTGAACAACGTTCTACAGGGCAGATCCGGCGGCAACGATATCGCCAGCATCTCCTTCCATGCGCTCGAGCGACGCGCATCCTCTCGAACGTCTCCTCACGGCCGTAATGACCTCCTGGACGATCTGCGCCATTGAACCAGCAACGCCTTCGACGAGCTTCGCAGCAGCGACACAGCGATATGGATGTATCGATGGCAGAAAGAGGCGTGAATAATAGAAAGAGGCGTACGAGATATGGTATACGTTCTTTGAGGGCAGGAACATTTGTGGAAGGCTGATACTGGATGGATCGTTGAAGAAGAAAGAGCCATGGATGGATATCAGCGAAGAAAGAACGATTGATATCGATCCGAAAAGAGCAGTTACAACACGGCAAAGATGCTGGTGGCTGGTATGAGCAAGGAGAAACAGAAGGAGCAGGAGCAATGGATACGGCAGTAAGTGGACATCAAGAAGGAAGGCGCGCAAAGACGAGACGGCTGATATGGAACGTTTTCGAGCAGTGCCTGTCTGAGTGTCATTACGCTTGGGACTGGTCTGAGGACTGGACAGGAGTCTGTGGAGGCTGCAGAGTCCCACCACTTCGTAACCTCAGGCTTTCACCCTTCCAGAAGGCAAAGAGATGCGACAGGGATGGTGACGACTCATCGACGGCACTACGATCTCACTGCCATTGTCGGAGGCTTTCGGCCAATGGCAATGGAGATCGATCTTCGTCAGATCTCGTGCTTCCCGATTTGGGGAGTGCAATACTCCAGCCTCAGCAAGGCGCTTTGAGCTCAAATGGCCACATTATCCAACGCGCTCAAGAGGAGGTTGCTCAACAGGACGAGACGAAGCTCCCCATACCCATATTGCATGGTAGGTGAGTTGTTGTTGTCGAGATCTATCACTTCACAGCAACCTCATGCCGCGAGCATTCACGTTGATTGGCTTCCAGGCAGGCTATGGGATGTCCCGGGACCCACAGGCGCGAAGTCAATTCAGACCAGGATGCGTGGACGGGCCCCTCCGAGCTGCCCAAGAGCACGTCGACCTTCTGCCCTCCTCCGCCGTCCTTTTCCTCACCTCCTCAGCAAGACATCCTCACTGAGCACAGCTTTCTCCGTCATCTTCGCTCATACACATACCATCGTCTATCATTCATTGCTCCGGACAGACATCAAGCTGCCGAGATGATCTCGTACGTGCAAGCTGTTCAACCCCCTACCTTCGCCCTCCCAGTGGAGGCGGATCCCAGCGACGGCGAGCACCAGAGAACCGCCAACGCGCACACTGCCCTGCTCAATCTGGCAAACTACACTCCCGCCGTCATGCCTCACCCAGCACGTGAGATCGACAGTGGCATTCCGGCACTTGAGACTCCCCTCAGCTTGCTTGGTGCGCCCTCTTCTCCTACCCTCTCCTGGACCTCCGGTCCCGCTGGTACATCCAGCAGCATCACCACTGGCTCGGTCGGCTCTGCATCTGCTGGGATCTCTACGCCTCCGTCCACGGCCGCTGTCCCAACTCCACTCCCTCCAAGCTTGGACGCGCGACAGGACGACTTCGCCATGGCGCAGTGCGTCTTCCCAGCGACCGCGGTGGTCTTCGTGGGAAAGTGAGTCTGCTTTCTGCCCTGCATCCCCAAAAGTCTCCTCACTGACAGTATCACAGCCTACCAGCTAGCTGCTCAGACGATACGCTGAGTCTCATGGTCTTGCGCAAGTTCTCAGAGTACGGTCGCGTGAGCGTGTTCATCAAGCGTACGATCGCGCAGAAACCATGGGCTCTCCTTCAGTACCACGTACGTTCCATCGCTTCTTGCAAGCCTCTCCACCACACTGACATTGTCTAGAACCGGTGCAACGCCTATCGTGCCATAGACGAGGCCCACGGCATGGAGATGCTTGGCCAAACCTTACGTGTGCAAAGATCTCAGGCTCGCCGTGAGATCGCCATTCTCCGCGCTGACGGCCTCCAACCAAGCCGCTACGAGCTTCTCATGGCCTTTGCCCAGTTCGGAGAGATCGAGAGCGTCTATGGCAACCCACACGTCGCGTACGTTGTTCGCTTCAAGTGCTACGGCTCATACGCGCTGGCCAAGGACGCTGTTCGCTCGCGCACGACGCCATACGATCTGGTTTGAGGGCATTGTTATACATTCGCGCAGAGAAGAGACCACTTGCTCCAAATGGCTCTGATGTACATAGCTTGCTTTGACTTGCTTTTTTCGGCGTTCGCAGAGAGAGATACCCCACGGCGATGGCTCTGGGAAGGTAGCATGGCAGCGCACGCTGCACATAGATCGATAATAGCGAGAGCAGACGTTCCTCTCGTGACTTCATCTTTTCGTCTTCAATTTTCATCTCACTATCGCCATCACTTCGCGCGTTACCGCTTCATCATCACTTTTTACCTCATTGTCGCCATCACTTCGCGATCTCACTGTCGCCATCCCTTCGCGTTTTGCGTCCGACATCACTTCGCGTGGTACGTTCACCATCACTCTTCATCTCACTGTCCCCATCACTTCGCATTCTCACTGCCGCGATTACTTCGTTCTCACTGTCGCCATCACTTCGCATTCTCTATCCGCCATCACTTCCATCGTCACCGCAACGCTCACCACGCGCGGCGGCCATACCATCACTCAGCTCTCTCGAAACGTTCAGAGACGAGATCACTCAGCAGACGTGAAGTCAAGAGCTCTCAAACCCAATTCCCCCAGATCGACCTCGACCCACATCGTTCATGCACGCCATACCGGGATACCAAAACTCTCCTTGCCGGCATCGGCCTTTCGTCATCGGTCTGGAACCAGATCCACCTTCAAAAGCATACAGCCATTGGTATCGATATCAAATCACCACCAGCCAACGAACATATACAATAAGCAGACCATCTCCTCCAAAACAAGAAAAAGGCTTAAAAAGAAGATAAAAAGAAAATGCCAGGCAAAACCCTCCTCCTCCTCGGCTCCGGCCCCGGCATCGGGATCTCCATCGCCTCCAACTTCTCCGTGCGCGGGTTCACACACATCGCGCTCGTATCCCGCAACACCGAACGGCTGAAACAAGACCAAGACACCGTACTCGACGCCATCCAGGAGAGGGGGTATAGCTGTCAAGTCAAGACGTGGACGTGCGATTTAAGCGACTTTGAGCAGCTGGAGAGGGTGCTGGGGGAGGTGGAGGGATGGGGAAGTTTGGAGGTTGTGGTGTTCAATGCGGCGAGGGTTGCTGGGAAGGGGCCGTTGGAGGAGGGGTTGGAGGAGTTGGAACGGGATTTTAGGGTGAGTTGATTTGGTGGTTTCTTTGGTGAGAGTGGCCGTATGCTGATACTCACGGTAGTTGACGAACCTCGCCCTTTACAAAGTCGCCCAATGGGCGATCCCCATCCTGCAAGCTGTCAAGGACGAAGATCGGCATCCGTCGTTCTTCGTCACGAGTACGACGAAGCTGTACAAGGAGCCTGTGCCGGATCTGGTGTCGCTGTCGATGGTGAAGAGCGCGCAGCGGGCGTTGGTGTTGTCGTTGCATGCCAAGTTTGGGGAGGATGTGCATGTTGCGTTGTTGAGTGTTGGGGGTGTGGTGGATCCGAAGAAGAAGGTGCTTAGTCCAGAGAATATTGCGGAGAGGTGTTGGCAGTTGTATCGGCAGAGGAGGGGGGAGTGGAAGAGGGAGGAGGAGATTGATGATGAGGTTGAGGGGCAGTAGATGGGAGGGATGGTGGGAGAGGAAAGGGGGGTCTTGTAGATATTTTGAGTCGTGAGTCGTGTATGCAACGAAGAGATCCAGCCCAGCGTCCTACCATTGCTGCTCCTGCCATCACAATGTTCACCACCGCTTCCCTCATCACTTTCTCATCCTCAGCACTCACTCAAAATGCCACTCCGTCCCCAACTCCTTTTCCCCAACCTTCACAGGCTCCTCACTCGCCACCGCAACCCCAAGCAACCTCGCCACCCCATTATCAGGCGTAACATTCCTCCACTGATGCATCGTGCCCCTCTGCACAATCGAATCCCCCTTCCTCACAATCCTCTGCTCCCCACTATCCAACGTGAGCTCAATCTCGCCCTCCAAAATATACACCACATCCAGCGTCATCGTGCGGTGGTTCGGACTCTTGCCGGGTCCCAGCGTCACGATGTTGACACCCCAGCCGTTCGTGGGACAGATCTGGCCTGGTGGGAGGCCGTTGGTGCGGTCGTGGCTGTATTGCTGGATGTCGGACTCACCGGAGAGGTCGGCTTTGAAGGCGTGCGAGGTGTAGAGGATTGTGAGGTCGGAGGGGTCGGAGGGGTCGTTTGGGCGCATGGAGATGCGGTGGGGTTCTTCTGGGACGGTAGTGGAGAAGATAGCCTGGCCGGAGGAGTTGTGGGTTGTAATGTATTGGGGCATTGTTGCGGTGGGTGGTTGTGTTCGTCCTTCTGATTGGTGTTGTCTTGTACGAAAGAGTGGAAGGGAAGTGACCAAGTAGTTTCCAAGGTCTTGAGTTGCGATGAAGTGCTGATTGCTTCTTGACGTTCTTTGATGGTGTTCTGAGAGATGTTTTTCTGGGCGCGGAAAGTGAAGAGAGTAGCTCTGACGAAGGAAGCAGAGAAAATTTGAGACGAGAGAGCTTACTTATATACCACCTTTCCCTCCATAGTCCTTGCTGCGAGACTGCGGAGGCCGTTTGTCCGCTTCTACACCTACCTCATTCCTTCAATGCGGTATGTGTTCAGGATGTGCTCATCTCAGCAAGCTTGCTCGAGCTTGCTTCAGCTCCACATCGCTTTCGGCGCAATGATCTTGACCGCTCAGCAGGACAGCCTGGAAATTCAGGCCTGTTGACATCGAGAAGGGAAGAAGTTGAGCCGGTCTGGATGGATGTTTGCCCGTTAAGAGATGGGGAAAGAGAAGCAAGAAGATGGAAAGAGATGGCTGGATGGCAGGTCGGCGGTTGAGGATCCCGACGAAAGAGCGATGGCTTCGGCACTAGGAAGATCTCTCCGGATTTGATTGGAGAACTAATCAATTTACGGGCGTCCATTACCCGGAGAGATATCTCAGCTCGGACAGTCCACGGCATTGGCATTGGCTGGAGCTGAAGGAGCGGCACTGCTTGTCGACTTCGTCTCTTCCAAATTGTCACGCATTTGGAATTATGCAAGGCTCCAATAGCTCCTCTGCCCGAGTGCCCGTGGCGAGGAGGTCCCACAGGAAGAGCAAGACCGGATGCCAGACCTGTCGTAACCGCAAGGTGAAGGTGAGTTTGTCATGGTTGTGTTGGTCGGTCATGAGCTTACCGTTCAACACCACAGTGCGACGAAAGACGTACGGCTGCTCAGACTCTATCCAAGTAGATTTTTCTGATACATGACAGGGCCACTATGCCGGAACTGTGAGAAGCACTTCATTGGCCTTATCAGCTGCGACTTCGACGATCAGGCTCCTGTCCTTGCCCAAGACGCACCAGCAGGAACGAACCAAGTTGGTAGAGCAGCTGAACCACTCCAATTGCCTACAATGGTATCAGCTTCATCATACGATGCACTCTTAAGACGACCACAAAGCGAGGTACCATCAACAACCTTTGACAAACTGGCAGCGTACTGTAAGTGACGAGAAGCACTCTTGACAGACAGACACGTTCTGAACTTACAGACTTGAACAGCTTCGCCTATCGTTCCTTCCCATTCTACGCCAGTAAAGATTTGATTGATGTCTGGTGGCCCTTCGTTCAGGCAGATGATCTCCTTTTCCATGTGGTCATGTTGCTGAGTAGCATTGACCTGGCACGAACATCAAACATTACTGACACCACGAGTGAAGCTCAATTATTTGGCCAGAGCGTCTCGATCCTACGCAGTCGACTTGCTGAACCCACAGCAAGCAACTCTATCTCGGATGCGACTATCGCTGCAGTGGCACTCCTGGCCGCCTTGGAGCACCATCGAGACAACATTCGAGCTCTGCAGATGCACATATCGGCGCTGAAGCACATCGTCGATCAGCGCGGAGGCCTTTCGGCTGTCAAGGCTGAGAATCCAATGGTCGCGAATGTGCTCTTCTGGTGTGCGCTGGTTGCCATAAATGAGCCAGCACTACTGCCGCTCACATACGAGGACGCCTTGGAGATGATCGACCAACCGCAAGATGCAGACGATGCTTCTCTACTGACACATGATGGTGGGGAGGCCAACTTGTTCGATCTTGGACTGGATCCGCAGACCGCGTTCGTACTACACGATGTCCAACGTCTGTCAAGGCTGTACACCGCCACGCTCAGTTACGGCAGTCCCGACGAAGCCATGGACGTTCTCAGTCAGCTCTGCATAATCCTTCAACGTTTGCTAACGTTGAGCAAACTTTCCGATGACGTGACTGGAACGCCAGGCCTCTCGCAGAGCTGCCGTCTTGCTGGTGTCCTTCACGTCTTCACACCACTGTCTGGCTACTTCCCCGACCCGACCATGATGCTTCATGCCCTCGTTCGCGACATCAAAAGCTCTCTCACAAAGATGATTGGCGCAACGGGTACTCATAGCCATCTGTTGCTCTGGCTTCTAGGAGTCGCGGGTATCACGGCTCACTCAATGCCTGAACGGGCCTGGTTTGTTGGACATCTGGTGGTTGTGGTGCAAGACCTCGAGATCAAGAGCTGGCAAGTGTTCAGGTCAAACTTGGTGAAGTTGGCTTTTCACGACAATTTCTGCGATGTCAGCTTTCAAGCATTGTGGGACGAGGTACGACAGAAGCAAGACGCGTTGGATGTCTATAGCTGATTGCTCAATCCTACTTGTCTTGCCACCCCCAGGACCTCCATGTCAGCCTCGGAATATCTTCTCTGAATCTCCTCTACGTTCCCACCGTCGGGATGGATTTCTAGCTGCTAGGAGGATTCATCGTACAAAAACAATACCTTGCAATCTTCCATTCCCCTCCCACCTTCTGCATAACAAACAACTCCTGATTGCTCTCCCTCGTGCTCTCTCCACTTGCTAACTTCCTCTGCATCCCAGCAGACGTTGTCCTCGCAAAAGCATACTCCGCCGATGCAACAACCACTTCCCGGATCTCAAACTCCACGTCCAAGGCAATCATAGAGAAACAGAGCTTGTACCACTTTTCGATCGAGTCCTTGCCGACTTGTGTCTCGAAGTTCTGCGCCATGGTCGCGCCGTCGGTTGTGTAGAGTGCGGCGCAGCCAGCCGCGTTGGAGGCGACGAGGTGGGTGCGGTAGGAGTTGAGGGTGGAGCGAATCTGGGATTCTTCGGTGGACATGATGAAGTCAAGGATGGCGAGCATGCAATGGATGGTTGAGAACGCGTTTTCGAGTTGTGAGTTGATCTGTTTCGATGATTAGAGAAGGACGAGGGATATATGTACTTTCAGATGGTTGAGACCTGTGTGAGTGCCTTGCATATTCACAGCTTCCGAATCGGGCTAGCAACACGAAGACGAAGCCGAAGGCGAGTAGCGTCGCAGGTCAAACTCTATCGCGCCCTGAAGCCTCACAACACACGATTTGAAGACGCTGAGTAAACCAAACCACACCAACAACGTCAACGACCTAACGATGGCCACTCACGCAAACCCCCTGGCGATCTCACGCCGTTCGACTTTCAACCACCGCCCCCTTCCAGAAGCGACCACCAACTTCGTACCGTTCTCACTACAACGCCGCTCGACTAACCGCCCCCCTGTCCCCGTCAAGACCATCCAGTACCGCACCTCCCCCAGAGAGATGTCGCGGCTTGGCAGCGCTCTCCAAACCTCTGGTCGCATTCTCATGGCCATCCTCTTCTTCGTCTCAGGCCTGGGCAAACTCATCAATGTCCGCGCCACCCAAACCTACATGGAAGCGCACCGCGTGTCCGGCCTCCTCATCTTTCCGACGGCAGCACTGGAGATCTCTGCGGCGATCGTGCTCCTCATGAATCGCTACACTCGCTACGTCGCCGCTGTGCTCGCGGCATGGTGCCTGTTGACCGCGGTGATCTTCCACACAGATCTCCAGGACGAGGCAGAGCGCGTTCACTTCATGAAGAATCTAGCTATGACTGGAGGTTTCTTGGTCTTGGCCGAGGCTGGTGAGTAAATTACGTGGAACGAGCGCTTGAGACTGACTATACTGAAATGGAGTCATAGCTGTCCTTTGGTCGTGGAAGACGTACATCGTTGCCACACCGAGAGCCAGATGCTCAGCATACCTTCCACAGCAGGACTAGGGAGGCCTCCCGAACTCACATGTCCCCATAACCTTGATGTGGTAATTGCCTGGAGATCCCCCGGCATCGCTACTCGAGAAGCATCTACAGAGACTGATCAATGGCACGGGCACTTGCATATTCACGGGGATTCCGAAGGGAAGCGCAACCTATCGTCTTGGAACGCGTGCAGCACAACGCTGGCAAGAGGTCGAGCAATTGCGAATTGAGGTTCGGCATGGAACACTCGGTAACACTTCGCCTTCAATTCCGTCACTTGAAGGAGCGTGCTGGAACCAGAGCGCTCGTCAGGGTGTCATTGATGTTATGCAATTACTTATCACAGGGTCTGTGCAAGAAGCAGCTCGCTAAACACGTCGTCCATCGCGGTACAGATCTCCGTTTCCTCGCCTTGTTACACTGTCCCAGCTAATGCACGAGCGTCAACGATCGGAATGGGGCCCGGCATTGAGTGTTGCACAGACACCAGACTAAGAGCCGGAGCCATCTGCTCGGTACATGCTGGAGTTGCACTGTACCTTTCTGTGCTACGAAGAGCCTTGCTGGTTGCAGGTGTTAAGCCCCTTCTGAGCATCGCACACTGACGTGGTACGGGCCATTATCAATACTTCAGAGGAGACGGACGTACATTGAAGCAAGTTGTAGCTCTTCGGGAGAAGCAGGAAGCTCGATGAGAGCGTGCCAAGTCATCTGTGATCCAACGATAGAGACTTTACTGCTGGAAGATTGGTTGATGACGCCATGGAACGGCTCGATCGTGGTGTTTGTGAACGCGCATCGACCCTGTTCCTGACGTACAAGGAGATGCTGGTAACTCTTACGTGTGTCGAGTAGGAACACAACAATGTCCAGCATCGTCAAGAAGAATGATTGTTGCCTCACAGGAAAGGATTCTAACGGTATAAGAACATCAGCATTTCCATCGCTAAACCCAAGATCATCCTCGCTCCCACAGGCTGAGTCTTCTTGTCCATTCGCTTCCAGCCCTTCCATCACGAAGCTTTCTCCAAGACAACCTCAACAGCAACGACGGTCATCATGCACGTCGCCAAACTCCTCGCCTGCCTTATCGGCACCTCCAGCATCAGCGTCACAGCGCAGTCCCTGAGCCCCGGCGAAGGCATCATCCTCGCCATTGATTCTGTCACCTTCCTGTCCCAGGACAATCTCGAGAGGGCTCAGAACCTCACCGAGGAGAATGCTCTTGAGATTGGTGGAGTCAGTTGCCCCAGAGATTGTGGCGGAGGCAGTGCTGACTGGTGACAGGAAATCGTCCAAGGCTTCGGAGCCATTGTGAAGACGGTCACTGGTGCTTTGTCCAACGTCACCATTCTCAAGGTTGCGAACCAACCAAGAGGTGAAGTCTCCACTCCAGGTCGAACTGAATGTTACTGAATGTCGTACAAAGAAGCCATCGGCGGCGGTTCTGTCGTCCGCATAGCCCACGAACCCTGACAGTTCCCAAGCGTCATCCCAGACGTCGACCAGCACGCCATCTGCAACTCTTTCCGCTCAGTAAGTCCATCACACACCTCTTACTCTGACCGCGCATCTAACACCATCAGTTCATCCTCATCCACCAACAACTCCTCTCCATCGTCATCGGCGAGAAGAGTATCCTCTCTGCCACGCCCTTCACAGCACCCCTGGGCACCGTCCTCCGCAGCCTCGAAGGCGTGGTAGATACGTTCGCTTTTGCGGTCATTAACCTTGTTCCTGGATGCTCGGCTCATGCGATTCAGCTAAATGCTTACCTTTCTCCTACTTTGAGTCAGGCTGCTGTTACTTTCCCTTGAAGAAGAGGGGTTGGGAAGGACGTTACAAGCTGGCTGGGTGGAGATTGAAGGTCGGAGGGTGGAACAGAAGTTGATCAAAGGACACTCATTCGAAGATCCAAGAAAATAATTCGTAGTAGCGCCAATCTGCATCTTATAGGCAGTCCATGAAATACTAAGGCCTTGGAGATTGGCTGTCAGCATGCCATAGTCCACATGGCCGTTTTCTTCCGCTAGAGATCGATGTACCTCACCTCAAAAAGCAAGCCACAGCATCCATAACCCTATGAACACCTTCATGCGTCTTCGCAGAGCACTCAATGTATGCCCTCGCCCCAATGCTTTCCGCCATCTGCTTCCCCTCCTCAGAGGTCACGGGAACCTTATCACGAATACGTAGCATCTCTATGATCGACGGATCATCTCGAAAATCCAGCTTGGTACCTGCAAGAATGACAGGTACGCCAGGACGGGATTGCTGGAGTTCTGGGTACCACTGCAGAATTCAAGGTGAGTATGGAGAGGTACGTATAAGCTGGAAACGATGGTCTTTTACCTTTCCACGCACATCTCTGAACGATTCGGGATCGCAGACGGCGAAGCAGATGATGAAAACGTCTGCGAGAGCATAGGCGTACGCGAGTTCCTCTTCGACGTCGATGTAATCAGGCATATCCCTGAAGTGCTCGAACTCTTGGCCTGGCGTATCCCATAGATCGATGGTGCACTGCGTCTCGTTGATTGTGACTGTTGTGGGGTGTGCGGCACAGCGTCCACTGCATGTGTGGTCAGCCCTTTGCACAATCTTGAGACGTTTGACTGACGTAGGTCTGTATTCGGAGATGTTGGGTTCGGCGTCTCCATGTTGTCAGCTGGCGGGGGATCTCAGGTTGACATGATAATACATGCCTAACCGGACGTTGAGATTTCAAATGAGGTAGCGGAGAGCTAGGCACCAGCGTTCTGAAACACAGCACACTTGAGCACATGCAGAAGATGTGCATTCAGACTGAGTATGAAACAATCCACGTTCGTTGGAGCGTGCGTGTTTCATCCAATCACTGCATCATGTGCGCACACCGTACTGCGCCTCGCTCAAGCATTTCCGTCTGCAACTGTGCCTCAGGTCTTGCCTTCTGCAGCATCAGGTAATGATGTGATGATCCATGGCTTCGATAGATGCCTCATCGTAGTATTCGGCATGCATTCTATATCCTTGCTGAAGGCCGCATAGATTGAGTACATAGCTTCGTGAAGTGCTGATCTGTCAGTCAACAACGTAAGGAGAGGTTCAGCCATGAACCTACATGGTGGGTGTCAAATCGAACCCTCTGACAGAAGAGGAGAAGGAGACGCCATGAGAACTGTTTCAAAATGTGCTTTTAGGAAAGTATTGATAAAGCAATGGCAAGGTGAAGTGAGCCTAGCTCTCGACGGACCCACTTGGATGGATGGCCTCACATCCATGTCCCGGAACCACCTCAGTGACGGCGATCCCACGCCTTCATCGACAACAAGACCAGTCAGCCACATTTATTGCTGACCCAGGGAATCCTCGCCACTCGACTGACCAGACGCTTGATTTGTGAGAGTTTGCAGCGATATCGCCTTGAATGCCGCCGTGGACTTTGCCCGACAACGTTGCGAGGCCATACCTATAGAACTCGTTTGCCATACAGACTCCAAGCTATGACGCGGCATTGCAACCACCTCATAGGCCTCGAACGGATAGGGGCGTAAAATGATTATATCGATTCGCTGCGGTACGCGGGCGGCGAGGCAAGCGTGCACTCTGCCTCGTGCAAGCAGACTGGCGTGCAGGCGACTGCCATATAAATCATCGCCATGGCCTCCCACCGCCTGCCAACACCCATCAGCACCTCGCCAGCTAGCGACCAGAAGACAATCGTCAACCATGTCCTCCTCGCGCTACCCATCCCCAGATGAGATCCAAGCCCTTTTCAACAACATGGCCTCGGGCAACTACGATGCCTTCTACGCCCGAGTGTCTCCCAATGTCGATTGGACCGTCTTGGGCACTCATCCTTGCGCTGGGAGATACAAGACTTTGAAAGACTTTCAGGATGGGACTTTGACTCGGCTGGGCAAGATCATGAAGAAGCCTGGTCTCAATCTCGCGGTGAGGAATGTCATTGGTGGTGGAGATGCTGAATGGGCGATGGTGGAATTGGTGGCGAATGCGGAGTGTTTGAATGGCGAGAATCTTCCTTGGTTTATCGATAGATGATGGTTGCTGACTTCGCCCAGGCTTCAAGTTCGACAACTGCTATGCGTGGTGCGTTCGATTCGACCAGAGCGGAACAATCGTCGAGGTGCGTGCGTACTTGGACAGCTGGATGGTCCGACAGGCCATCATCGAAAACGAGACGCCGAGCCATAGGGCGCCGGTACCAGATGTCAGCAAATTTTGAGTTGGGACGTATTTGCTGTACACAGACAATGGTGGAGTGGAGTAAAGTCGTCCTTTTATATCAAAACGATTTCGTAGCCATCTTTGGGAATCCTCAAGGCTTCGTCGGTATTACCGTACTTCCGCCTGAGAACCTCAAAGACGATCAGACCAGCAGCTGTGCTGGGTACTTGACGGATAGTCGCAAAGAAAAAATCTTTATAAAGCCATCGTCGCAAACCACCTTCACGCCGAGCTATGGCCAGGCATTGTTTCCATGACTTCCGGTAGGCCGCTGCGTACAATTTCAAAGCCTTGGTCTTCAGCTCGCCGGGTTTGTGGTGATCGTGCGAGTCGATCCATTCCAGGCGCCCGTAATGAATTTCTTGGATGCGGCTGATTGGATGATGGATCAGTGCCTGCGCAATAGAGGCCGCCGCACCTGCTAGGAGGAGGAAGGTTGGCTCGACCATGTAATGAGGTGTGATCTCCGGCGGCGCTGCGGTGTGGCTCCGCTGGGCGGTGATGGTTTCTCGCTGAGAGTCTGACAGCTTCCCCCAGTCTCCATACCATGTCGATACGAAGCTGTAAAAGCACTGCGACTTGATGGTCTCAAAGGTTGCGAAGAACACACCGGCACCAATAGAGTCTCTGACAAAAGAGAGCGTCCATCCAGCAAAGATGCCACGTGCACCGATTTCTCGAGTCTTCTGCCAACCGTATTGCCACATGTTCTTGTACTTGCCCTCAAGCATCTCCGTGGACTGGAATCGTGTCTGCAAGGCATCCAGTGGTGCGGCTAAGACGCTTTGGATAGACCCAGCCACAAATCCGGCAGCGAAAGCAGTACTTGGTGGCGGCGGTGGATATACACGCTTGGTAGAATACGAGGACGGCTCGTGTAGCAGGCCAAGCACTTGAAGATACCCTGTGTATAGGACAGCTCCAACAGCGGTGTTTGCCAGTAGAGGCGGCAGGACCTGATTAGGGAGGAAACCCCATCCATATTGTCTCACGGCACTCACTAATAGTGCTGGCGAGGTCATTCTCCATGACCAGGCTTCGCCTGCTCGAACACTGGGATTGATCGCCCTAGCATAGCCCTGGCGAGCAGTCAATATTGTACTCGCGCTCACTCGTTTCCATCTGGCTCACCATATAACTGCAGAGACGTCAGACGCTGTATGAAAAACAAGCACTCAAACTCCTGGACTCACTCAATCCTGGGTCGGAAGAATGCTTTGATGGGCGCTCGAAAATAGAAGGTGAGAAGACGTGCACTCAGAGCCCGTATAGTGGCTGTTTGGACTCCAGTCGACGCGTGCTTCTCTCGCTTTTTGTGCTTCGTCTCAACCAACGCCCCTCCCTCACGATACGCTGCATCCCGCCCTCCGCCATCGCCCACGACGCCGCTCATCGCCCGCGAGTCAGTGTCAGTATGTCCGTATCATGACGAGCAACTGGTTCCTCACAGGCACAGGCACGTGATAAGCTGTAAGTGAATGACCAGCGACGGTGAAAGGAGCTCAGTGCTGCCTGTGAAGCTTTGAAGCTTGGACCAGTCACGTCACGCGGAAACATCTCGGCTGCTCCCGCTCGCGCCGCCGCCGCCTTTCGCGTCAGGCGCGCGACTCTTGATCTCGAGCTCATCTTTCTGCCAGCAACTCTCCACCTCCGTCTTCCGTACAACAACCTCTGCCGCCTGGCCTGCCACCTCTTCACTCCAGCGGCATCACCACACACCATCTGCGACGATGGCGGAAGAGGTCAGCATCGACAAGGCGGCCTTCCACACCCGCCTGTCGTCACTTATCACACAATGGAAGGCGGATAAGCGCAGCAGCAATGATGTCTTCGGTGACGTGGGCAGCATCGTTGTTGTTATGGGCAAGAGCGATGAGACGCAGGGCTTTCACAAGGCGAATGGCATGCAATTTTGGCTCCTTGGCTATGAGTTCCCCGCGACTCTTTTTCTGATCACCATGGACGGCATGACCATTGTCACGACCAAGAAGAAGGCGCAATACCTCGAGGTGCTGAAGGATGGAAAGACCCCGGTGGATATCGTCGTTCGGGGCAAAGATGCGGATGAAAATGCGAAGCAGTTCGAGAAGATCAACGAGACCATCAAGAACGCAGGCAAGAAAGTCGGCACGATCGCCAAGGATACCTCAACCGGTCCCTTCGTCGCGGAGTGGAAGAGTGCGTTCAGCGAGATCAGCAAGGATGTCGAGGAATACGATATCAGCACAGCGATTTCCACTATCATGGCTGTCAAGGACGAGAACGAGCTGAAGGCGATCAGAAATGCTAGCAGCGCCTCTGCCTATGTCATGCGCGACTACTTCGTTGAGACCATGTCTGATATCCTGGACAAGGAGAAGAAAATCACCCACAAGGCCTTCTCCGACAAGGTGTCCAACAAACTCGACGATGAGAAGTTCTTCCGTGGTATCAAGGGCGTGGGCAAGTTCGACTTTATGCAACTCGACTGGAGTGTCCCACCCGTCGTACAGAGCGGCGGCAATTTCGACCTGAAGCTCGCCGCAGAGCCCGACGACAAGAACCTACACCAGCCAGGCATCATCATCTCCGCGTTTGGCCTGCGATATCAGACATATGCCTCGGTCATCGCGCGCACATATCTCGTGGAACCGAACAAGGCACAGGAGAACATGTACAAGCTGCTACTGAGTGTGCATGACACGGTCATCAAAGAGCTGAGAGAAGGCGTGGCCGCGAAGGATGTCTACAACAAGGCTCTTGCCGTGGTCAAGGCGAAGAAGCCCGAGCTCGTCGAGAACTTCGTCAAGTCAGTCGGTGCAGGCATCGGCATCGAAGCGAAGGACTCCACCCTCAACTTGAACGCCAAGAATTCTCGCCAGCTAAAGGACGGCATGACGTTTTCCATTACGACCGGCTTTTCGAACCTCGAGAACCCAAATGCGAAGGATAAGAAGCGGGATGGGACCTATGCGCTCTTGCTCAGTGATACCGTGCGGGTCACTAGCAATGGCGATGCATACGTCTTCACCAAAGATGCCCCACGCGACATGGAGAGTGCTTCCTTCTTCTTTAACGACGAAGAGGAAGAAGAGAAGAAGCCCAAGGCCAAGAAGGACAACCGAGTTGGCGCAATCGCAACCTCGAACATCACCAAGACTCGGACGAGAGGCCAGGGCGTGATGACGCAGAACGAGGAGAGAGATGCTGCTCGTCGGACACATCAAAAGGAGCTGCACGACAAGAAGCAGAACGAAGGTCTCGAGAAGTACGCTGAAGGTCATGGCAATCTCAACGGTACTGAGGAGAAGAAGTTCAAGCGCTTCGAGTCGTACAAGCGAGACAACGTCTTGCCGCCGAAGGTCAAAGACCTGGTGATTGTCGTGGATGCAAAAGCGAATTCGATCATTCTACCTATCATGGGACGCCCGGTACCTTTCCACATCCACACGATCAAGAATGCGACTACGAGTACAGAGGGTGGCTTTTGTTATCTACGCATCAACTTCCTGTCTCCCGGACAAGGTGTAGGCAGAAAGGATGATCAACCCTTCGAAGACCCTACCGCACAATTCATCCGATCGCTCACCTTCCGAAGCCAATCAGAAGACCGCATGTCCAACATTCAGACTCAGATCACTGACATGAAGAAGGACTCGGTGCGTCGGGAACAGCAGAAGAAGGACATGGAGGATGTCGTTGAGCAAGACAAGCTGGTGGAAATGCGCAACCGTCGACCGTACAGACTGGATAACATCTTCATGCGACCGGCAATGGAAAGCAAGCGCATCGGTGGTTCTGTCGAGATTCACCAGAATGGTCTGCGATACAACCATCTCGGCAATCAGCGCATCGACGTGCTTTTCAGCAACGTCAAGCACCTCTTCTTTCAACCTTGCGTCGGCGAGTTGATTGTCATCATCCATTTGCATCTTCACAACCCAATCATCATCGGCAAGAAGAAGACGAAGGACGTCCAGTTCTACCGTGAGGCGACTGAGATGCAGTTCGACGAGACTGGTAACCGCAAGCGAAAGCACCGATACGGAGACGAGGAAGAGTTCGAGGCCGAACAGGAAGAGAAGAGACGACGAGCGGCACTCGACAAGGAATTCAAGGCCTTTGCCGAGCGCATCGCTGATGCAGGCAAGAACGAGGGCATCTCCGTTGACATGCCGTTCCGAGACTTGGGCTTCAACGGTGTGCCAAGTCGAAGCTCCGTCGTCATCCAGCCTACGACCGACTGCTTGGTACAACTCACCGAGCCACCGTTCATGGTGGTCACGCTCAACGACATCGAAGTCGTGCATCTCGAGCGTGTACAATTCGGACTGAAGCAGTTCGATATGGTCATCGTCTTCAAAGACTTTACCAAGCCTCCCGCTCACATCAACACGATCCCCGTGGAGGCACTTGATGGCGTCCGTGATTGGCTTGACAGCGTGGACATTCCGTTCACTGAGGGCCCACTGAACCTCAACTGGGCGACCATCATGAAGACCGTCATTCAGGACCCGCACACATTCTTCAAGGATGGTGGCTGGTCTTTCCTTTCCACCGAATCCGACGACGAGGATGAAGAGGAAGAGGAAGAGGAGTCTGCTTTCGAGGTTTCTGAGGAGGATCTCGCCTCGGATGAAAGCAGCGACGATGAATCCGATTTCGATGACGATGCTTCGGCGGAAGCTAGTGACGAGGATGTCAGCGAGGAAGACGAGGGCGAGGACTGGGATGAGCTGGAGAAGAAGGCCAAGAAGAAGGATCGTGACGGCGGCCTTGATGACGATGACGACAAGAAGTCGAAGTCGAAGCCCAAGTCGAAGAAGCGGTAAACGGTAGTATCTACTTTGACTTTGCTTGGAAGTTCCAGCGGGCGTTGGGGTGCTACCTTCTATGATTGCTTTAATACATTGACAAAAGCGGGGAGACTTGGGAATTCCTCCGGGTGTGTTTGTAAGATGAAGACGAGCAGGTAGCTTTTTCAAGAGAGACGACGTTTCACGAAAACTGACCCACTTATGTCTTCTTCCTCTATCGTCATGCAAGTTTGTTGCAGTCTACAATGTTATGTTGTAGTTGAAGAATCATCTGTTGTCGGGATCTAGTCGAAGAACCTCGGCAGTCCCGAAAGCTCGACTACGACCTCACCTGTCAACAAAGACGTCTTATACCACAACAAGAATCTATCCCTCGCAGCTTGAAAATAGGCAAAACCAGTAACGGACAATGTCATCAAATAGCAACCCACCCTCCTCATCAGTCAAACACGCCAACACGGCCCCCACACACCCAGACTTCCAACTCCCCTGGACGCAAGCCATCCTAACCGACCCCGAAACCAAAATCTACATGCCCACATCCTGGCAATCCAACCAAGTAAACAACCGCTTCATCGCCGAAACCCTCTCGAGCCCCACCGCACTCAAAGCACACATCTTCCTGCGTCGCCCCTGCGCCGAACCCACCTCCCTCTCCAAAACCGAAGACGTCTACCTCCTCTCCATCGGCCCCGGCCTCGACGGCGCCGCGGGCCGAGCGCACGGCGGGTTTAATTCCCTGATTCTGGATCATATCACGGGGACGTGTGCGCATCGGGAGGGCGGCGGGACGGATCCGCCGCCGGCGACGGCGTATCTGAATGTGCAGTATAAGGCGCCTGTGGGGACGCCCGCGGTTCTTATGGCGAGGGCTTGGGCGGAGAGGGTGGAGGGGAGGAAGGTCTTTGTGAGGGGGCTTTTGGAGGATGGGGAGGGGGGTGTTTATGCTAGTGCGGAGGCGTTGTTTGTTACGCCGAGGGAGGGGGTGAATGGCGTGAAGCTGTGAGGGGGAGGCCGTTTCTTAGGGGAGAAATGAAGCTGAATTACCTTAGATCTTTAAGCGTGAGGTCGTGCATGACAATTCTTGTGCGGCTGCCACGCCGTATCAGTGTACCTTGATCTTATCGAGCCGATCGGTGGCGTCCGACCCAGTCACTGGAGTCAGAAATGATGTTGTTCCCTCGATGTGGAGTTTAAAGGCTCGAGGAAGCACTTCCAGTCCCTGATCGAAGGTATGACTGGACGGCAACCACCATAAGGACTCCATAGTCGGCGAAGTCACTTTCGACTCATTGTATATGATGCTCCAAGAGAAACGCATGGCTCTCATCTCCTGATACTGATGCTCTTCATGGTGTTCCCTGTTCGGGGCACTCTATCAAGTGGCTTGATGCGGAGACAATATGAATTCTTCCCTGGAAGATATTATTTCCTGTGTCACTGTGGATATTTTGCACGAAGCTTCGTGACATCGCCTTTGGTGATACGAATTCGATGGCATTTTGCTCGCCCGCTCAGATCCATAGGTAGACGAAGCATGGCCTTCTTCTAGTAAGACTTCGATTGGGCAAAGGGAGTCCAAAGGCTACATGTAATAAGTTCGAGTTCATCATGTTCTGCAAAGTGACGCATGGCCTGAGATAAGCTAGAGGCTGTGGAATTTAAGTATATAGATTTCCTCCAACCTATTCATTGAAACCTTCCAGCAAATGGTTCTTGTTTGAGGCCACGGAAATCATACTTTAGACACACATCCATGTCTAGCTTCGAATCGTCTGCATGATGGCCTTTCCGGTCACTTCACTCTTGCGATTGAACGCATGCATCATTCTTGGAGACGTTTCTCTGTTGTTGCAACCCGTGCAGAATTTCGGTAAGTACAACAGAAGCCCATCACACCTCATCCTCCACACCAGGCCCAAGCATATTCGTCACACCCACAGCAAGCCACTCTCCCTGCCTATCTCTCCTGAAATCAAACACACTAACAACATCCTTCGTCAGACCCTGCGGTAGCCCGCCACACTTAAGGTTCACCCATACCGTCGCGACCGCCAGCTTGTGATTAACTTCGACTCTGGCGTTTGTGACATGCACATGGTAAGCAGGGCTTTTTCGGTGGAGTTCTTGAACGTGGAGAAGAGTGGCTTCCTTTGTAGCAACACCTGCAGTGGTACCAGCAATTGAGAAGTCGTCGGAAATGTATGGCCACATTGGAGAGGTCTTGGAAAAAGTACCGGTGTTGATTTCGGTGAGGAGATCGAGGGTGATTGATTTGACATGGTCCGCTACGGAGATAGTGTTGGCGGACTTCTCGTTCGTTGGGGGCAGGTCGCTGTTAAGATGAGGTGCCATATTCAAGATCCAGTGCCTCTGGCGGACGTGAGTATGTGATTATGCGTAACCTCTCTGAGATATCTTTCTTTGCTTGCTGCCGTTGGGTAGACGCCGCATACAGGACATTCCGTGAGTACCACCGGGGCCTGTAGATAAAGAGTCCCGTGCGGATAAGACGTCTAGGAGAATCTGACGCCACCAAGTCTATCAAGACATACAAGTGGGGATGTTGAACTGAATTGGAGGTCGACATCGGCAAAGAAGGTGACGTCTATCTTGTGTTACGCTGAGTCAGCTGATCGGCAGGAACCTGGAAGGGTCTGCTGGTCGAAACGCCAATGGTTCCTTCACACTTCCTCCAAATCACCCTTTCAACATGAGTCCAAGGAGAGAATTGCCTGTCTGCCTGGGCTATCGGACAGTGTGACTGAACGAGCAAGTCGAGAATACCAGCGAAGATCAACTTACGAAATCTATGAGCTTGGACACGAGTCGATCACTGAAGAACGATGCCAATCACTACGCGATAATGCGAGTACAACGAGGCACAGAATGAGGACATGGTCCCCGGCAGGCTACGACTGCGAATACAAAGCGAATCCGGGAGATATCCTGGCGACCTCCAGAACAGCTCAGACGGTATCCTCGGGCTCATCAAGTATGTTTCGGTTCAAGGTCGAGCCGTCTCTTCCAACAGCAACAGCAGCGGCAGTCTCGACTTCGAATGTCATCTACTAGACTTGAGTTCCCGCAGTCTTCACCGGCAATAGGCAAATGTAGCTCTCTTACCCGAGCTATGGTCCGAACAATTCCACTGCATCGGTTTACCCCAACGTGGCGGGCTTTTTGCATGGCAGCCCCAGACTTCTCATCTTGGCCACCTTGGTATTCTTGACAGTTGCGGGGAAATTGCGTCTGGTTTTCACTCTAGACATACACTGCTCTGCCTGCAGTACACGAGCTGCTCGCCACCATCACTCTTGGCTGGACTTTGATGGAGCTCCCATAGGCCCACGCAGTACTTGGTCCAGCCAAGGCTGCAAAACACCTGGCGAACACGTGCGTTACATGCATATCTACACGCATGCAATGATAGCCGATTCCAACCGCTGTCCATATCGACCTTGGCCTCCTACTCCCAAGTGTCTTGGTCTCCCCACAAGCACACTGACATGACTCCACTGGGTCATGCATCTGAAGACGATGAATGCGGACGGCAATGTCGGTAGAAGATTTCCCCCAGCATGGCTTTCTCCGGAAATAAGGGAATGGGCGAGCACATAAATGGCTGTACCCCAGTCGCAGGGATGGCTGTGTGTGCTGTGGTTTCTCCTACATCCCTCTCAAGACGTTCCACGCAACCCTTGTTACAATGGACGTCAAAGGGACCTCAAATCAGCCCCAAGAACAGGCTGAGAAAGACCTACATTTCACAGATCATCTCGAGCAGATCTCGACAGACTCTGGAAACAAAGATGCCATCATTGAGAAAGGTCCAGTCGAACGAATCCAGGATTGGACGCCAGAAGAGGAGCGTAAGATAGTGTGAGACCTTACCTCTATCCTTCCTCATCATACAAGTCACTGATCCGCCACAGATGGAAGATAGACTTCCGCGTCTTCCCCATGCTCTGCGTTGTCTTCGGTCTCTCACTCCTCGACCGCACCAATATCTCAGCAGCTTTCATCGCCGGCATGAGCGTCGACCTTGAGCTCACGGGCTCTCGCTACAACATCGCCCTACTAGTCTTCTTCATCGGATACGGACTCTTCGAGCTACCTTCCAACTTCGTCATTCGCCGTCTTGGAGCCCGATGGTGGCTGAGCTTCCTCATCGTCTCTTGGGGATGTTGTGTCTTGGGTATGGGGTTCATCCATCGATGGACGCTCCTCGCAGTACTCCGGGCCCTGCTGGGAGTCTTTGAGGCCGGCCTTTTCCCAGGAGCCGTTTTCATCATTGGCAGCTGGTATAGACAGTACGAGATTGGCAGAAGAATTAGCATCTTCTATATGGCGTCGTTGATCTCGTCTGGCTTCGGACCTATCTTTGCCTATGCGCTGTCTTTGATCAGCGTTGGTGATGGCATGTACTCGCAAGGATGGCGATGGGTATGAGGCGTTGATGCGCATGACTGGCATGAAGCTGACTTGAGATAGATCTTCATCATTGAGGGCGTCGTCACCGTCGTTGCTGGGTTGGTGTCGCCGTTCTTCCTCATCGAATTTCCGGAAAAGGTCAAATTCCTGAACGAGCGTCAAAAGCACATCGCTTTGGAACGAGTTGCGATCGAGAAACGAGATAAGGACATAGTTCATCCAAACATCAAACAGACACTCGGCATGCTCTGGGACTGGAAGCTGCTGCTCTAGTAAGCCTATCAAACTCCACGCAGTGCTCAACCTGACATGTCTTACAGTTCGATTAACTACTTCATCGCTGCGTCGTCTGTGTATTCCCTGGCCTTCTTCAAGCCTATCATCCTCCGAGAAGGGATGGGCTTCCCCTATGCCAAAGCCCAGCTTCTCTCGTCGCCGCCTTATGTCTTCGCCATCATCGCTTCCATTTCAGCCGCTTGGGTTTCGGACAAGATCCGTCTCCGATGGGTCATCCTCAACTTTCAAGCTCTTGTGGCTATCATCGGTCTCCTAATCATCCTCTACACGAAACCGCCAGGCGTTCGCTACTTTGGGATTTTCCTGGCGACTTACGGCACACAAGCTAACATTCCTGGTACACTGACATATGGCCAGAACCAGATTTCCAGGCTAGAGAAAAAGGGCGTCGTAGCTGCCGCTATGATCTCTGCTGGTGCCATCGGTGGTGTCTGTGGCTCGACGATTTTCCGCGATCAGGATAGTCCCTTGTATCTTCCTGGTATGTGGGCGACGATTGCATTGCAGATGCTGCATATTGTGATTACTTTTTGCATGTCGATGTACTTCAAGCGACAGAATGCGAAGGCAGATCGCGGGGAGGTGTTGGAGGGTGTCAGCGGGTTTAGATACGCTCCGTAGAAGAACGATGGTGTTGGCAAAGCTGGGCAGGAGATGTTGTTTCTTGGCATTGATTTCTAGACATCGTTAGCTGAGTGAGTGTTTCCATATGTTTTGCCATGGAGCATATGGTGGACGAAAAATGGGGACTTGAAAGACTGATGAGCGTCAGTAGACGTCGATTCGTTGTTTGCCAGAGTCTAAGCTCAACCAGAACAAGCGACTCAGGTACACCAAAAGCGACTCATAACCTCAATCTTCTCTCCATCAGGTACTCATAATGCGGCAATGACGCCTCCGTCGTCTCCTTCAACAACCTTGCTGCATCATCTCCCCATTCCGCCCGCCACTTCTTCTCCTCCTCATCCACATTGACATTTCTTCGAACCTTACTCTCCACCATCCCCTCCGAGTCCAACAACGTCTGCTGCAACCGCACATACATCGGATGCATCTTCGCCCTCTCCTCTTGGCTAACCTTCTCCCACTTAAACACACAATGCTCCGGACTCAGCCCAAGCTTAGCAGCCAAATGCCGCACAAACTCCTGCGAAGACATGTAATCTTCGGCATCGACCACAATCGGCGTTATGCCTTTCGAAACGTACCAATCGTACATCTCCCTCTGCCAGCCGAGATGTCGCGCCATGAGGAAGCCGGGCTCGCTCCAGGAGTGTTCGAGGGTCCTCATGCCTTTGAAGGCACCAGGGCCGCTGAGGGCTGGATGTCGGATGTTCAGGAGGACGGTCGTGCCTGGTGCGAGGAGAACGCTTTCGGGGAAGAGAGTGAAGTTGCGGGCGTAGTTGTCTGTGGGCTTCTCGGTGTTCCATTCTTTGGTTACGTAGTCGAGGCCTCGGTCCACGTCGATGGCGAAATGAGGATGTTCGTGCATGAAGAGTGTATCGTCCTGCTGTAGATCAGCGACGTGCTAAGTGGCGACGATGGTTCTTGAGGAAATCACTCACCTTAGCCTTCGCCCCGCTCAAAGCCTTCTCCCACGCCTCATTCCCCTGCTCCACAGCCTCCAAATACGGCTTTCTCGACTCCTCAGGAATCCCAGCCGCGATCGACTCTTCCGTAAACAGCGGAATCTGCGCCGGTCTCGTAATAGCATACGGATGCCACAGAACCTGCACTCCAGGCTGTTTCGACAGCATGCGTTCCAGAAGATGACATGCCGCTCGCGGATGGGAGAAGAAGATGATTTGCGAGGGCCGCGTTGTGGATGACATGTTGCGTGCAGGGCCAAGTGGTTGTTCGACTGGGTTTCGAATGCGAGCCAAGGTGAACATAAATACTAGACTCGCCAGTTGGGACGGGCGAAATGGTCAGCCCGAATTAGGGCAGGCCGAATCCTTTCTGGATGTCAGCCTGATGACGGATATGGCAGGTTTCGCTAACTTTGCTGAGTTGGGACGTATATAAGGGCGGCGGAGAGTATCTGCCGCGGGTTTTCCTCTTGTGTTTGAGAATCGACTCTTTAGTAGGATTTCGTGCAGCTGGTGCTTTTGGGGTTTGGAAGTTGGCTGACCATTTAGGGAACTACCTTATGAAGATGGGTTCAAACTTAATGTGTCATCCGGAGTTAGTGACTTCGACATTTCGGGAAGTAGGGTTACAAGATCAGAGAGGATCTCAGGTAGGACTTTAGAAATAGGAGTTGAGTTTCGACGAAGGGTCGTGAAAAGTTTTAATTTATTTCGAGAGCTCGCATGCTGCTCAAACCCCGGCTTGCTTTCTGAATAAAACTTCGTTGTTCGCTCCTTACTACAACATATATGGCCAGAAAGCTGACTTCTCACAGGAAGCCAGACCTCATTTTAAACCTGCTCACTAAGCGCCAGGCCCGAGAGATTCTCGCCTCAGAAGGACACAACCCAAACCGTATCATGAACAGCAAAAGCAAGGCAAAAAGAGAAGCCCAAGGCCAGGATCGAACTAGTGACCTTCACATGTCGTTGCTCGAAAGTCTACAAGTGTGACGCTCTACCACTAAGCTACTCGGGCGAATGTTTGATTGATGGAGCAAACCGGTGTTTAATCTGAAGATATAGCTTTGCGGGTTGGGGCATCTTGGCAAGGCTGGCTGCAGGGTTAGGCGAATGTCTCATCGGCTCAACACTTAGGCGCAACATGATGACATAGACAAGCTTAGACACCCCCTTTCCAGCTGTTTATGACTATTCCAGCGACGGTTGATCCCCTCTCAACAGTACTCACGAGAGTCATGCAGAGTCTGGAGTTATGGATTCTGGGCTGTCCTTTGCACTACACGACTGCAGTCGATTCAGCAAGCTTCTTATCCTCATTCGAAATCCCCATCTTCCATGCTGTGCCAGATCCTGCCGCCTCTTCATATCGTCTTTCAAGTTCTCTATATCCTCAATCCGTCCTCTGCATTACACTCCTCGAGACCTGAATGCCCCTCAGATCATTCCCCCTCATATCCTGCAAAATGTACTCTTCGCTTGTCGACCCAGACCCATCTGACCCTTTGCGTAACTGCGAACTGGTTATGGTCGTCTTGTGGCCTTTGGCACCGCCGCCGGTGTGCGGCATCCCGGCAGAGCCGCGCGCGGCGTAGACGTCGCCGCTGTCGCCGAGTTTGATATTGGAGCCTTCGCTGCCGCCGAGGTGAAACATTTTGCGGAAGAGGGGGCGTAGGGTTGCAATGCAGCCGACGACGAAGCCGACGCCGTTTTCTGCGTCTGGTGGGTAATGCCTTGTCAGTGGATGCAACATGAGTATTTCAGTCGGGTCAGGCACTCACATCCCCAGATCATGACATCTCCGACGCTGTACAGGTAGTCCGTGGAGTTGTTGAGATTGACGGTGTACTTCAAACGAATGCACGCTGACAGACTGGCGAGCACACCCAAACTCAGCAAGAAGCCAACCGAGATTTTCGCATTCGTGTTGAGCTTCAAGTTCCAGAGAAGGGGAATCGGTAGAAGAGCGCAGAACCAGTCGGCAAGGATGTTGACCGCAGTATCCGCATAGTATACGTTGGCAAGTCCTTGCGAAGGTAAACAGCTCCCTCCTGGAATGGTCGTGTCCCAAGCGTAGCTGACAGGGTCGCAGCGGAAGATGATGTAGAAGAAGGCGATCAAGTTCAAGATGATGAACAAGGCCGACATGATCCAGAGCGCATAGATGTAGTTCTTCTTAGGACCAGCGACACGCATCAGCATGAGCGAGATACTCAACTTCACTGGGATTATGGAAATGCAGAAGAAGATTTCGAAGAAGAAGAACCACTGGTCGAAGTCAGCAACGATTAGGTGTTCGACGTTCTGCTGGTCTTACCATCATGCCTTGCTCTGTCTGGGCCGCCGAGAGCTTCTCTTTGTGAGTGCCAACGCCGAGGAAAGAGCTTCCCAAGGAGAAGACACTGAGTGCGCCATATGGTATCTGGCGATGGTTAGGGTGTGCAAAGGTAGAGAGGCTGTGGCCAACATACAACAGCAAAGGTCATAGCCCAGTCATCCCATCCCCACGCACTGTGTTTTATGCGGGTGTACACCCGCATGGGGAAGACAATCAATGAGAATGTAACCAAAATGATGATGGTGGCGGCCACGCTCGGCGCCTTATCCTTGAAGATGACCATGTTCTCGAATCGTGTAACCAGCAAATCCCAGACAGACAATACACGCCCTGACGCCGTTTCGCCCCAGACTCCACGATCTCAAATCATGCGGTGCGGGTTTGAACGAGAGTGTTGCTCTTTCTCCAGGGAGAGAGAAGGGTTGGTGTAGAGGTTTCTGGGAAAGAAAGTCTGGGGTCGCCGCGGCGTTCTTCAAGCACAGCGAGAAAGTGTTTGAGGTTGAGTGGCGGGAGAAAACATGCGGGAGAGAGATGGGGTCCTACCAAGGTTCGAGGTCGCACGCATATACTCCTGTGCGACTTCACAAGGCTGAAAATGGGTGGTCGCTGCAGTGCAATCTATTCGACGCACGGTGCGCAGTGGATTGTTGGCAACATGTCAAGCACCACGCCGTCGTTCAGGGCCATCCTCCCCGTCTGCGGAAGGGCGTGCTTGGATGCGACTCATGGGCAGAAAATGGGCAAGGAAAAGGCACCGCAAGCAGATGGAGATGGAGTGATCGTGTGCTGCGCATGCGCGTTAGGTAAGGTGGCACGCGGCCGCATCGGGTGGATGAATCTCTGGCGAGAGAGTGCTCCGCTATGAGGCCTGGCCAAAACGACCATCGGACGCAGGGGCTGGGTTCGTCTTTCTCGTGGTATTTGTATTCGAGATTTTCCCCACTTTCGCCTCGCAAACGAGCTCGTTCAATCCCTCGTGTCATGGTCTTGTTGAAGATGTTGTTATCGGTGAGAGAAGCTCTTCGGGACATGAGGTCGGCGGGCGGAAGCACGGGCCGCGTTTGATCGATCGAAAGCGGCAGCGATCTGCAGCTTGTTTTTGTTGTGCCTGGGGATCACGTGAGTGCCAAGAAGGCCACATCTTCTGAATTCACAGTCCTTGTAGATACCTGCTCCCGTAATTAATTATCTATAAAGGCCTAATAACCGCTACATAACAGGTTATGAGCCCGGCGCTTAAGATTAATTTAACTATACTTATTTAATTATCTCTAATTAAGAATCTATAGTACTTTTATCCTTATATCTACCTAATCTACCTTGTTCTACTATAGAGACCTAAATAAGCGAGAAATCTATTAAGTATATTTTTAAGAAGGGAGCCTCTTTTTAAGTATAGAGAGATATACTTAAGGCTACTCTTGTTAATAAGGATTATATAGTATATATCTTTAAAGATATCCTATAGCTAGTATATAAGCTAAAACTAGAAGCCCTAGAACTATTACTCCTAATTGCTGTCCCTATTAGAGAACAAGTAGCCGAAAGAGTAAGGACTTAAGTACTAAATATAACTACTAAAAATAAATACTAGGAGAGGCTACTAGAGTAGTATAAGAAAGATAGGATTACCTATAGTATTATTAGCTTAAGATTAGATAATAATATTAGACTAGACTTTAGAGTAATAAGGAAAATAGTAAGGGAACTATATAAGACTGTAGCTTTAATATATAAGCCTATTATTACAGTAGATATCTATAATATAATTAAGGCCTTATATACTATAAGACTAATTAAGAGGAATACCCTAGTATTCTATAAAGTATTTTAGAAGAATTTGTAAAAGTATAAAACTGCTACTAAGCAGTACTGTACTATATATTTATACTCACCTCTTAATGTTTAACTTCCTAATATATATATTAACCTTGTCTTCTAAGGAGGTGTTACGGACACGTTCCGCTAGTATAGCCCGGTACGTAATCCGAACTAAGTATTAGGGGCTAAGGCTCGACTAAGTGTTACGGACACGTTCCGCTAGTATAGCCCGGCACGTAATCCGAACTAAGTATTAGGGGCTAAGGCTCGACTAAGCGCCCGACTACTTAGACTAATTAGACTGCTTAGTATTTAGACTACTTAGACTACTTATATAGAGGACGAATCTCCTTTGTATATAGGAACGGTATTATACTTTGTACAATAGCGTTTAACTTACTATTCAATCTTACTGTTTAGTTTACAATTATACCTAAACCTCTGCTTCAAGATTATCTTAGTAGTCTATCGAC